GATCATGAAGTCTATGATTTTTTAATTCAACAGATGATGATTTCTATACATTTTTAATATAATTTCCTAAGAATAGATCCACAGGTACTAAAAATTCATTAAATAAATAATTGAATAGAACTGAATATTGTTAAACATGAAGTTTATGTGAAGTTTAAAAATTTAAATGCATAGTCCACATCTCCCCAGTAGTAAATAAATAAATTAACTAAAACTAGACTTTATAATCCTAGGAGACTAAATTGATTTCATCAATTTCTAATTTGACCCTTTTAATGAGGTATTTCTCAGACTTTGAATTGCTCCATGCACATTTTTTTCCTTCAGAATCCTAAATATAGTGGTTTTCTATACACCTGTATATCTAAGATGTATCAGGTAATCAAATACCTTAAGTTCATGCGATTTTTGTTAAGAAACCAAAGTAATCATTTATAAACAGCATAAATACAAGTAGTCTCGAAACTGACACTTGGGGTACCTACATAAATAAATATTTGATAGAAAACTTATGACCTAAACATTGAAATAATCTAGTAGCCGCTACTCTCAATCTCACTTATCAGTAACTATAAAGTGAGAGGTGAAATAAGAAAACATAGATAAACAAACTTTAATCCAACCATTTTTACAGCAAAAATCCAAAAAACAGCAAAATATCCAACAAATTTAAATACTATTTATCCGCCCAGTAATCGCGATTAAATCAGATATAAGTAATCATTTAGAAATCTTATCATGTAATTAGTGAGAGGTTCAATAAGAAACATAAAGGTAAACAAACTTAAATCCATCAATTTTACCGCAAAATTTCAATGTCATAACCTTAATCCAAATAAACAGTAGAATATTCAATAAATTTAAATACGATTTATCCGCCCAATACCTACTGATTAATTCAGGTAAGTAATAATTTAGAAATCGTACATTTTTGGGTTACTTAACCTCAAAATTATCAAAAATTTCTAAATACTGCAAATTTGAATAAATTACAATATTTCAATATTACAAACGAATTAAGAAACACTTAACCTTAAAATTACAGATATATTAACTAACTTACCGAAGAAAAGACGTTTCCTTATGGTCCACAAACACTATTAAATAAATAATTTGCATACGCAAGTTTTTTAAATTATTATTTACACCTTAGATTTACACCTAAATCTATGAACCATAGTGGCATGACTGGAATTTGTTGGATATTCTACAAACTTATTTGTTGTTATCCGAAACTCCATCATCATAATCATATTTTATTGCATTTGCGCTTACGCAATTTTGCAGTTAGAAAGTTAATATACATACATGGCGCAGGCAAGCAAACCAAAATACTCTTTAGTGTATAAGGTGTTGCCTAAATAAAGGAATACAAAAGTAATAGAGAAAAGTGTATATTTTTTAATCAATTTGTATTATACGCATTATATATTTGAAATTAAAATTATATTTTATTCAAAAGAAGGATTCAACATAAAATCTTAAAGCATATAAGACTAGAGGTGTTACTCAAATGGGTTTGTTATGTACTTAGGGAGTAACCCCTTCGGTGTTAGGTACACGACGCATTATGATTGGCGAGTTACGAACACGACGATTTATGATTGGCGAATTTAAATAACGTGCGTATTTGTGATAAATGACATTTCATTTGACGTCTTGTTTTCGTTTTTAAAAAGATCGTTTTTGCGGCTTCCACAGACAATTTGGACAAGGTTCTCTTTGATAAACTTTTTATGTGTATTTTTATTATAAAATAAGTGTACTAATCATGCCGAAAGCTTGTATCAGCTTGTATAGTTTGCAATAATAAATTCTTAAAAGGTTCCTGGTTGACGTTTCACAAGTAAGTATTCTATATTCCATAACCGTAACTTAAAATGGGAAATGGGCAAATGAATAAGAAAACATGTTTGTAGAATGTTCTTCATATGAGCATGCGTTCGACAAAAAATAGTTGTTTTCTTTGCGATAATGCTTAATTTATGTCTTTTTGTATAGTGTAAAATGGATTAGATATATTTTTATATTGTACATATTTATTCAACTGCCATTAACATTTTAAATCATTTTTCCTGCTGATCTCACAAAACCAAACTGTCAAGTATTTAGTTTGAGCATTAATAGCATTTCTAACAACAAGCATTATTATGATTTCAGGAAAGCAATGCTTAAGAAAAATATTTATACCAAAAGCTGTACGTACTTTGCTTTAGATCTGAGTAAATTTTTCCAAATAAACTGTAAATAATTGTAATTCGATATACATATATGTGGCTTTCGAAACACACACTTATTTGCTTGTTTTGTTAAATACTAAACATATATTATTATTACATTATTGTTTACAGGCTTAAAAATAACGACGGTAAAGAAAATATGCCCTTATCTGCAGTTCCCAACATTGGAAATTTCAAAGTTGGAAAATAACAATAGAAGGCTAATGAAAAAAAAAAAAAAAAACAAACAGGTGCTGGTTATTAATAGTCTTTGGAACTTTTGAAATTTAATTAAATCAATAAATCTGCAAAATACATTTTATGTACATGTCATTTGTAGGGACGAAAATATGCAAGACAGGGAACTTCAATCTTTAACTCTCTTTAAAAGACAAAAAATTGTTTAAAATTTGATAAACTCACATTTATCTACACTAATCTTCTGAAAGGAAAAGAGAACTTAAAAAAGAAAAACGAAGGTTTGTTGAAGTCAAATAAGATATTTTCTCATATAATCAAGCATTATTATGATTTCAGGAAAGCAATGCTTAAGAAACAAATTTAAACAGATATTTTTTGATAGAAAATTAGGTCTTACCCAAAAGAAGATTCTATGCAAAAAAAATACAGTTAAAAAACTTAGGAGAAATATATTTTATAAAGTAGATTGGAATCTTTAAATAGTATGATAGGACATATATAAAAAATAAATCTTTTATCAAAAGTAGAGATACAGTTGTGGATGTAAGAATTAATTCCAGTATTTTTCATAAATGTTTTTAATGATGAAGAAACATTTTATTTATATATGTTATTTAAGATCAAATTAGTTTATTTTTTAGGCTACTCTTGCAACTGGATCTAAGGAATTGGTCAAGAGAGCAATTAAAGATAATTCCAGAACAAAATACTCCCCTGAATTAAGAGCGTTTACACTAACTTTAAGCTTCTACAGTATGAAGGCTTATATATACATATGTGAGGAAAAAATTTAACAATTGTTTCCCACATCCCAGTACTTTATCAAAGTGGTATTAAGCTGTTGCTGTTCTCCTGGATTTGCTGAAGAGCATTGAAATTTAAAGGCGGAGAAAGTCAAAACGTTATAAGAAAGGTTTTTTGAATCTTTTGATGGATGAAATGGCAATTATGCAAAGGGTGGAATGGACTGGCCAAAAATATATTGGATATGTTGATGTTGATAGCAAGTTTCTTCAACAAAATCAGTCAGTTGAAGCAAAAGAAGCTATTGTGTTCTGCTTGTAAAGTTAACAAACATGTCTATTACGAATAGTTAGGTACTTACTGTATTTTATATTATCTCTTGTATGTGTATATAGTACCTATTGTGTATATATTAATAGTATGTAAGTTTTTGTGTGATAATTTTAATATGTTTTGTGCTTTAATATAGACAGTAAAATGTAACTGAATATTTTTTGCCTGAAAATGCGTATGATATATTTCACGAATAAAATGTATTTTTTCTGTATTCATCTCATTCTATAGGTAGGTAATTGGTTTTTAACTGTTAAGTGGTGACCTAAACAAATAAATTTCATGGGAATTCAGTAGCATTAATGTTTATTTTATTTTGTTTTATAAATATAGGTTATACTTCTACACACATACCTATATTATATCTATTATAACTATGTTTTGATTACATTGATTAATAATTTTATTATAAAACATGTGCATTTAATATTATTATTATTATTACTACTAGAAATAAATTATTTGTTTTTATTTTTCTTTTATTTACTCTATATAAAAAAGATTTATTCAGTTTCTAAATGATCTATTTGAACTAAACAAAAATATGTGAAAACGAATTCAGTTGAAAGCATACAGTTTCAAAACATGTCTACAATAAAAAAAAGTTTTCAATCCTAAACGAACATATAGTCATTTCCAGTAAAACATGTTTACAATACAGTGTAAAACGAAAGCTTACTATAAATAGAAAAACATTGTTAAATAAATTTGTTTATTAATATTGCGAATCAATAATTATCTAAATTATTGTGAAATTACAGTATAAATACGAACCCTTTCAAACCGTACGCCATTGTGAAAGGAGTACCTACCCTCTCCCATCACGATCACGTCAAAATTGATGATCCCTGCTTATACATAACAAAATACATTGCATGATATCTCTAGTCTTACATGCTCTAAGATCGCATCATAATTTATTTTTAGGCAATTTCTCGCGTCACAACAGAACAACCAAAATAATTTTCATAAAGATGATGACGGAAGATGTCTTGTTAAAATTGTTCTGGTTTATTCTTGCAGGCAACAGGCAGCAGATGGCAATATTCAAATTGTTTGCTATCAAAATTCACAATAATCTGGAGAAACCAGAAATAAATCTAATGTAATACAGGCTTCTGTAGGCGCTTCTTCTAGCACAAAAACCCCTAAAAAAATAATTTTCGTAAGACAAAAATAAAGTATTTTAAAACATTACAGAATTTTTCATCAAGAATTAAATGTAAGACGTCATTGTTAAGGAATTATTTGCACTTTTGACACAATTATATATTAGTCAAAGCGAAAATGCGCCTAAGAATTTTCGCAATATGAAAATGCTGAAGAAGTAATTTTTTAATTTTAACCAATAATAAAAAAAATTAGCTTACGTAATTTAATATATTGTGAGTCATAGAGCGCGAATAACTTTAATTAAACCATAATTAATCCGCAAGGTGAAATACAAAAGAAATCGTGTTGGGCGATTTGAATTTGGCGCTGTATAGGTGAATTGACGTAAAGGAAGTCTGGGCACGACCATTTTCTTTTACTTCACCGGTTAAAATCGGGCACATGTGCTTTGTTAACAATTTTTAAGACAAACCCAGTTATCTAACAAACTTGTAACTTCATTAAAAACCCGGTAGAAGTTCAACAATATATTAAGAATGAACAGTGAAAAGCTTAAAAAACTTCAATCACAAGTGAGGATCGGCGGAAAAGGTACCCCAAGGCGTAAGAAGAAGGTCGTACACTCCACACAAGCCACAGACGATAAAAAATTACAATCATCCCTAAAAAAACTTTCAGTGAATACCATTCCCGGTATCGAAGAGGTGAATATGATCAAAGAAGATGGTACTGTGATCCATTTCAATAATCCAAAAACGCAGGCTTCTCTGGCCGCGAACACCTTTGCCATTACCGGCCATGGTGAAAATAAACAGATCACAGATATGTTACCAGGTATTCTTAGCCAGTTGGGGCCCGAAGGCATCACCCAACTTAAGAGACTAGCAAACACAGTAGCTAACGCTGGTGAGTAGTTTTTTTATGATCCTAAATATGAAAAATAACAAGGAAAGTTTCATTCAATTCCTTACTTGTGTGGTATTTATGATAGCAGTATGAAATTTCTTTTGATTCTGTAATTGATTAGTTGTTATTTATGATGTAAAGGTACAGTAATTCATTCTGCAAAAAATGTGCTTTTGTCCCAATTCTAATTAAATTGGATTATCAACCAATATTAATTCATTTATTGCATTGTCCACATAGTACCTTGTGCAGACTCATTTTTATCTCTTTATATTGAGCAAAACAATTATATTTTGAATTTGTAGATATTTTAGTTCATTTTTGTATTCTATACTAGAATTTATTAATACTACTAAAGAAAACTTTAATAATTTCATTATTTGTAAAATTAACAAATAGAAAGTTACAATTTAAGGGTAATTATAAATTATTTGATGAAAAAATGAAGTCATTTAGAAAGGTACATACCTCCGTACATACTAATTTTATAGGGTTTTTATTTTTGCCCCTTTTATCGTACAATATCTTTAAAATAATTGCTTAGATACTACCAAACTTATTGCCACCAATGCACAATCAGTAGATGAATTAATTAGTAAATTAAATGTTTTATCTAATGAGTTTACATCATGGTGTTATAGAAATTCTTTAATTGTTAATTCAAACAAAACCGTTTGCCTTCACTTCTACTCCAGAAATCAAATTACCCAGAATTGTAAAATAAATGTCAATAATGCAGAAATTATGATCTCAGTTATGCTCTCACATGTTACAAAATTTTTGGGCATACATATTGATAGCAATATGGGTTGGGATAGCCAAATATCTAATGTTTGTAAAAAATTAAATATTTACCCAAGAGCAACTGCCTAATGTCTACATGCTTTAGCATATTCTCATATATCATACAACATTATTCTTTGGGGTGATGCAGTCAATGTATCTAAAGTATTTATCTTACAGAAAATAATAATCCAGCTTATTTTTAATCTAGAATTAATGCAAAAATTTAAATTATTAACATTTCCCTGTATTTACATTTATAAAACGTTGCTAAGTATATGCTAAACGCAACATACACCAATTTTTATAAAATTAAAATTACCATGAATACTCAACTAGGTATGCAAATTTATTCAGAATACCAAGACATTCAACAGCATTATTTGAGAAATCACCTGAATTTGTTGGAATTAAATTTTTTAATCAACTCCCTGATTTCATTAAATCTGAAAAGAAATATGAACCTTTTAAAAGAAAACTAAAAAACTATTTAGTAGATTCATGTTTTTATAATTTATTTTAATACCACCATATTTTAAGGTAAATGTTTTTCTAATTGTATATTTTTAATGTGCATGTCCTAAAAATATATATTTTTTTTTTGTATACTGTACCTATATTTATTTGTATTTTAATATTTTTTATTCATATAGGTATATTCTGACTTATCCTATATCATGTAATGTGATCCTAAAGGACAAATAAACTATTATTATTATTCTATTCTACTCATCAAAAACAAATATATGATAAAATGTTCAATGAAAATATGCCAAAATTGCCCTATAAGTACAAACTTCCATCTTAGTATGGAAAATTGGTGCTACAATTCCATAGCCTGCCATGTGGAAAGCAAAAGCTTTGCTTCCAAGATTGATTTGATGTATCACTTCTTCAAAAAGTTTGTGAGATCTTGCCAATATTTGCAGAATCCTAAAAAGCAGAATTCTTATTTAATTCTACATTATGTAGGAACCTATAAAGTATCGTCTGCATAATATGCTATAATAACAATGTTTTTGTCTAAATTTAATAGTGAGTATAAGTAAAAAACTGGATTAGGCAGAGTACAGTACCTTGTAAAATTCCAATCCTATTCATTCAGACAATTTTTAAATAGATGTAGGACTAACTGTATCTATAAAAATCTGATGTGTCTAACACATGACTTTCCTATCTAGTTTTTTCAGTTATTTTGTACAACCTATTGCAGCACCTCTATAAATGTTTAGAGGATAAACTAAATATATACATTTTCTACATACATCTAACTCAAAACATATTCTATAGAAGATATTCATTGAAAACGAAAATACTGAAAAATTTAGCACCTTTCCTCCAATTTTTCCATTACGGTCCATTTTAGAAAAATCATGTAAAAACAAAAATTATAGAGATCGATATCCCAAACAACTTTTAGTTTAACAATTTTCTCAAAAATCAGAATTTTGTACATTTTTTCAAATTTCTCGAATACGGACCATTTCAGGAAAATTTGACATAAGCCAAAATTATAGATAATAATATTAGAAGTAACTTTTATTTGAACAATTTTCTTCTTCAAACATAAATAACAGATATATTCCATAAAATATAAAAACGGCCTCCCATAAAGTACCCCCCCAGATGTTCCGACTTTGTCCAAAATCTAATCATTTCACGTCAGGCCGAAATTAAACTTAAGTTTAAAATTTAATATTTTTTCCTTTAGGTATGCGGTTTTGGGTTTTCTTCAAAATTAGAAATTTACACATTATTTCAAATATCTCGAATACGGTCCATTTTAGAGAAATTATGTAAAGAATAAAATTATAGAAAATTATATTACAAACAACTTTTATTTGAACAATTTTTATAAAAAAATTATCTTTTTACATTTTGTCAAATTTCTCGAATACGGACCATTTTAGGAAAATTTTGTATAGAACAAAAATTATAGATAATAATATTAGAAGTAACTTTTATTTGAACAATTTTCTTCTCCAAACATAAATAACAGATATATTCCATAAAATATAAAAACGGCCTCCCATAAAGTACCCCCCAGATGTTCCGACTTTGTTCAAAATCTAATCATTTCACGTCAGGCCGAAATAAAACTTATGTTTAAAATTTAATGTTTTTTCCTTTATCCGTTTTTGAGTTTTCTTCAAATTTGGAAATTTACACATTATCTCAAATATCTCGAATACGGTCCATTTTAGAGAAATTATGGATAGAATAAAAATTATAGAGAATTATATTACAAACAACTTTTAATTGAACAATTTTTATAAAAAAATATTTTTTTTTACATTTTGTCAAATTTTTCGAATACGGACCATTTTAGGAAAAGTTTGTATAGAACAAAAATTATAGATAATAATATTAGAAGTAACTTTTATTTGAACAATTTTCTTCTCCAAACATAAATAACAGATATACTCCATAAAATATAAAAACAGCCTCCCATAAAGTACCCCCCCAGATGTTCCGACTTTGTTCAAAATCTAATCAATTCACGTCAGGCCGAAATAAAACTTAAGTTTAAAATTTAATGTTTTTTCCTTTATCCGTTTTTGAGTTTTCTTCAAATTTGGAAATTTACACATTATCTCAAATATCTCGAATACGGTCCATTTTAGAGAAATTATGTATAGAATAAAAATTATAGAAAATTATATTACAAACAACTTTTATTTGAACAATTTTTATAAAAAATTATTTTTTTACATTTTGTCAAATTTTTCGAATACGGACCATTTCAGGAAAATTTCACATAAGCCAAAAATTATAGATAATAATATTAGAAGTAACTTTTATTTGAACAATTTTCTTCTTCAAACATAAGTAACGGATATATTCCATAGAATATAAAAACAGTCTCTTATAAAGTACCCCCCAGATGTTCCGACTTTGTCCAAAATCTAATCATTTCACGTCAGGCCGAAATTAAACTTAAGTTTAAAATTTAATGTTTTTTCCATTATCCGTTTTTGAGTTTTCTTCAAAACTAGAAATTTACACATCTCAAATATCTCGAATACGGTCCATTTTAGAGAAATTATGTATAGAATAAAAATTATAGAAAATTATATTACAAACAACTTTATTTGAACAATTTTTATAAAAAATTATCTTTTTACATTGTCAAATTTCTCGAATACGGACCATTTTAGGAAAATTTTGTATAGAACAAAAAATATTGATAATAATATTGTAAGTAACTTTTATTTAAAGAATTTTCTTCTCCAAACGTAAATAACAGATATATTCCATAAAATATAAAAATGACCACCTATAAAGTATCCCCCAGATGATCCGACTCTGCCCAAAATCTAATCAGTTCATTGAACGCTGGAATAAAGATTAAGTTTAAAATTTGGTGTTTTTCTTTGTATTGGTTCATGAGTTGTGGTGGATACACACACAGACATTATCGCGAAAATAGTCGAAATGGATTCAGGGGACCCCAAAACGTAAAAATCCGTCGAAAAAAAATCATGATTCCTATACTTTCCTTATATCTGTATACAGATAAGAAAGTAAAAAATGAGAACTCCTTAGGCAATCTTGGTCCCATCGCGTTACAGTATGTGCTAGTCTCAAGCATGCAGTAAAGTTCTTTCCCATATTTTATAATGCATGCATTTCCACTTGAAGTTTTTCCCTTGCAACAACTTCTATATTTTTTCTAGAATCTGGGGTGCTTGAGACTAGCAGAGACCGTAATTGCCTAATGCTTTCTTACCTTTAGGGTTGTCCCCATGTTATTTAGGCCCAATGTACATCCTACAGGGGTATATAGGACATTGCCTCTCAAATCCTGTTTCTTGATACGCTGCATAGAGGTGTCTGTGGACATTAAACTAAAAATTTTGTTCCAGTTTATAATTTAATGTGTTCTGTTCTTAATTATTTCAAATTCTGTTAAATTAAAATGGATTAGAGGCCTATAATCAAGGGTAATATACCAAGACCTTGATAATAGTCAACTATTTTTGTTGAATCTAAATTTCGAGAATATTTTAATATCAATTACTTATGTAGAATAAAATTGTAAAATATTTGAGAAATTTAGCAATAACAAAAATAGCAGAATATCAATCAAGGTCATGTTATATTTGGGATTTGGTCTAGGAGATAGTCAATGTAAATACATTGTTAAGGAGAGCAGCAATTTGCAACTTTAACACCCTGTATCTCAAAAACTAGTTCAAGATGGAGTTTGGCTTGTTTTCATTGAGAACTTTTTACAGCATCAAATGCGTTTGCTTGACAATTATGACAGTGCTTAAAAATATTTTTATATTTATTTTGTATTCACTTTTTTTCATAATATCCATTTATATTTGTCACATTTACTACTTTATTAATGATTTTTTGTTTTGTTTGCTTTGTAAAGGGATTTGTACTTTTTCATTTCCTAAATCCAAACATAAAATTACAGTACTGTTCTCTGTTGTGACGCAGGTGGTGTTGGGAAAATAGTACCAGAAGATGAAGAGGATGTGCCAGACCTAGTAGAGAATTTCGACGAGGCGTCGAAAGCGGAAGTAGCGAAAAAGGATGAAGAAAAGCCAAAGGAAAATTAGGAGAGAGATCGAGGGAGTGCATGTTTGAAGTTTTTTCTGACGTAATGAAAAGTAAAACCTTGTCGGTCTCGATTTTTAAGTTTTTGAGGACACCCACTTTTTTTTTGATATTTATGTGTTGAGTAATTAAACAAAAAAAAAATTATAACCCAACTCATATTTTTTTTTGTTGACGTTTGGGCATATGTATAGAATATTTCTTAGGAAATATATAAATATTCTAATATGGTGGAGTTTTATTTTTTTATTAAGGTAAGTGAGTGAAAAAATGAGGCTGTAGCCTTAGGAGAAATACCCAACCCTTTACATCTTATTTTTGCAAGTTTTTTAATAATATGCTATTATAAAATGGCCTAGACGACTGCCTGATTCGGCACGAATTGATTTTTTTTTTAAATTGTTTATTTGTAGGTAAAAACAAAATTTAACATTTTTGATTTTGTTTTGCCTTCACAAAATGAGGCACTAGCCTTAAATGCAAAACCCTAACCCTTAATGCTAAAATTTCTTCACAACTGCTGGTTTTTCATTTTATTTCTTCAGTTTTTTGAATAATTTGCCTGTAATCATTGATTATAAAATGACCTGCACGATTTACAGATTCGCCACCAAGTGATATTTTATAAATCTTAAAAATAAAGAAACAAAAATCAAATAAGTCAAGAAATTTTTTTTTATGGGTGATTACAAAATTATAAAATGACCCGCATAATTGCCAGATTCAGAACCAATTGATTTTTTATAAATATCAAAATTTGTAGATAAAGAACCAAAAATCAAATAACTCAAGAAAACTTTTTTTGGTTATTTGTGTAATCAGTATAAAATGGCCTACACGATTGTCAGATTCGGCACCAATTGATTTTTTTTCAAACTCTTGTAAATATTAATTTGTAGGTAAAGAACAAACAACTATTAAAGGGAGCAACCTTTTGATTGTGTTTCCCCCTTAAAAAAAGGGGCCTAGCATCAAGAGCAAAATCCCAACCCTTTAGTGTTAACATTTCTTCATAGATGACGATTTTTCATTTTATTTATTCAATTTTTCAAGTATTCTTGTGTGGTCATCGATTACAAGATATAAATGGCCTATATACGATTGCCAATTGATTTTTTTTTATAAATCTTGTAAAAATTTGTAGGTAAAGAATTAAAAGTCAAATAACTATTCAAGAAAACAACCTTTTTCATTATGTTATCACAAGTTTCAAGTTATTAACCTTCGAAAGTGGTACTATCATGTTCCGATTTCTATTTATATATCTTTATTATTGTCAATAAACGTTTCAAGGTCTACATATAACCAGATATTGATAGTTTTTTTTTAACCAATATCAGAAAGTAATCAATACATTGCGAGTCTTTAATATTGTAAGATCTTATTTTTAAATAATGGCATTGAGGCATATCAAATCGAATTTTGACCTGTCCTCAATGTGTTTAGTAATAACTATAACCCATATTTTGTATTTGTGTTAATTAAAGTTTAATTTTTTGCTAGTTATTTTGCTCACAGGCAGAGCTCGATAATTACATGTACTTCAAAAATAATTACAATTACAAAGTACTTTTTCAAAAAAGGATTTACATTGATTTAATTACAATTACATTAAAAAAGGAATTAGCAATACTTTTATAATTACTTTGCTGATAAAACAAATTATGATAGAATTGAGGAACCCCCCAGACAACACACCAAATCCACAGAATATCTTTTGTGGATATCCAATATATCCACAGGATATCAGAAATATTCCGTGGATCTAATATGGATATCCAAATGTCCGTCTATATCCAGAATATAAAAGATATCCCTATGGATATCCAGCAAAATATCTAATGGGTATCTTCCAGACAATACAAGAAATCCCATATATATCCACAGAATCAAAGAATACCTACCCAAGAAGCGAAACTAAATGGGCGATTCGTGGACAAAAAACTGCCAAGTTTTCTCAGTGTTTTAGAGGTGGTTTAACGTCAAATATAGCTGTCAATGTATGTAGAGCAACGTTTGGTATATTATTAATATTAAAGTTTTGTGAAAATTGCAGTATAGTTAAGTAGCTGTATTTAACTAAGTAGAAATTAGATAGTTTTAAAAAATTTGTATTACATGTTCGTAAATTTTATTGAACGTTTTTGCATCTGTTTTTTTTTTAATTCTAAATCAGTATTAAGTACTTTAATAATAATTTACGCCTACGTTTAATTACTTAGTCTTTTACATATGTTATTTTTTTTGTTTTTCAAACCATTCAAATTAAAACAATAAATAAACAATAATTAAAATATATGACACACTCACTTCGAGGAACCAAGTCGCTGCTACCAGGATGCAATCGAAATGCAGTTACAGTATCCTACTAAGATGATAGGCACCTCGTAGCTTGTGAGCCAGCCTACAGATTTATGCTGCGTTTGAGAATCCACATCGGATGCATCTGAGATGTAAAAAATGTTTGATCACGTGATGCAGTATACGTAAATGTAATGGGACAGATGTGTCCGATGTGGATAAAAAAACGCTCGAGATGTAAAAAATGCATCCGATGTGGATTCTCAAACGCAGCATTAATGTAGCTAGTTGACAACGTCGCCAAGAGGTGCTTCTCTATTTTGGATTTTCGACACTCAGACAACTGAACCGTATGTTAGCATAGATCTTATGATGTCCATGTGACGATTCTGGGGGAGAAACCCCAGGGGTTCGGCAGCATTTTTCTTAAGTAATGTAGCTCTTTTGACTATCATTGTTACGTTAGTATGTGTTTAATTCTTATGAACCAAACGACAAAAATTGGTTAAGTTTCATACGTTTCCCAGTGTTCCCTTGCTTTGGTACATACGAAAACTAATTCAGTTTCGCTTCTTGGGTAGGTATTCTTTGACAGAATATATTCTGTGGATATCCAACCAAATGTCCGTCTATATCCCAGGATATAGAAGAATTCGGATATTCAGCAAAATATTTTATAGGTATCTTTAGTAGAGGTTCATAAGTAACCAATGATTATTGAATAAAGTCGAAAGAAAATAGAGATAAAAAATATTTTCTACACACAAAATTTTTTCAACACTCTGCCTTTGATTTTGCCCACTAAGGAGAAAATTCTCGACTCCAGTCTCTAATAAAGTCTGATTGTGAAAAATTTTTCGATCGAACTCAATTACGGCGGGTTGAGCATGAGTAGATGCGAAAGTAGTATCGCCATCTATACTTAGTAAGCAAAATCAAAAATTACATCTAGTAGATATCCAGGATGGTTTGCGTTCGCGCCTAGACTTTGATATATTTAGAGGATGTCCATGGGATATTGAATACACCTTAAAAAAAAATAATTTTAAATATCTGAACGGTACTATTAGCCACAATGGCGTAATTTTTTAATAATTTGCTATATTATTACTATTATTTATGGACATTTGCATGTCTATAAATTACAGCTCATGGATATAAAATAGAAATCCACCATGAACTGAACATTCAGTCATCAGTGGATATTGGGATGTTCAGTAGATATCCAAAGGATTTGGTGTGCTGTCTGGGCATCCTTATTAGGACTCTTCAGCAATAAATGATAATTCTCGACTCCAGCCTCTAATGGAGTCTGATTGTGATACAAATTTCGATCTAACTCAATTACGGCTGGTTGAGCATGAGTAGATGCGAAAGTGGTATCGCCATCTATACTTAGTAAGCAAAATCAAAAATTACATCTAGTGGATATCCACGATGGTTTACGTTCGCGCCTAGACTTTGATATATTTAGTGGATGTTCATGGGATATTGAATACGCCTTAAAAAAATTAATTTTAAATATCTGAACGGTACTATTAGCCACATGGCGTAATTTTTTAATAATTTTCTATATTATTACTATTATTTATGGACATTTGCATGTCTATAAATTAAATCTCATGGATATAAAATAGATATCCACCATGGACTGGACATTCAGTGGATATTGGGATGTTCAGTAGATATCCAAAGGATTTGGTGTGCTGTCTGGGCATCCTTATTAGGACTCTTCAGCAATAAATGGAAATTCTCGACTCCAGTCTCTAATGGAGTCTGACCGATCTACAAATTTCGATCGAACTCAATTACGGCGGGTTGAGCATGAGCACGAGCGAAAGTGGTATCGCCATCTATACTAACGGCCAATTTCATAATCAATTTAAAGGACACTTTAATTTTAAAGTATCTTTTAACCATATAGTTTAAATAGCTTAAAGTCTCCTTTCATTAAAGGCCACTTTAGCTATCGATTATGAAATTGGCCGTTAGTAAGCAAAATCAAAAATTATATCTAGTGGATGTCCATGGGATATTGAATACACCTTAAAAAAATTAATTTTAAATATCTGAACGGTACTATTAGCCACAATGGCGTAATTTTTTAATAATTTTCTATATAATTACTATTATTTATGGACATTTGCATGTCTATAAATTGCATTTCATGGATATAAAATAGATATCCACCATGGACTGGGCATTCAGTGGATATTGGATGTCCAGTAGATATCCAAAGGATTTGGTGTGCTGTCTGGGTAATAATAAATAATAATAACCCTCCTGAATTAGCAATATCAGTCTAAGCTAGTCTAATCAATCATACTATTTTACAAGAAACATGTCTATTTTTGCGAATCTATGAGTCTTCACAAAAATGAGCGAACCTCATATCGATTTGAGGTTGGACGGAAAAATGAGATAAAAAAACATTTTGTAAAAAAAAAATACTTTAATTTGTGCAATATATAAAATCCAAATAATACTTCATGTGATACAATAATTTACATAAAATTATCACAACATTAAATGCATTAAATAAGACGTTAAACTACTGGATTACTAAATTTCCAACACATATACTGCTATTTTCAGTCAAATAACTGACATTTCCATACCATAAACTAGAATTTTATCCCCTTAACAATTTCTATTATTTACGTCTCCTTTATTTCCTTAATTTTGTCCTTATTGTCCCTGTAGATGACATAGTTTAGCGCCGTTGCCACACTCAACCAGAGACAGTAGGGTAAAATAATAAAGCCTGCAGTGTGGTTTACTTTGTAAAATAGGTAAGCAGTAGCCAGTGCCGTCCCGTTAACTAGTTGCATTTCGTAGAGAGCCTGAAACAAACATAAAAATGTCGAAAATAATTTTAGAAACATTTTACTAAAAATTTACCAATTTTATATCTTTCTTTCCGAAAAAAATCGGTGTCCATAACCAATTCGCCAAAATATTGACTCCATATACCATCAAAGGCAGTTTGGCACCACCTAGTTAAAAATATATTATTAAAAAATTACTTATAACTCATAATACTGTAAACAGAAAGTATGATATTCTGCAGGTTTGTATCACATGATTATAAAATTACATTTAATGCTGATTTGCGATTAATATCTATAATTCTTTGGAGATTTTCCATCATTTTTTGGATATTACTATCGAGTGAAATTATTGTAGTGTCATCTATTTACTGAATAATGTAGGACTGAAAGTATTTGGGTTGTAACGAGAATAAGGAAACCAATCATGACAGAAAATATTGTACAAGAATGGGTCCAGAGGAGATCCTCATGGAACACCTTGGAATGGAACGAAAACCAAAATAAGTTGACAGTCATTGATTTTTCTAACCAAAGAGTAATTTTCTAGGAATTATTTAGCAGGAATAGAATTACTTCTTGCAGTTTGCAAAGTAGACCTTTGTGCCAAATGATAAGAAACATTAAAACCTAAAGTTCCAACTTTCAATGATACTAACTATACAATTAATAAAAAATGCAGTAAATTGCCTACCTTCGAAACCATTACCATCCCTGTATACCAAATACGAGGCGTAGCCCATCGAGCTGTACAACGTCGTCCATACTGGCCCAAAAGCCCAATTTGGGGGTCTCCATTCTGGTTTCTTTAAACCCTCATACCAAGGGTTGATGCTCTTTTTCGTAATAAATCCACCGGCGATGCCTCCCAAATTAGGCAGAACAGTAAAACCTATTGCCGGCCAGTTTATCTCGATCATTTTTTACGTAAGAATATGTAGAAAAATAATTTATGATAGAATGAAGTTAGATTCTGAATTTATAACCTACAAATTATCTTATCTGATTTGCGGTTTAGATACGCACCTATGCATTTTTAGAAAATTGTTTTATTTGATGTATGATATAATTCACACAGTGCAAAGTTCATTTCCTATGACTAGAATCGCGTAAAACGCATTAATTTTTAATATGCAGACCTTGACTTAACGGTGATTATCTATTTTGACATTTATTTGTTTATTGAGTTTATTTTTTATTTATTATTGGATGCATTTATTTAGGAAGATGTATTTTTAGGTGTAACTATTATCCTTAATAAACTTTGATTGAAAGATTCAATTCCATTAACATTTTTGTTAATAAAAAAAAAAAAATCAAATTTGAAAAAAGCTATTTAGCAATGTTGCCAGTGTCAGATAGAAGTTATCTTCACAATATATTGTGGTTATATTTAACTAAAAAACAGATTTGTAAAAACAAACGAGAGATTTTAATAAATTACAAAATTAAAGAAATATATTATTTAAACGCATTTATTAAAAACTAGATGTTCTGGTAGTTGTTTGTTATTTATGAAAGATAAATAATTTGTTGTAGATTTAGAATTAAAAATCTGAAAATCATTGAAAAACAGGAAATTTGGTAACATTGCTCTCTAGTTTACTGTTTCTTCATTTTGAAAGTTTTACACAGTTCTTTGAAGATGGCGCTATCTGTATAACATTCTAAAACCTGATAAATAATTATATATTATCCCCAGTGAGAATATTATGCATAATATTAAGATAATATGTACACTGATTAACCATTAAATTGTTTAGAGGGTCAATAAAACGAAAGGGTTAATTTATGGACAAAAATGGCGACAAAACGACAAAAAAGTCATTGAGGAAAATTAGAGAACTGTAATTCGACGACAGTTGTACATATTAACCGATAGATGTAGATAATACATTTTTATTTTTGAAATTAATTAAAATCACATTTAATTTGATAAAATCTAGCTAAATTCACATAATTCAAAATAATCTATAAATAAAACTGGTTAATTGATACCACACGAAATTAGAACAACTTCGAGTAGTTCTAATGAACAGTGTCAATTTAAATACCCTGTATTTTTTAAATAATAGATAATTAATACGATACTTGATAATCTTTTGAAGAAAAATATTTTATTTAATTGCCGTACACCAGATATTCAGGCTTTTAATCGTATTTTAATAGTTAAAACTGTTAAAAGTACTGTGTTCTGACATGAACTCCAAAACGTACCTGTTCTTTCAAATCGTTCTGTTACATTTTGTCAAATTCCAAAATTTTTAAAAATGAAAAAATAACTCAGCAATAAGCCACCATGTTCATAATTTAACCGTGCATTTACAGTCATAAATTTAATCATTAGATCTAAAAAAATAGTAATAATTAATTCGAAATAAAAAAGTGTGACCTCACGGCGAGTGCGGGTACTTTTTATAGATAAAGATGGCGGCTCCCGTATTTATCGAAGAGGAACTGGGCCGAAAATGGGATAAATGTTTAACAGATGGATTAATTAAATTCGGTGAGTTAACAAATTGAACTCAAGAATGATATATCAGTTTGATTAAGTGTTAAAATTGCTTACTTTTATTTTTTTGGTATATTATGTCATCAGCTAACCTAAAATTATTTTTAGGCGGAGGCCTCGTCCTAGGATCAGTATTCTCTTTGCTATTTTTCAAAAGAAGGAGATGGCCCATAATCATGGGAGGCGGTTTCGGCGTCGGAATGGCTTATTCTAACTGCGAAAAAGAACTTAATAACACATTAAGGGGGTGCGAAAAGTGTTCAACCAAACCAGAAGCTAAAGTCGTGCAGTAGAACTTTTAATATTAGAATAAAAATCGCCTTTCGAGTGACAGTGGGTCTAGTTCATCCTAAATTGTTTAGTAGTTTGTAAATATTTGTTACACAATATTTTTATTTTTAATTTATATACTTGGTTCTAAGCTGTTCATTTGTTTGTTAATGTAATATAAAGCGGGTAAGACTCTGTATATTTTTCTTCTTTTTTTACATTTTTCCGACTCAGTATAAAGAATTTTATACTGAACATTAAATAAAAATAGGTTTGTAATTAAACGAAAGACGTAAATGTATTTAGAGGAACTCTAATATAATTATTGAACTTGAAAATCTTAATATTGCTGGATATAAAAATATTTATAATTCTAGACAAATAATCAACATTGTTTGATAATTGATGTCATGATAGGAACAATATTTAGTTTGAAATTATACACAAAAAATACCCTTTAGAATCATGCAATGTTCTACATCCCCTAGTAAATCTGATAATGCGTTTCTAGTTAATTTGGAAGAATATTAATGTACCAAAAACAGAGAGCATTGATATTTTTGTTGGAGACATTAACATTCTTGGTCAAATTTCATATAAACAATTAGCAACATTATCAATTTTTGTAATTAAATATTTGAGAAATGCTTAAAAAATAGGCTATACTTATATGACTATTTTAAAATAGCAAACATTCTGAGTATAAAGCAATTTGGTTTCCAAAAAGGGGACAAGTACAAGTGATACCATGAATGAATTAATATCAAGTAAACAAATAACTTAAGAGAATAACAAAAATATAGGTGTCTTTATAGACCTAAGGCGTTTGACATTGTTCTCCATAAACAACTTATAAATGTTCTTGAAAGTCATGGAACAAGGGGAACAGTGATAAAAGTATTTGAAAATTATTTAAATGAAAGAAAACAAGTAATAAAAATAAAAGAATGAACATTAAAAATAGGAGTTCCGCAGGGAACAGTTATAGGTCCGATATTATTTATGGTTTATAATTATTCATTATTACATCTAGATACTGAGGGTGTAATAATTTTTATTATTTGAAAGCAACACATGGGATTCTGTTAAAGAGAGAGTCACCAAAAATTGGTTAGACATTAATAAATTATCACTGAACATTTCTAAAACCGTATATATAGCGTTTTCCCTAACTAATGCTAATCGACCAACATTTATGAGATTCTTATTACACTCTCAATTTATCTTAGAAGAGACAAACAACTAAATATTTGGGTGTAAAATAAGATTAAAATCTTAAATTGACTCCTCAAATTCAATACTTAGCAAAGAAAATCACAATAAAACAAATTCTATTTTGAATATAAAATTGTTAATATATTAGGCATTATTTGAATCGGTAATAAGATACGGAATAAATGTCAGTTTTAAAAAGTCTTCTTATATAACAAGACTACTTTTAATATCAGATTAATAATATATTTTCAGTTCTGTAACCTACCTCACCCAGGTATACCTTAATAATTTATTAATTCCATTTATTAAATAAAATATTGCATTCTTATTAAATTCAAAATCAATCATTTAACGAAAAATCTCCTAGATACCTAATAAATAATACATATAACCCTGTCCTTAAGAGATCCACTTTTCGTGCACGTATCTGGGAACCTAGACCAAGAAACATTTGACACACTTATTGTTTGAATAGTAACTTTGTTTTCGATACACAAAATTTTCAAGGCAAGTAATAAATCAGCCACCCCCTTTCCACCCACATTCGTTTTTCGCTGACACACAGACGTAACAAAAAGCCATTAAAACTGCTATAAGAACCCAGACCCAAATGAGCTCGGATTCATTCATTTTTTATTATTTGATGTGTAAGCATTCATTTTATTATTTTACATTCAAGCAATCACTTTATTATCTGTATCCAGTTATATAGTCTGTACCTTTCCTAAAATGAGCTTCCTAAACGACGTCTATCCTACAATACCTCCTATTTTCGAAGGTGTCAACGTCTCGACGCCCAACGTCCTACTACCTTTCTACGCTATCACTTCTAACACCACTTTAGTATTTCCTACCATTATAATCATCCCGACGCTTTACTTCCGTACCTATCTACGTCTCGAATGCTGTCACATTCCACACCAACTATTTCCTACCTTACATCTGTCCCAATGCAGTACCGTACATCTGTTCCAATGCAGTACCGTATTAAATACCTTCCTCTCCACCACGACGCTAGGCGCCTCGACGCAAGACGACGCTCAACGCTGCGACGTACCTAAATCGACGCCGTCACAACGCTAAGTGAAATTAGTACATAGCTAATGTCTGCATTTTCAATGGCGAGTCAAAAGATTTATGTAACTTTCTTTGAAAGAAATATACAGGCTTGTATTAAGTTATTTTAATAGAAATTATAATAATCAATATTAAAAAATATACAGGGATGTGCCATCTTGGATAAATTGTACAAACAAGATGGTAAAATTTAATAGTAAGTTAACCAACTGGTGAATACACTATTCGTTAGCTCAAGGGGGGACACCTATATGCTAAGCCACCCATTCTACAAGGTTTGAAACAAAGTATATGTGAAATCAACATAGTAAGGTAACCAACTGGCGAATTGGCGCTGTTCGTTACTTCCGTTGGTCATCAACGTGTTGCCAATTAGACGCAACTTTTGTGGTTTTTGTCTATGTATTGCGATTTTATTGCGTTTTCCACTTTTTGGCGCCTTTTTTGCGATTTTTACCTGCAAATGACATTTTATATTTTACTCTTATAAATATCGAATTTTGATACTCAAAACAGACATACATTTTTAAGAAAATTTATATGTTAAAAACGTATTGAATATAGAGTGATTACTTGTGAATTACCATAAATCATTATTCCCTATTTTGTGCTTTTAAATCATATTTGAGGCAATATTTTGGCTTTTTATGTTGGTAATAGAGTTGCGCTTTTTATGCTAGAGTTTTGCGATAATCGTTTCTTCGGTATTGGCAACACTGGTCATCATCTCTATACTCTTCGAAATATTTACATAAGAGGGTGAAACCTGTGTATATCTAGAATAGAATCAAATCGACACAGTAGTTAACCAACTGGCGAATTGACGCTGTTCGTTAACTCCGTTGGTCATCAATCTAAATAAAATATATCTTTATAGCAAATGAACGTGGTCTAAGTTTGAACGGGACTCAATTGAGATCTCAGTAAATAATACCAATTGTAATATACTTTGCTAATTATCGCATCACATTTAAAGTATGAAAAATAAAAGAGTTTAAATATAAATTTATCTGGTTTTATTTATCAATTTGCACCAAAATTTGCATCGAATCCTAGTTTACCTAAATTAACATTATCAAAACGTTAGTATATAAATTATTAATTAACTAGCCGATCACTTCTACTACTTGAGGAAAAAGGCCAAATACAGTAAGTATAGAACTAAAATAAAAATGTGAGGTAAATAATAACATTTCCTAGAGTAAAACAACGAACCAATGTGTGCCGGGGGTGGGCCGTTACACTTCTATATTCATTTTCAAAATTAATAATTATATAAATCACACATATCTTACCAGGCGTAGAAGCAAAATATGTTAAATACTCCTTCATTTTATTATATGACGGGAACCAAAGATTTATCACAGCTGCAGGACCAAAAATATTTAATAATTTACCTTGTATTATCAGAAAAAATAAAAAAATACGTAATAATTTCCTGAAAATGCTAAAAAGTTCATCAGTAGTACCTTATAGAGAAAAAAAAATTCAGTATGTCTAAAAATTTCCGTTTTTCAGAAATAACTCGAAAATGGTTCTGGATATGTTAAATATTTTTACACCCTATTCTTCTCTTTTGGTTTGACTGTAAGTCTTCTACCATTCCGATATTTGCCAGTATTCCTGCAATCCCTTACGATTACAAGAAGTAAATTTTGAACAATGACTAGATTTTCTGTTGAGGTAGACTCAGTTTGAAGTCTAGGGAGTCCAATCTCTTAATGAACTGATTGATAGGCAACTTTTGCTAAATCTTATAGGCACAAAATATTATAAAAACAAGTTTTCAAAAAAAAAAATTGGTATATTACAAATATTCAGCAGATTCACAAAATATTTTTATACAATAAATAACAATAAAACAAATTACCTAGAAATAATAAAAAAAACTGTATAAATGGTTGCACTATTTCCACTAAAACGGAGGCATATAGTTATAAAACAAAATTAAAAATATGCCAAAACAGTTAGCAAGCACCAAAAATTATGATTTAAAAAACGAATTTCATTTACCTACAAAAAAAACCATCATGTACCAAACTGCATAAAAGACTCGCCGTTGAGAGAACAAATACAACTTTTAAATGCTATTAACATTCTAAAATACAAATATAAATCATCCAAAAAGGAAATATTCGCATTATAGTACAATAATTAACAACAACACACTTATGTAAGAAATTTATTAAAAAAACTAACCTAACTTTTTCTCTCAGATAAAAAATCATAGTACTGAGATGTCATTTGGTCCATAATTTTTATTACGAAGACAAATAAAATTTCGTATTTTTTCTTTCAACTACAGAGCGTGCGTGCATGGTTTCGAATTTGTATATTTTTTTCATTTTTTAACTAACAATCCATTGGATGAAAAATTTTCAATATGAAAGTGATTCGTTTATCTTTATCCTACGATTAAATTTATTTTTATAAATACCTATCTACTAATCAATGTTCTTCTTGTATATATCTACGGTTTGACTAGAAAATTAACTTTGAATAATTCAGTTCATATTTTCAAGAGTTATCAATAGAGAAAGATTTGGTTCAACAATATAAGAGAAATTAGTTTATTTAACGCGGTTTTTTGGATATTTTATTTTGCAAGCGCTATGTATAAAATTTTTAGGAAGGCCAAGATATTGTTTTAACTTTATTTTAGAATACATTTCTTTTTGTAAATCGTACAGCTCACTAGCAAAAAATGTCTCGTTCATTTTTATTTGAAAATTATTTCATAAGCAACAACTGCATATTTTTTTAAAACTATATAACGCATAACTTGCGAGAATACCAGAAATAGCTATACCATCCACTTTAGGCACCATATTTGGCTCCTAGTGACTCTTACCTTGAATGTTGCGGCTTATTATCCATTTTATCAATAGACTACGAATATGTGTATGTAGATATTTAAAAAAACTGCAATCGATAGTGTGCCATTCAATTTACAAAACTCATAAAATTTCGATTTGCTATTATATATGTATATATATCAAATTTTGATGATGAATATTATCACAAACCTGTTCGCCGACTGTCAAACTCGTCTAAAAACATGACTACCAAAAATCGACGTTTGACAGACGAAGAAAATGAAGTCTGACACATCGCTTTCCGCAATCTATAAAAAAAAAACTTTAAAATATATATACATTCAACCGAAAAGCATAGTTAAATGGAACTTGTAAAGGTTTCTGATTTAAAAACAATAATATTAAAACTAAATCTAAACCTAGCGATCTCTACACAATGTAAAAATTTGATAAATCTTCCTATAAACATTAAAATAAAACACAGTTTGATCCAACCGAACTAATTCAAACATTTCCCATTTGACAACCGACAACTGAAGTGTGACATCCGACATATATAATGGTGAGATCAAACTGTACCCGAAAATAAAAGCTCATCAACAAAATGACAAATATAAAAAATCTCCAACAACAAACTCGGGACAATCAACCAACTAACTAACCAACCAATCATTTTGTGTGTCTAAACCTCAAAAACACCTTTCCCTTCAAAGCTTTTAAATTGCCTGCCGGCGCAACGATGAACCAGATGCGAGATGCGATGACCTGTCTACTTTATGGGGAATTCGGGCCAATAGTTGACGTGGAATCGTTGGGTGGTGCCCTCGAACAGCCGGTCCAACCAATTTGAGAAGCCGTCGAGGAGCGTTCCTTGGAGCAGAATCGAATCATCGGATTCCGAGCTGTCAGAGTTGAAGCCTATGAAGGCGCCGCTCTCGCAGTCGAACTCCGTTGCAGCGGTGGTCGTTGGTCCGTTTTTCAACTTTTTCTGTTGAAAATAAACACCATTTTGCGTTTATGTATAGAACGTCAAATACTTTTTCATGTCATGTAAAGAAAGATGTGTCAAGAACGTCAAATGTCGATTTAGATGTGTCAGAAATGTCAAATGTCAGTTTAGATCAATGAAGTGGAGAAGGGTAGAATGATAACTAGCAATGAAAAAGTCTAGACACTATGCACAATTTCGTTTTGCACATTTTGTAAACAAGATTCAGGGACGGTTTAACAACATTTTGTGCAACAATTATAAAATAGTGCATCGGAAAATAATTAATAAGTATAATTTAATACTAAATTGAAATAAAAGCACAAAAAATCACAAATATACTCAAGATAACAAAGAATTGACGCCAAAAAAGCTTACAACAGCCACAACACAAACAAAAAACAGAGCTGAACATGAACATAATCGCTGAACAATGCCAATCCTGGAATTTGTTTACAGTGCTTTAGGGCAATCTCTCCTTGTCATTTACATGTGTAAGAGTGGAAGGTTGAATCATGCATAATTTCTACACTCGTGATGGATGCGCAGACGGTACCTTATTGTTCTACCCTCTCTACTTCTTTGGCTTAGATGTAGCGTCAGAAACGTCATTTGTCGATTTAGATGTGTCAAAAACGTCATTTGTCGATTTAGATGTGACAAAAACGTCATTTGTCGATTTATATGTAACAGAAACGTCATTTGTCGGTTTAGGTGTAGCGTCAGAAACGTAATTTGTAGATATAGATGTGTCAGAAACGTCATTTGTCGATTTAAATGTGTCAGAAACATCATCTGTCGATTTATTGTTGTCTGATCCACCAGCTTGTGGATTGAACAATTACCACGTGAAACAGAAAAGGGTTATTATAAATAGTCCAGAGTGAGATGAGCAATAAAAATGGCTGCGCCCATAGAGCCGCATCTTGTTTTATTGATGCAATATGAACATTGACTTTCTACCCTACTCCAGTTCATTGGTAAGAAACGTCATTTGTCGATTTAGATGTATTGTCAGAAACGTAATTTGACGATTTAGATGTGTCAACAACGTCATTTGTTGATTTAAATGTGTCAGAAATATCATTTATCGATTTAGATATGCCAGAAATGTAATTTGTCGATTTAGGTGTATAAGAAATCTCATTTGTCGATTTAGATGTATCAAAAACGTCATTTGTCGATTTAGATGTAGTGTCAGAAACGTCATTTATCGATTTAGATGTGTCAAAAACGTCATTTGTCGATTTAAATGTGTCAGAAATATCATTTGTCGATTTAGATGTGCCAGAAACGTCATTTGTCGATTTAGATGTATCAGAAACCTCATTTGTCGATTTAAATGTAGTGTCAGAAACGTAATTTGTCGATTTAGATGTAGTGTTAAAAACGTAATTTGTCGATTTAATGTGACAAAAACATCATTTGTCGATTTAAATATGTCAAAAACGTCATTTGTCAATTTAGATGTAGTGTCTGAAACATCATTTGTCGATTTAGATGTAGTGTCAGAAACGTAATTTGTCCATTTAGATGTGTCAGAAACATCATTTGTCGATTTAGATATGTCAGAAACATCATTTGTTGATTTAGATGTGTCAGAAACATTATTTGTCGATTTAGATGTGTCAAAAACGTAATTTGTCGATTTCGATGTGTCAGAAACGTCATTTGTCGATTTAAATGTGTCAGAAACGTCATTTGTCGATTTAAATGTGTCAGAAACAATGAACTGGAGTGGGATAGAATGCTTGTCAATAGGCTTGAGATGCGACTCTATGGGCACAGACAGATTATTTTTCATCTCACTCAGGAGTATTTATAATAACCATTATCTATTTCACATTGTTGTCTAATTCACCAGCTTGTTGATTGTACAATAACAACGTGAAACAGAAAATGGTTACTATAAATAGTGCCGAGTGAGATGAGCAATAAAAATGGCTGCGCCCATAGTCGCATCTTGTTCTATTGATGCATTATGCACATTGGCTTTCTACCCTACCACAGTTCATTGGTTAGAAACATAATTTGTCGATTTAGATGTGTCAGAAACATCATTTGTTGATTTAAATGTGTCAGAAACATCATTTGTTGATTTAAATGTGTCACAAACATCATTTGTCGATTTAGATGTGTCAGAAACGTAATTTGTCAATTTAGATGTGCCAGAAACGTAATTTGTCGATTTAGATGTGTCAGAAACGTCTTTTGTTGATTTAAATGTGTCATAAACATCATTTGTCGATTTAGATGTATCAGAAACGTCATTTATCGATTTAAATGTGTCAGAAACGTCATTTGTCGATTTAGATGTAGTGTCAAACGTAATTTGTCGATTTAGATGTGTCAGAAACATTTTTAGTCGATTTAGATGCGTCAGAAACATCATTAGTCGATTTAAATGTGTCAGAAACATCATTTGTCGACTTAGATGTGTTAGAAACGTCATTTGTCAACTTAGATATCATTTATTTACATTCGTCCAACAAAGACAAAAATATACGGTTAAAGAACTCAAACGTCTGTTGCGATTCACGTAAAGCTTACCTTCTTCTTTCTTTCCATGTGTTTGGCGTGGAACACACAGAAATACTTTCGGTGACCGTTTATGGCCAGTACCGTACCCACGCAATTTCTCGGATTAATGTTCAGATCTCTATCGTCTGGCAGAGAGAGCTGCAGCAGCTCTTTGTACCATTTAAGGCCCCTTTCAATGTATATGTATGAGAACATCAACGTTTTGTTCCTGTAAAAGACGGATGATAGTTCAAAACAGATATGGGGAAAGAAAGTGATCTGTTTATTAATGATACTCCTTAGTATGAAGAAGATAGAGGAATTTAAAGCTAAGAATCATTACTCACTTTCTATAAGGCCAGACGGCCTTATGGAAGGGCGGTATCAGTTGTTGTCTGGACTGCATGTCCAACACCAACACGATCGTCCTGCAGCCCGGTTTCAGTAATCGAACCAAGGCGTTGTAGCTCTCCGAACGCATCTCGTGCAAACGCAATTCCGGCTGGTAGGACGAATTGATGCCGTCGTTGTTATTGTTACTCGTTTTGGCCTTGTGTTTTTGGATGCTCTCCTCTTCAATGCGACTGCAAAGAAAAGTCGCGTCAGTACGACGGTTTTTTAATTTTTGGAAATTTAGATTGGGTTCAAATCCGGTTGTCCCGCTGGGCATTTAAAAAAATCAGGCGGATTGAAGTCAGGCGGTCGCGCGGGTCGTTTAGAAAACCAAATAGAATCCGAAACATCATCATCGTTGGTTAGTTCAAAATTCAAGCGTACTTGCTTTAAAACGGGCTGATGAAGTCAGATTATTTATTTCCAGAGTTGTGACAGATCTATCTTTAAAAATTCGATAGTGTAAAACCAGTAATTTAAAAAATATGAAATTTACAGAAATTATTCAAAACAATAGTAGTAATATTTCTTTGAATACAGCAATTCGATATCTTGTCTGGTTTCAAAATGGCAGGTTGATGAAGTTGAATTATTAGTTTCCAAAGTTGTGACAAAGCCATCTTTAAAAAGTCGCCAGTGTAAAACTAGTTATTGAAAAAAATTTAAAATTCTTGAGAATCCTGTAGAATAGATGCATAAACATTTTACTGAAAATATTAATTCGATATCTTTACTAGTTTTAAAATAGCTGGTTGATAAAGTCAAATTATTAGTTTCCAGAGTTGTGGCAATGTAATCTTTAAAAATTCGCTAGTGTAAAACCAGATACCAAAACCATATTAAATTCATAGAAATCATTTAGAATAGACGAAGAAATATTTTACTGAAAATAGTAATTTAATATCCTTACTAGTTTTAAAATGGTTGGTTGGTAAAGTCGAATTATTACTTTCCAGAGATGTGGCAATGTCGTCTTTAAAAATTTGCCAGTCTAAAACCAGTTATTGAAACAATATGAAATTCATAAAAATCCTTAAGAATAGATCTAGAAACATTTTGCTGATAACAGTTATTCAACATCTTTACTAGTTTTAAAATAGCGAGTTAATAAAGTCAAATTATTAGTTTCCAGAGTTGTGGCAATTTCTCTTTTAAAAAGCCGCTAGTGGAAAACCAGTTATTGAAAAAATATGAAATTCACAGAAATCATTTAAAATAGACGTAGAAACATTTTGCTGAAGACTGTCATTCAATATATTTACTAGTTTTAAAATGGCGGGTTGATAAAGTCAAATTATTAGTTTCCAGAGTTATGGCAATGTTATCTTTTAAAAAGCCGCTAGTGGAAAACCAGTTATTGAAAAAATATGAAATTCACAGAAATCATTTAAAATAGACGTAGAAACATTTTGCTGAAGAATGTCATTCAATATATTTACTAGTTTTAGTTTCCAGAGTTATGCCAATGTTATCTTTTAAAAAGCCGCTAGTGGAAAACCAGTTATTGAAAAAATATGAAATTCACAGAAATCATTTAAAATAGACGTAGAAACATTTTGCTGAAGACTGTCATTCAATATATTTACTAGTTTTAAAATGGCGGGTTGATAAAGTCAAATTATTAGTTTCCAGAGTTATGGCAATGTTATCTTTTAAAAAGCCGCTAGTGGAAAACCAGTTATTGAAAAAATATGAAATTCACAGAAATCATTTAAAATAGACGTAGAAACATTTTGCTGAAGAATGTCATTCAATATATTTACTAGTTTTAGTTTCCAGAGTTATGCCAATGTTATCTTTTAAAAAGCCGCTAGTGGAAAACCAGTTATTGAAAAAATATGAAATTCACAGAAATCATTTAAAATAGACGTAGAAACATTTTGCTGAAGACTGTCATTCAATATATTTACTAGTTTTAAAATGGCGGGTTGATAAAGTCAAAATATTAGTTTCCAGAGTTATGGCAATGTTATCTTTTAAAAAGCCGCTAGTGGAAAACCAGTTAATGAAAAAATCTAAAATTCATAGAAATCATTCAGAATACACGTACGCACATTTTGCTGAACAGAGCAATTCAATATTTTTACTAGTTTTAAAACGGCGGGTTGATAAAGTCGAATTATTAGTATCCAGAGTTGTGGCAAGGTTTTCTTTAAAAATTCGCTAGTGTAAAACCAGTTACTGAAAAAATATAAAACTCATAGAAATCATTCAGAATAGACTAACAAACGGTTTAGTGAAGACAGCAACTCAATGGCTTTAACGGTTTTAAAATGGCGGGTTGATAAAGTCGAATTATTAGTTTCCAGAATTGAGCCAAGGTCAAATTTCGGTTATTTTCGGAAATTTCGATTGAGTTAAAATCAGGTAGTCCATCGGGCCGTTAAAAAATCGAGCGGATTGAAATCATTCGTTTAGAAAATCAAATGGAATCCGAATAAAACAGATACAGAAGATTTAAATACTATTTAGCATATTTTAAAAATCAAGTGGTTCCAAATCCGATCATCCCAGCGGCTATGCGTAAAATCAAGCGATATAAATAATTTAATCATAAAAATCAATTGAGTTTAAATCCGGTCATCCCGGTGGCCGTTTATAAAATCAATCGGTTTTATATCGGATCGATCGCGGAGACGTTCGGATGTGTTTTATTTCGAATGTAATACTCACACTAAATACGCCATAAAATATCCAATGCCTAAGATGAACAAAATCGTTCCTAAAATCGAAAAAAGCGCTAAAATCTGATCCCTGGTCATTCCTTCGTAAGTGGTCTCTATGAATTGAATAACCCTGGTGTATATCCTGCCCATCAGACCTCTGGCGTGTTCGTCTACCAAATCCTGGATTGAAAAAAAAAAAAATAAAATTACATTTATTGCATATTTAGAGTCATAAAAATGCGGAATCGTATGTCAAATATACAAGTAGCGATATCTATTAGCACAATGGTAAATCTAATTTTTAGTTCGTTTATTTTTGTAGAGGTTGGTTAACCTGTCTATCATAAGTGTCAATTTTTCATATATATGTCATATGTCTTGAGTGTGTAATAATTATAAAAGTTACTGGCATAAATTAAAAGAACAACATAAGTTTAAAGTCTTTTTCGATTCTATACCTCCACTGCGACAATAAAATTACTAGATCGTACCTTAACAGACGCCTCGTTCGGTAAAGTTTCGCTAGGTTTCAACAATCTAGTGATAGTTTTTTCTAACGCTGAGGTAGTATCGCTGAAATTCTTGTCGGCGTCCCATTTTCCTGGCACCCATTCGTACCTGACGTGGGACATGTCCCTTCGCCATAGCACAACGAGTCTTAACAACGGTTGGATAATCTCACCTTCTAAAAAATTATAAATAAAAAAATCAGTAGAAATACGATTTTTTACGCGCGGCAACATCGCAAAACTTACCCGGCACCAAGGAATTAACGAACTCTGGCTGTTTGTCGTAGTAGACGTAAACGAATCGAACTTTTTCGACGCTGTACGGCGATTGTTGCGAAAAATACATGAATGATTGTCGATATGGATGAAAAACGTGCGATGAAGATATCACTAGAAGCACGCACAATTTTTTCCTCGGCTTGTTCCATTCCTCCGGGCACAAAGACTCTAAAACTTCCTACGAAAAACGAGAATGACTGACAAATGACAAACGACTGTCGACAAGTGACATTTGACAAGTATAACTATTTTCGATATTCGTGTTTCTACTTACTTGAGACGACAGTCTGGGCAATGAAAGGTACTGATTGGATGAAATGATGTGTTGCAAAGTAGGCGTAGGAATGTCTTTCATTGAAACGCTGGCCATCGGGTACGAAGTGTTCTCGTTGAACAGCAACACCGTATCCATGTCGTGCGGCACTTGATATCTACTTCTAAGCTCGTGCGAATCCACGAATCTGCAAGGAAGAATAGGAGACACGGATCGAAATAGAAGCGAAATCGAAAAAATTTTACTCACGCGAAAGCTACCCTATGTCTAAAATGATAGGCAGTGACCAAATATCTCAATCTGATTGTACTCCTGGGCTCGAAAATGAGACCTCTAACTCTATTGTCGTCCCAGCCGTTTAAGAAGTCATCTACGTCGTCCGAATTCACTTTAGTCACTAATTTATATGGCATTTTGTTTCTTATAAATTCTAAAAGACAAAGATTCGTTTATAGGGTTAGCTGAATATTTAATAAATCGAATTATGTTTCCAGAAATATGACGCTACTGACTTTAGATATCGACTAGTTTAAAACCAGTTATAGAAAATATTTCAAATTTATAGAATTCATTCGAAAGAGTCGTAGCAATATTTTGTTGAGCACAGCAATCGGATATATTTACCGGTTTTAAAATGACGGGATGATAAAGTAAAATTATTAGTTTCCAGAGTTATGACAATGTCATCTTTAAAAATTCACTACTGTTAAATCAGTTAACCAAAAAATCTAAAATTTATAGAAATCATTCAGAATAGACGTACAAACGTTTTACTGAAGACAGTAATCCAATATATTTACTTGTTTTAAAATGACAAGCTGATAAAGTCAAATAATTTGTATCCAGAAATGTGACAATGCCATCTTTAAAAATTCGCTAGTGTAAAACCAGTGATTGAAAAAATATTATTTTAATGGAAATCGTTTAGAATGGACTCTAGAAACATTTTGCTGGACACAGTATTTCAATATCTTTACTAGTTTTAAAATGGAGGGTTGATAAAGTCAAATTATTATTTTCCAGAATTGTGACAATGTCATCTTTAAAAATTTGACAGTCTAAAACCAGTTATTGAAAAAATCTCAAATTCTTAGAAATCATTTAGAATAGACCTATAAACATTTTTCTGAAAACAGTAATTCAATATCTTTATTAGTTTTAAAATGGCGATATGGTAAATTCGAATTATTAGTTTTCAAAGTTGTGACAATGTCATCTTTAAAAATTTGCCAGTCTAAAACCAGTTATTGAAAAACCTAAAATTCTTAGAAATCCTTTAGAATAGACGCATTAACATTTTTCTGAAAACAGTAATTCAATATCTTTACTAATTTTAAAATGACGGGTTGATAAAGTCAAATTATTAGTTTCCAAAGTTGTGACAATGTCATCTTTAAAAAGTTGCCAGTCTAAAACCAGTTATTGAAAATATCTAAAATTCTTAGAAATCCTTTAGAATAGACCTATAAACATTTTTCTGACAACAGTAATTCAATATCTTTATTAGTTTTAAAATGACGTGTTGATAAAGTCAAATTATTAGTTTCCAGAGTTATGACAATGTCATCTTTAAAAATTCATAACTGTTAAAAGAGTTAACCAAATAATCTAAAATTTATAGAAATCATTTAGAATAGACGTACAAATATTTTGCTGAAGACAGTAATACAATATCTTTACTTGTTTTAAAATGGTGAGCTGATACAGTCAAATTATTTGTATCCAGAAATGTGACAGTGCCATCTTTAAAAATTCGCTAGTGTAAAACCAATGATTAAAAAAATATTATTCTTCTAGAAATCCTTTAGAATAGACGTATTAACATTTTTCTGAAAACAGTAGTTCAATATCTTCACTAGTTTTAAAATGACTGGTTGATAAAGTCAAATTATTAGTTTCCCAGAGTTGTGACAAAGCCATCTTTAAAAATTTGCCAGTTTTAAACCAGTTATTGAAAAAATCTCAAATTCTTAGAAATCATTTAGAATAGACCTATAAACATTTTTCTGAAAACAGTACTTCAATATCTTTATTAGTTTTAAAATGGCGGTTTGGTAAAGTCAAATTATTAGTTTCCAAAGTTTTGACAATGTCAACTTTAAAAATTCGCTAGTGTAAAACCAGTTATTAAAAAAATATGAAAGTCATAGAAATCATTTAAAATAGACGTAGAAACATTTTATTAAAGACAGTAATTCAATAGCTTTATTTGTTTTAAAATGGTGGGTTGATAAAGTCGAATTATTAGTATCCAGAGTTGTGGCAATGTTAACTTATTTGCTAGTGTAAAACCAGTTATTGAAAAAATATAAAATTCATAGAAATAATTTACAATATATATAGAATCATTTAGCTGAAAACAGTAATTCAATATCTTTACTAATTTTAAAATGGCGGGTGTATAAACTCGAATCATTAGTTTCCAGAATTGTGTGATATACAACCTACCTATTATCCTTTGTATACTGGTAATGGTCTCCTTGTAAACGAAAATATCGCCGTCCAATAACAACACCAAGCACGGCAACGTATGTATACTCAACCTCCTACCCAAATTTTTCTCCCTACCTGAATGAACGGTGGCGAAATTCACCCCCAACGGTTCCAGATAGTCGACAAGTTTGCGACAATACGGAGCCGTTTGGATGCATTGAAAGCACCAGTCGGTGTAGAAAAAAATCAGGTAGGGAGTTTTCCTGCTTTTGGGTACTACTATTTTGTCGTATTGCCTAAAAATCAAAATTAAAGAGGTAATTTATTCTCTTAACTAGATGAACTTCATAAAATGTAATCTTGATAGTATTTTTTTATGCAAATGACAAAAAAAATCGTTGTTTTTTATATTTATGTAACTATAAAGTATTGGCAATACTGTATGAACATTACAAAATCTTGAAACTCTTAATTCTTTATTTTTTTAGAAAATAGTTGATTTTATAGGTTTTCTGGTAATATATTTTTAAAGTAGAAGTCTAAAAGTGTGTTTTGAACTATCAAAAAAACATCAATGAGTCCCACTACATGATTACCTCGTAGTTATAGACAGCTTATGGAAAAACGTAATATCATTCTCCTGAAAGTTAAAATGCGCCCCGTGCTGGGCGAACAAATCTTCGAAGGGGTGATTGGTATGAAGGGGGGCGTAATTTGGTTTCTTGTAAAAATCATCTTCAGTTATCCCGTGTATGTCGTACCGCTGTCTTCTATCAGGATCAGACAGTAGCTCATACGCCTGCTTTATTTCAACAAATCTTTCTTCTGCATTTGGATCGTTAGATTTGTCAGGATGCCTTTAAAACAGATATTGCATTGCAGAGAAATTATATGTATATTACTATAACATTTTGACACTTTAATGTATTTTATAGTTATAAGTTACAATGAGTTACAATAATAAATAAGTTACAATAAAGTACAATAATGGAAACCAATTATATAATAAGGTGATAACACCTGTATGTGCTGACAAAAATTAAAATTTTATTTTAATTATATTTAATGAATTATAAAGGAAATAAAAAATAAAACTTGAACAATTTATGCAAGAAACAGAAAAAAAAAACTATTTAAAAAAATCCACGTATTAAGTCCATTATTCTTGGAATATTCTGATAAACTTTACATTATTCTGGAAAATGTATATTTTGCTAACCTTGAATATCAATCCGAGTTAAGCTCTTAATGTATAAATTAAATAATATAGGTCCCAGAACAGTCCCTTGAGGCACTCCGATTTGTATATTTTCAGGGTTACTCACATTGTCTCTGACCTTTACCTTCTGTTGTCTGTGTGTCAAATAATTTTCAAAAACCTTCAACATGATGAGTAGATAGACAAAGCAGATTCTCCCCCACATAAGGAATTCAATGTGTAAGAGTGAGAGGTACATATTCAATGAATAAGAGTGAGACAGCCGGTCTGAGGGGAAAGCGGGGTAGTGGAGGGAGTGGGGCATAGATTAACGTCGAAGAGAATTTTTGCGCAGAACGAAAAGACAGAAGGGCCTTAGCGTGTATCTTATTGGTCCGATCCAAACGGGAAAACAGCATTATGTAGAGAACGTGGTATATATTAACGTTGAACAGAAAAATCCTGCGCAGAATGAAAATCCGGAAGGGCCTTAGCACGTATCTTCACTGCTATTGGTCCGATTCAAACGGGAAAAACGGCGTTATGTAGAGAACGTGGTATAGATTAATGTAGAAGAGAATTTTTGCGCAGAACAAAAAGCCAGAATGGCCTTAGCGTGTATCCCAGCTATTGTTGGTCAGATTCAAACGGGAAAAACGGCGTTATGTAGAGAACGTGGTATAAATTAACGTAGAAGAGAAAAAATATGAGCAGAACGAAAAGCCAGAATAGAGTTAGCACGTATCTTCACTGCTATTGGTCCGATTCAAACGGGAAAAACGGCATTACGAAGACAACGTAATATAGATTAACGCAGAAGAGAAAAAACATGCGCAGAACGAAAAGCCAGAATGGTCTTAGCATGTATCTTCACTGCTATTGGTTCGATTCAAACGGGAAAAACGGCATTATGAAGAGAACGTGGTATAGATTAACGTAGAAGAGAGAAAAAACATGTGTAAAGCCAGAATGGCCTTAGCGTGCATCACGTGGTCCGATTCAAACGGGAAAAACAGTTTTATGTAGAGAACGTGGTATAGATTAACGTAGAAGAGAAAAAAACATGCGCAAAACGAAAAGTCAGAATGGCCTTAGTGTATATCTTCACTGCTATTGGTCCGATTCAAACGGGAAAAAACGGAATTATGAAGAGAACGTGGTATAGATTAACGTTGAACAGAAAAATCCTGCGCAGAACGGAAATCCAGAAGGACCTTAGCGTGTTTCTCGGCTGGTAGTGGTCAGATTTGAACGAGGAAAACAACATTATGTCGAGAACGATTAACGTTGAATAGAAAAATCCTACGCAGTGACAAAGCCAAAAGGACCTAAGCGTGTATCTCGGATATGACTGGTCCGATTCAAACGGGAAAAACGACACTATGTGGAGATAGTTCAATATTACCTAATCTACAAGTAGACAATTTTGATCAAAAAATGATGATTAGACGTGACTATGTCTTCAAGCTGGTCCAATGATAGAATCAAACGTACAAACAACGCTATGAGGGAGCTGTGGTATAAATTACTATTAAAAAGATAAATCAACTATTATTGGACAGAATCAAACATGACAAACGGCTCTATGAAGGATACGCGACGTAAAATAACATTAAAGAGAAAAATCATGCCAAAAGGATATAAGTCTCGGCTATTATTTCATAGAATTAAACAAGAAAAAATGACGTTGTAAAGGAAACGTGACGTAAATTAACACTGAAGAAAAGAATTGGCTCAAAAGCAATAATACCAAGAGTCCAAATCTTTATTGCTATTGGTACTCCATTCTGTTCAAGAACTTCTGATGTGGCACTGTGTCAAATGCTTTTGCTAGATCTAGAAATATAGCTATACCCTTGTTACCAGTATTCATTTCATCAGTAACATATGAAATCAATTCATGCATAGCATCTCCTGAGTTAAGATCCTCAGTAAAGCCATATTGGTGCTTGGGAAGTAAGTAATTAGTTTTTAAAAAATCTGTCAGTCTATCTTTCACACATTTCTCAAATATTTTGGCCACATTGCTAATTAAACTAATAGGCCTATAGTTAGTTATTAATTTTGGATTACCAGCTTTATAAATAGGTGTTATAATTGAAGTTTTAAATTGTTTAGGTACGATTCCTGTATTAAAAATACAATTAATTATATGCATTAAAGGTTCCAGTAAATACAGATGTAGTAGTTTCAGATGTTTTACTGTTATACAATCAAATCCCGGGGCACTATTGTTTTTTAAACTATATATGTGTTTTATAAAATCGTTTTCACATATCGTTTTCAAAAACATTGATTTTTCAGTGACACTTACAGGAAAATCCACATTACATTCAGGAATATTTGTAAACATATTAGTGCCAATAGCTGAAAAGTAGTTATTGGAGTAATTCGCCATTTCATTATCATTTTCAAATTCCTCATTATGTTGGTTAACAATCTGTAAATTGGTATTATTTTTTTTATGATTTTCATTAGTTGCTTCAGAGATTAATTGATAAGTAAGTTTTTTCAGATCATTATTGTTTTGGTTTATTTTATTGTTATAATAGTCATTTTTAGTTTTTGATATTAGTTTGTTTAAATTATTTCTAAATGTTTTATAGTGAGTGTTAATAGTATAGTTTTCTGTAGATCTTTTTTAAGTTTATCCCTAGTTTTAATAGAATTAATTAAACCATTTGTTATCCATGGCTTTATTTTTTTATGGTTTTTAATTTTAATATTTTGAGTGGTTTGGCATGTTTCAATGATATTAAGATACGTGTCATAAAAAAGTTGTGTTGCAATTTCTGGATTTTTTTTTTATTTGCAAACACTTTCCCAGTTTACAGTTTCGAATTTTTGTTTTAATTTATCAGTATCGAGTTTAGTTATAGTTTTATATGTATTGTAGGAACTTGTGTAGTTTTTGGCAGATTGTGAGATATTTATCATAATAGGATCATGATCAGTCATATCATAACTGATTACATAAGAGTTCACTGATAGATTTTCAGTCTTAATATTATTTTTTAAGAATATGAGATCGATTCAAGCATGTTTTACTTTGTGGCTTTGTAATAGTGTTTATGTAAGACATGAAATCATGGGAGTAAAAAGTAACTTGGTAATCAGTAGTTACTTGATTGGTTACATTTAGGAGATCAATATTAATGTCCCCTATGAATATTTCAATATTTCTATTTGGGTGATTTGGTATGAAATTTTCTAAATCCCTTATAAATGCTTGTGCAGAGGTTTGAGGAGACCTGTATACACCTGTAATGCCAATGGTCCGATGATTGACTTTTAGATTTATTTTAGTGACACAAATATCAGAATATTCCAGTTTAACTATATTTAATTCTGCATTTAGATTTGACCTGACCAAAATTACAACACCATCATTTCTGTTATTTGTGTTTATTTTATTTCACCTAAACTTTTTTGTCATCTGATAAGGTTTGGTACTTTTTTGCGTTTTTTGTTTCCTTGGTAGATTTTATTTCGGTTTTGCAGAGATAATGCATTAATCTATGCAACTGTGACTTACCTAAACAGTTTATTAATAATCAAATGTTTGCTATAAACATACACTTTAGGAAAAATTTCACTAAAAATATATAAAAACTACTGTTTTTATCCAGTATTAATACAAAAATTACAAAAAATATCCTATTATTAAATTTCAGTTAAAAATCAGTAGACACTCACCATTCTTTAACTAGCTGCTTGTAGGCTTTCCTTATTTCCGGTTGGGAAGCCCTCTGGTGTACCCCTAATATTTGGTAAGGGTTACCTAATGCAGAAGTTACACCCCACAAGGCGCAAAATACTATAAGGGCACAATAAATCCAAAGTGTGGCCCCCCATTTCATTTTCACGTTGTACACAAATACATCTAACGACTCACCCCAAAAAACTAGACTTATTTAGGAAAATCATCGGGAAATTTACTTAAAGCGATGATAATATATTGATTTTCCACAAGAAATATGTGTCAACTGTCAAAATGTATTTTTATCCCAGCTCCACAGACCATACCCTTTACCCAGCTCCTGTCCTGTACACCCTTATGACAAATACAGGAATTTTCCGGGATTTCCTTATTATTTTTAGTCACTACAAAAATTGTATGTATCTGTTAAAGTGAAACCGAAATAGTTAAAATGCTAGGATATGAAGCCAAATCATTTTTGAATCAGGTTTATTTATATGAATTTGAATTGAATTATTCATAACTACATTTGAATCGAGATTTCCCGACATTGACCGAACTCGTCACTTGACAGTAAAAGAAGAAAAAAAGACGAAAAAGAATTAATTGGATTAACAATTAGTTTAATTAATTAATCTGACAAATATATTTAAAAAATGAAAAAGGCTTTATACAGTAAAAATGCGTTTTTTTATTAAATCTACAAAAAATCTTAAAAGTAGAAGGAACTATTTCTACTCAAATCTAGATGTCACTACTAATAATGCGTAATTAGATATTAATATCATCCCTATAGATGTCGCTAAAAAATAAAAGTTAATTATAAAAAAATGTTGTTTTGATAAATAAGTCTCTTATTTAAGACTTATAAACTAGCGAGCATATTAATAATATAAGTCAAAAGCAAAAATTTGTGTTTATATAAATTTAAAGATTATTTTTTGGACTAAAAATGGCCAGCCAACCCGATTTTAAATAATAATGTTTGCTTTGGCCTATAGATGTCGGGAAAACAGGCATTCCAAACAGAAGAACTGTCAGTTGGAAGGGTTGATATAACTAAGCGGTTGCGACATACAATATATTCTATATTCTATCTACAACACATGAAATCATGAATAATGAATTAAATTTAAATATTTTTTGTAGAACCCTTAGGGCCGAGTCCACCGTTGTGTTAAACGGAGTTTAAAATGAGATTGTTAATGTAAAAATGTAATTTTAAACATCGTTTAACACAACGGTGGAATCGATCCTTAGAGCATATATAAGACTAGAGATGTTATTCAAATGGGTACTGAGGGGGGTAACATCTTCGGTGTTAGGTAGGTACACGACGCATTATTCATGGCTTTCGAAACACACTTATTTGCTTATTTTGTTAAATATTAAACATATATTATTATTATTATTATTATAATTATTATTTTTTTGTGTCATCGGCTTCAACCGATATTATTGTTTACAGGCTTAAAAATAACGATAGTAAAGAAAATATGCCCTTATCTGCAAATCCCAACATTGGAAATTTCGAAGTTGGAAAAGAAAGATAAGGCTATTGAAAAGGTATGATAGTTCTTATATTTTTAAAAAGCAAATAGATGCTGGTAATAATAGCCTGTGGAACTTTTAAAATTTAATTAAATGTATATCATTAATAAATTTACAGAATACATTTTATGTACATTTCATTTGTAGGGACGAAAATATGCAAGGCAAGGAACTTCAATCTTTAACTCTCTTTAGAAGACAAAAAATTGTTTAAAATTTGATAAACTCCCATTCATCTACACTAACTGCTTCTGAAAGGGAAAGAAAACTTACAAAAGAAAAACGAAGGTTTGTTGAAGTCAAATAAGATATTTTTTCATATAATCAAGCATTATTATGATTTCAGAAAAGCAATGCTTAAGAAAAGAACTGAAACAGTTATTTTTTGACAGAAAATTAGCTCTTGCCCAAAAGAAGATTCTACGCAAAAAAATATAATTAAAAAGCTTAGGAGAAATATATTTAATAAACAGATTGGAATCTTTAAATAGTATGATAGGAGATATATATATATATATATATATATATATATATATATAAAAATTAACTCTTTTATCAAAAGTACAGATACACTTATGGATGTAAGAATTAATTCCAGTAATTTTCATAAATATAACGAAAGATTAACATAAATAGAAAAAGAACATTGTTTAATAAATTTTTATTAATCATGCGAATCAATTATCTAAATTATTATTTATTGTGAAATTACAGTACATAAATGGTAAACATAAATGCGAACCCTTTTAAATCGTACGCCATTGAGAATGGAGTACCTACCCCTCTCTCCTCCTGCCAAAAGTGATGACCCCGCTTATACATAACAAAATACATTGAATGATATCTTTAGTCTTATATGCTTTAAGTTAGAACCCAATAAAAATAATATTTTTAAAAGAACCCCTCAACATTTTTCATAAATTGGTAGGCTTGGCGATTACTATTTCGAATAAAAGTCTATGTCGCAACCCCCTTATACATACGAGCTCTTCCCACTGGCAGAAATTGTTTGACAGGTTGTTGGAATTACAGTAAACTGTTTTCACAGGTTCGACTAATTTTTCATAGATGGTACTTTATATATAATTATTTTTCATCTCCCGCCTATGAACTCTGAACTCCCACCACCTCTTTTCTCCTTCCTTTCTTTTCTTTTCACTTTTTTCTCAGTCTTTCTCTAAACGAAAAAGGGAGTGTTTGTGCATCTAGTTAAGAAACCATAACCTAAATTTAATGTTTTTTTAGTAATTTTTTTATATAACTAATATAAAATGACATTGGTACAACGAACTGTGATAGTTTTTATCTTAGTAGGTGAGTCGCTTTTTTTATAAAAAACTTTCGATAAATTATCCATAAGGAAATTAATCATATTATTATGAAAAATACTTTAGTGTCTCTAATCTTTGACCCTATTGAATCATTGAAATGATATAATTGATTATACTATCTAGTTCCACTATTGACTAAAATGGAAATAATATTTAATTATGATTTTAGTGTATAATAATTATATTGCATTAAAGCGGTAGTAGGTATATTTATTTATCGGAATTTTTAAATTCAGGTAACAATAGAATACTTTTTGTACCTACTTTGGTTTTTGCAAAACACAAGGTTGTTGTTTAGATTTATTAAAAACTTGTTTACTGTTAAGTGGACCAGGTTGTTATTCAGAAAATAAAACTTAATTGTTTTATATTAAGAGAATAACAATAATTGAGTAATATAATATAATACCTACTAGACTTTGTAATTCTCTTTATTTTTAATTTTATTCGATATACCTAGGTACAAGGTCGAGGTAAGTAAAAATTCGATAATTTGAGACGATACTTAGCAATAATTACAGCAATAATAATAAATATATTTTTTGTATGATAGCAAACAATGTACCTAAAGTAATTATTGTCACATTCATTACTTTTCTCATATCAATGCACTGCCGTAGATGAGTAGCAAGTATGTAGGTACACCTTGCATATTAAGACGTTGAATCACAGTCGCACAATTACGATTTTAAATGACATTTATTAACTATTTAAGATCCAATTTGTGAATGTGTGTGGTAGATAGGTATAATAAATAAAAAAATGATATTAAAAACATACCTATAATCTTCGTGAGAAGAAAAATGTAGTCTGCGTTTTGAAAGAGTCGTTTACATGACGAGAAGATAAAAAAGGTACCTACGGGTACCTAAATATTGTTTAATGTGTATGAGTTTGCTGGGTCTTAGATGCCTCATTTTTAACAAAGATTTCCGTGTGTTTTTGCTCCTCAAACATTACTCAATATGTACGAGAACAGCTTTGAAAGGGGATAGTGTAGGAAACCGTTTTCACAGTTGAAAGGAGCAGAAAATTTACTTTGAGTTGAGAAATTTTCATTCCCTATTTCGAGATAATAGCAATAGCAATTAAGATTGGAAATAAAAAGGTATTTTTCGCGGCATAAACGTTCATATTGGTTTATGCCGTGAACGATACCTTAAAGTTTTTCGTAGTTAAGAATAGAAGAAAACTATATATGTCTTTTACAAAAGAAAAAACGCAATATACAGGGTGGCCAGACGAAAACGTATTCAGGAACTTTATTAGTAATTTAATACGTAGAATAAATTTGTTATAATGGTTGATTGTGATTAGGTAAAGTTTGTATTTGTTAACGTTAGAGATGTTTCAATTATTTAAATTCATGTTTCATTCATTTACGTTTTCAATATGTCATACTTTGGTTCTTTTCTTATTTAAATTGTATTGGCACATACTTTGATTTTCTTGTATTGGTTAGAGTGACGGACGGGATGATATAATGACATATGACAGTTGAGGATATGATAGAAAGACGTCCTGTTTAGAATAAAAATTTTACCTGTTTTTGCATTTTTCTTAAAAAAATATAAACGTAACAATATTTTAATATTTTAAAAAATAGATATAATATGGTAACCACTTAAAAACTTTAAACATTTTTTGTGAGTCTATAGAAATGTTATGCAATTTAAAAACAAGTCCGTCATTAACAACAACATCCATATTAAAAAATACTTACTTTATATTTTTTAAACTTTCTTTAAAACTTTCATAATGATTGTTCAGTAAAAAATACCAAAAATTTGCGAAAAGCAAAAATGTTGCGAGGATTTTCTAATATAAAATTGTATTATGCACGCCACTGGGAATGTTATGTTAGTCGAGAATATTGAAAGCTTTAAATGTTAATGACGCACTCTAAGTTTTGTTATTTATTGGTATTTCCTCAGAGTAAGTAAGTAGTAAAGAGAGGACAGTAAACAATGTTTGTGTCGCCATGATAATATGGTCGAAAATTCTAATTAGAGAGAAATAGATTAATATCTCTATCTCTTTGTTTGTATTTGTCAGTTTTACAAAGCTTTTCTCAGACAATTATTCCAGTGTTTAATTTAAATTTGTTCGTGTTGTGTTGTGTAAAAGTAATTGTTATTAATATATTCATAACAAAAAAGTCATATTTTGTTTTCACTTCATTAAAACATTTTATTTTATATTCTACTTGGTCAACATTTTCGCATTTAAAATGACCCAGCGAAATTGTTTTACGGTACGCTACTGCTGAGAATTCAAAAACGAGTGAGAAAGCCTTCATTAGAAAGAGAGATACTGATTATATGATAGCGACATTAATATTGTATAACTTTATGCAGTGGTGGCCTATCTGCTATTATATTATCTAAGGGTATTTCCCGAAAATTTAACAATAAAGGCTTGGAAGGATTTAGAAATTTTCAAGGTGTTTGGTTTGCACTTAAGGCGAGTTAACTTTTTATAAAGCTCGCAATTCCTCAAAAAAAATTAAGCTGAATCTGTATATGCGTCTATATAGTATGTCTTCAATTAGACATTCTAAACAAAATGGGTAATGATAGGGGAAAGACAGGCACATGATAGGTTGATATGGCAACACTGTGGGCCTGGTGATTTGACAGGATCAATGATATAGATAGTTATATAGATTGATTGTCCATGTTTTTTAAAATAAACAAGCTTATGCCTAGAAGTAAAAATATTGGTAATTATTTTTTTTTAATATATTCAAAGGATGGAAATTGGTTTTAAAACACATACTTGCTAAATTGTTTCAAATTAACAAGCGCTATATATGTATTATTGGCATGTCGATGACAACAGACCCACATGGTTGCCATATCTCAACTGTCAGTTCCCACTGGCGGCATTTTGACAGGTCGTTGGAATGCCTAATAAAATAATCCACTTTTGGCACTGTGGTGGATCGCAGTAAGTTCGAGCTTAAGAAATGAGTTGTTTTTGTTTTTAGAGATTATTGATTTTGAATTCAACGTGACGTTATGTATTTTTAACTTGTCAAGTTGTAATTTTTGTAAGCAGTGTTGCCAATACCAAATTGTGAAATTATACGATTCTAGAAAAATCGATACCAAAGAATCGATTCATTGAAAATATTTGAAGGTCACAGCTGAACCATCATCCAGGAACGGTTTTAGGTTATTTTCAGGGCCGCCGAGAGCCAGGCCGGGCCCCAGGACAATTCTCTAGATCAGGCCCCGTGACAAAAAACAGCACTTCAAACAAAAACTTTTTCTCTTCTAGTTGAATTGAGTTTCTAAACAAAATCCTCAATTCTTCCTCTGCTTCAAATGCTTTTTCTAAAAAAAAAACTTTCCCTACTTAAAACTTCCCCTCTCGTCTTGTGTCGAATTTATCATACAAAACCAAAAAAAATTCAGTTGTCGGGCCCCCTTTATAACGCTGCCGGGTCCCCATTTGAGTCCGGGCCCCGGGAATGAGTCCCGGCTACCCCCCCGCTCTAGTCGGCCCTGCTTATTTTTCTAGAATTAATTGCTGAATTTACCAATCATGATTTCCATGTGAAAATAAAAATAATATTACTTTTTATTACAAACATTTATTTTAAAAATACACCAAAAACGAAAAAATGACATATTTAAAGAAATTAATAACAAGTTTTTTATGTATTTTATTTAGGTAATAAAGGATTCTGAATTCCAAACAAATGGTTGCCCGCGGGCCGGTGGATTTGACGAGTCAATGATATATATGTTTGTCAACAACCATTGTGTTTGGAATACTTGATATATTGATTATGTATGTAGTAAAAATGTAGTTAATTGCTTTTTACTATATTCAAAGGCTGAAAATTGGTTTTAAAACACATTTTTGTTAAACTGATTCTGATTAATGAGCACTTGTGAGGCAATATGGCCGCTCGCAATGCGTCGCGCTTTTAGCAATCTATATAACTATATATCATTGACCCTGTCAAAGCCAACAAACAGCCATTTGGACAGATCTTTGCAATACGTGTCTTTTTATCCCTCCGAGCAATTTTTATCCAACTGTTGCAGCAACGTTGGCATCTACCTACTTTTTTTTCATCAATCTAATGATGAACTAACACCGCTGTCTTTTTATCCAACGTTGCTGCAATCGATGCAACACCAATCCATCATTTCAATGTATGGTTTTTCCGATTAGACGTGATAACTGACAGCTGGATTACGGGAATGAAGCAGAATTAGGGGTCTATTCTGTAAAAATTCCTTTATATTTAACGGCCTTTAAAAATATTTTCTTCTTTACTTCTGTCATTATTTAAACGGATCTTTAAAATACATTAGAGGATTATCTTAAAGAAATCTGTTTAAATAATGACAGAAGTAAATTAACGAATACAAATATACTTTTAAAGGCCGTTAAATATAAAGGAATTGTTACAGAATAGATCCCTTAAGGAGTTAATTAATTATTTAATTGTTCTATTGTGGGAAAACCGAAAAAAAGCTTGTAAAAATACATACTTTCAAATTAAGGTATATAGGTACATTTAAATAAAATTAAAAACAAAAATTTTAATCCAAAATGTCAACTGTTATTTATTTCAACGGTCAACCATAAATAAACCCACATACTTTGATTTTCTTTTACTATACGGAGAATGGTCGCATTGCGCAGCTTTCTGAGTGCCTTTTAAAAGGAGATAGAAAACTTCGCCATTTTGAACCCTTATTACGTGTTGCCTACATCTTGCTTCTGCTTCGGAATTGTCGGTTTTCTTGTTTTAATCTGACAGGTTAAAACGACTAAACCGACAATTCCGGAAGCAGAAACGGATGATTAAAACGCACCTGATATTTTGCTTGCTGCTGTCAGTGTCAGTGAATATTATTTTTGAAATCACAGTTTATTGCTAAAGAATCAGTTAGCTCACTCGGACCAGTTGAGAGTTCCAAAATAACATCCACTCCACGGATACAAATTCAGGATACGCAGAAGACTGCTGTTTTATTATAGGCGGTTGTCATATAGTGTATTATCCGAGTTGCACAGTGTATAAACTGAAACATTGAGATCCAAAGTGCCGACGCAGAGTGAGCGATCTGATTCTTTAGCTGTAAACTGTGTCACAGGGTTCAAAATGGCCGCGCCCTATGTTGGGCGTGTCGGACCTCTCTCTTGCCTCGTATAGTAATCAAAGTATGTGAATAAACCGAATCCAAGACAAGGCGTTCAAGGTCGCATCGGTGAAACAGTGATTCCAACAAACCGATGAAAAAAAGTCACATATAATGCCTAATATTAGGTCTGTTCCAACAACGATCTGAAACCAGTCACTGACACCAGGATTCTGCGCAGTTGATTATTTCGATCGCCAAATTATATACTGCGCAGAATCCTAGTGTCAGTGACTGGTTTCTGATCGTTGTTGGAACAGACCTTAAAATCACGTGACTTTAAATGGTGGGCGCTTGGCAAAAAAGAAAAGTTTTTCCTGTGAGAAAAACACTCCCAGCGAGGTTTAGTCTAAGTTTGTGTATTATTGTTTTTCAGTATTTAGAGTTTAGTTGAAAAATGACCGAGAAAATGACATGAATTAATATTTGTATTAAGAATATATGAATATTAAGGGTGGTACACTTGCGCCAGCGGTTTTATAACAAATCAAGTCTTCAGTACATTGTACATAGATGGCGATAACTGTACCTTTAGCTCTATTAATAATTTTATTTTCAAGTATACTTGTATGATTTACAATAAAAAAAAATACTAATAAAAAAGGCAGGTCAAGAAACTTTGTTATTTATGTTAAGCATCGGCCATTTTGTCCATTCTGACTCCAATAATAAATAGTCAATGTTTTTTTGGGACGTTTTTTAGTAAAAAAAAAAAACGAATAATGTGTTATTCTTGTTTAGTTCATTAGAGATTTAGAAGTAAATTGCGTTCTATTTATAGAATAAAAAATCACTCGATATCCAAATATTTATAACTAAGACTATTTTATCTTTGAGGTTCATTTTATTTAAACCTAAAATTAAGTGCATAATATGATAATTTAAACAATACACAAAATTAGTCGATTAAATTAGTTTTAAAAAAAAATCAACAGAAAGTGGCATTGTCTTTTTGAAAAAAACTTAAATTTCTCTGGTTCACTTGCTGTTTTACTATTTTAGTAGCAGATGAATATGGGGAGGAAGTAGTGACAGGATTGATTATATTGAAATTGCATTTTTCTTTAATATTTTCGTCCCCTGAGGTCTGTAATAAAAATATTCATTAGCAGGTGGTCACTTGTTGAATTCCTAAATTTTAGAACCATTTATTTTTTTTTCATATCAAGAAAAAGAAACCTACAATAAAAAAATAACAATAAACTTTACAAAGATGTGATATTAAAATAAAGTCACAGATTTAAATTTTCTTTATTTTAATAAATAATTAACCTTTGCTATAATCATTTAGAGACGGATGAAGACTCTCTCTAGTAGTAATTGATCGAAGATCTGCGCACGCGTAGGCATGAAATGTGCTAAAACATATTGCATATTCAAAAAAGTAAGTAATAAATGGGATTCTGTGGAAATGGCTTAAATAGCAACCCAAAACATTATGTAAATTTTGTCAAAAAGGTGACGAAAAGTAGACAAAAATGTTACCCTTGAAAATTGATGATAAAATTCAATCACCAGCTAAAAACAAAGTAACACCGGTACAAACATTTATATTGGCTAATAGATATTTGAAACCATTGAACTTTGACATTTCGATAATATGAATAATCGTTTCAAAGGTTTTTAAAATATAAACCGTCAATATACATATTATTATCAACAAATACTGTCATACGAATAGCGATAAGATATGAAGGACGAGCAGATGAAATTATATACAGGGTGGCACTAATGGGCGTGAAAGTAAATTATAATAACAAATAAAATAACGGTTGTTCAATTTGAGAAAATGAGAAGTTTTAGATATTTGATTTTTAAAGTCAGTGACAAGATATTTTTTGACTGCATATATTAGACAATTTTGATTATTTTTTCACATTTTTTGTCATAAACTGAAAACGTTGCAAAGTTAAAAAAAAAATTGTAACGTATCATTTTACGCTAAAATAAATGGTAAAATATATAGAGGGTGATTCATTTAAAAGCATCGATAATTAAGCTGTCCTGATTTAACGGAACGTCCTGTATATTTCGCAGTATTTTATAAATGTGCAAAAATGTTAAGAATTGAAGAATTGGATACGGCAACTGGAAGAGTTTACTGACGATACAAAATTATATTTGACAAATAAATTGAAATTTTTTTATTGCAAAGAGGTTTTTAACAAAAAAAAGTCAACAGTTACGTGAGTGTATACAGTTGACATTCGGACTCCTTATCGTATCATATTATATTTCAATGCTTAGCTTTTTATTTTAATCTTTAACATTAATTTTCTAGTTTATTAGATCAGATTTTGTCTAGCCTTTGTCAAGTAAAGACGTATGTAATTTTAATTAATAAAATTGTTTTTAAAAAAGCTGTATCAGTTTCAAAATATCTATTTCAACCCTATAACTTTTATTTAACATACTCTCATATTTCTTATGATAAGAGATATATTGGACTCCCACGCGCTAATGAGTCACCCTGTATGTTTATCTGTGAACAAAGAACAAACAATATGTATTTTATCAGACACATTCATCCTGCTAATTTTGTAAATTTATTGTTTCTAAATATTGTTTAAAATTGTTTTAAAATTAATTAATTTCTTAATAGTTGAATTCAAAATGACGTTTTACGCTGTTTTTTGTTATTTATTTTGATAACTTGTTTTTAAGATTAAAAATTGTGTAAATACTTTATAATATCGTTCAGATGCATAATAAACATTACATTCTTAATAGAAAGTAAAATACTAATCCTAGAAAATGCAGAATAATATCCAACATCAGAAATATTATGTTAAAAAGTTAAAAAAAATCATTTACAAGTAATAGGTATTCTAAAGAAAAATGGCATTCTAAAAACAAATAACCATCGAGAAAAATCATGACAGGAGTTGGCTTTGAAATTTAAAAGGTTTGTTCCAATAACGATCTTGGAACAATACATAAACCAGCCCAAAACTTAATATTGACAATCTGTCGACGACTATTGTTCCAACAACAATCTTGGAACCATACACAAGCCAGTCCACATCCACAACTTATGTCGACGACTGGAAAATTTAAGTGGCATCTAAACCCATATTTATATTGTTATTAGGAATATCTGTAGGTTTAAAACAATGAACAATCTGTGTGTCGTTAGCATACAATTGTATTTCACTATTTCTAACAACTTTTGGCAACTCTGAAGTATATATGTTACGGTCAAAGATGATATTTCGGTCTTTAACGATATTGGCCTATTTGATTGGACATTCTGCTGACGTTAGTGTCCGGTCAATATTGTCAGTGCCCAATTTACCACACTGCTCGTAACATATATAAGGAATAGCAGGGGCCCCAAAATGGATCCTTGGGGCACCCCGAGACAATAAATTTGGAATTTGAAAAGCTACCATCAACGCATACACGTTGACTACGTTTCCATAGATAGGACTTAAAAAATGATAGTGCAGGGTCATCTAAGCCATAGTATTTCAGTTTAGCACAAAGAAAGTCGTGGTCAATTAAATCAAAGGCTTTGGAATAGTCTATTGTAATTAGTACACAAAATTTTTTATCAATATATCTTATAATATTGTCAGTTAGATTTGATAACGTAGAAGTAGTACTGTAATTTTTGCGAAAGCCAGACTGCTGAGTGGGCATGATATTGTATTTGTTTTGTATTTTGGATAAGACAGGTAAAAGACTTATTGGACGTAATTCACATACTGTATTACTTAGAATTAGCTATTTTAGTTATGGGACAAACTACTGATTCTCAACACATTTTCGGAAAGTAACCATGCTGTAAACAACAACCAATAATGTGGATAATATGATCAAGGATCGTCGGCATAGTCAGCTTGATCATATAAAGTGATACTTTGAGAATTGTATTCTGTTCCACTGGAGTTAATGTTAGTTTGTTATTATTAAATTTATTATTCAAGTAAAAATGTATTTTCTGCAAACAGTTATCATATTTCTTGAAGAAACTAATAAAATAGTCATTGATATCATTAGGGTCACGTAAATTGAAAGGTAACTCTTTATTAGCGAATTTTCCATGTGTAATCCCTAAGAGCCACTCGTAAATTTCCTTTCATTCTACTCAACGTCGATGTACTTTTCAATCTTCTTCGAGGTTTGTATGCGGAAATAAAGCACCTAAATCTGTCACTATCTGACGGTCTATAGCTGAAAAGAACGAGACCAAACAATGTATTTTTTTTAAAGGTTACATTACGTGCCAATCCTTAAATGACATCGACGTCGACGAAGTAAAAAATGCCATCGAAAAGGGCATTGGAGAGAATCTACCGGCTCTACCGGATTTATCCGAATTCAATGCAACGAACATACCGTCAGCCGAAGACGTCGAAAACGTGATGAGAGAGAAATGCGAGAAAAACGGCGCGCCGGATGCTGTCGATCTTTTGAAAGTAAGTGCAAACTTAATAATGCTACATAGAACATAGATGGGGAAAAATGTGTTAATATTAATGGAGACTGCGTTGAAAAATAAAAGTGAGATATTGGCCAAAATAAATTTTTTATTGTAAGTGGGTCAGGGATTTAGGACGGTTTTCAAACTTGTTTTTGAATTAGCAAGAGATTCTAGTGTAATAATTAAAAAAAAAAAATAGATTACATTATGAATTTATAATATACTTAATGAACAATAAGAATTTTAAAATGTTTTTACATGTAAAGGTTAAAATTCAGTTTTTAAATAAATCACAGTAGTTATAACAGAACATTAATGTCTACGACTAGTGATAGTTGTTTCCAAAATTTCGTAGTTTCTAGTCGAATGATCTGGCAACTCTGCATTCATTTCCACCATCCGTTTTTCCTCCCCTTATCTTTCACGTTCTTTCAAGGATAACACATTTTTGAGAAAGTGAAAATCAAATGAATATGTCCCCAGGGAAGTTAATTTTTTTCGTTTTCAAGCATACATACGCAGGGAGGGCTATTTTCAGTTTCAATCAGCTGATTTATGGTTTTTAGTAGACTATAGGTATTTGTTATTGATCTTGTGTAATCCCGATTACAGGAGGAACAAGATCGCACGGTAGAGTGCCTCGAAAGTTACATCAACATGACGGAAATCCAAGAAGAACTAGAAAAATCCAAATCCACTGGATCAATGGACGAAGTTTTCTCCAAATATTGTAACAAATGGCCCGACATGCACGGTTGTTTCGACAATGTCACTTCCATCGCCAGACAATGCATGGATAAACGCGAAGAAGCCGCCTTGAACAAGACCATGGAGATTTTGAACGAACTCCAGACCTTTATGTGCTTTAAGGGTGGAGATAGATTGGCCAGTAAGTATTTGATTCGATCTTGATGTATAGCTTAAAACATTATATTCTTTTGTAGTGTTTTGGGCAGAAAAAGGACCGGATTGTCTGCAAGAAAAAAAGGATGGCATCGAGACATGTTTGAATAAAACTCTGGGTTCTAGGATGCCAAAAACTGATGAACTTTCTGTTGCCAACTTACCAGTACTACTGTTCACCGAGCAAGATTGCGAGTAAGTATTTTGTTTTTTCTCAAATCAATTATACCAGTATGTTAACGTGTTTCGGTATTTCTTTAATACGAATTTGAACTTTGACTTATTCACTTATTATCGTTATTTTTTTTATTTCCTGCTTACGTATTGTAGGAAAATTTCTCTTCTTTCACAACGTGTATTTTTCTTAGTTTTGCTGGTAAACTAATGTGTAATTTTCAAAAATTTTACTCAATTTTAATTTTTTCTCTAAGTCAAAGTATTTTAATCATTTTTTCTACTATAAATGTTTATGATATATTAGTTTGTTCATTTCTGTCGCTGTCACCAAAATTTATCATGTATATTTCAAGAACTATGGTTTTTTTCCAAACCTCTGTACCCTGTGAATGTACATTTTATTAGTTTCAACATTTCTTGAGTATTTTTTCTTTACAGTGACTTCGAAACGGTACGCGGCTGCATAAACGTGGAGTTGGAGAAGTGTAAAAACAGCACGCCGGCCAACATCATTGACGCTTTGTTCAAATTTTTGAAAAAGCACCTGCCTTGCAGCGCCGCTTTGAAACAAGGCAATTCGGCTGCTTACAGTTCTTCTATTGGCATTTTTACTTTGATCGCTGCTTTTATGTACGTCAGGCTCTTCTGAACGATTCATTTACGGACTTAAATTGGTTTAAAGGGACTATTGCGGTTGTACTGGCGTCATCTAGTGATTTGGAAATGTGTATTTGCTGCAAAAAAACATCTTAAAGGTTTAAGGGCAGTTTTTTCTTTTCTGTTGTTGTAATTATTCTTCTTTATATCGTTGCTGATGGATGTTATTTAGTTATTTTTTCCTCTATTTTATATAAATTGTGATTTTTTTAATTGAACAGAAATTATGAACCAATCTGCACTGCAGAGATGCGATTGTCTATTAAACAGAAGTTATAAACCAAATGACATTTCAATAAATGCAAATATTTGAAAGAGCACTTTATGCCATTTGGTACATTATAACAATTTTTTTAATTGCAAATATTTTAAATACTACTTTATGTCATTTGGTACATGATAACAACCAATCAATGTCTAAACATTGATTTAAAAATATTTTTTCATATCAAATTTGTTTTTTTTTACTGTTCAATAGATTCTTCTCTATTTTTGGATCTCTTAACTATCAATATATTCAGCCATTGTATTTATATCGTAGGTTAAATAAAATTAAACATTTGGACTAGATATTTCGCAAAAACGACAAAGTGAATAAGGGCAGCTCAATAACTTTTGATATATCAATTTTACGGACAAAAATTATTAATAAAAATGATAGAGAATGTTTTGATCTATAGAAAAGGTGATTAGGGTTTTAGTAGTAGGACCAACCGTTTTCGAGATAATGGTGAAAAACTGTTTTTTTTTCACAAATACAAATGTTTCTAAGTGTCTGTGACCTAAGGTAGAATTACATTTGTCCTTTTGACTCTTGTTTTGAATATTTGTTTTTAATAGATAGTTGAAGTGATGCTATGAACATAAACGTACAAATTGACAGCTACACATGCATATTAAAATATTTATATTGAGCATACAATGCAAACAACATAACCTATTTTTTAATTGGGAAAGAAGAAATCCTAATTAATTGTCATTGTCATGATACGTTTAGCAACCCCGGCAGCTGTGGTTTTAAAAATGTAAAAGAAGAAGAACTTTAACTCATATTTTGTGCGTTTACGTCTACGTTACTTTAAACACTTCAACTCTATAATAACTTTTTTATGTATCGTTTTAATTCATACTCTTCAAATTGAGTTATTTTTAGTACCAATCGATATTTTTGTACCTATTTTTTTTGTATCGCTGTACTTATTTTTTGCTTTTATTTTTTATATTTATTCACACTTTGACATGAAATGGATTGGAACTGTCAAAAAATTGACATAATTATTACCTGACACCATGTGAGCTAAAGTTTAATATTTTACATTCCCCGCAGTTTAAGATCTATTTCAATTAACGTATTAGACAGAGAAACCCTTGTTTTTTATACGAATCGAACAAAGAAATCCATCCTGTCAACTGTCACTTTGACACCTAAATAAGTCTTAGAACAACAGAGTGGGATAAAGCTGTCGTTATATGTATGTAAATGACATGCAGAACGATTAAATGTGACTTGACAGATGTCGACTGACATTTTAGGGTGTCGTTTGGTTTTTATCTAAAACAATGATGTAGAATTAGTTGGAATAGTTCTTAATGATTGCTGAATTCCATATATATATTTTGAAATTTGTCTATATAACTACTTTTGTTTCTTTACAATTGATGTCTATACAATGTAGAAAAATGTGATATTTTAATTGTAAGTTTTTTTGTAGTAAACCGCGGTTAAAATACTTGTAATGATTTTAATAAAATACATTTTTAAAATTTGGTTTTGTTTTTATTTTAAAAATCCAAAATCGAAGTAATAGAACCAAGATAGATGATATTATGGTTCCCGTGTTAACAGAGCACTTCTTTTTAAGGTAAGTAATTTCAAATTATTTTAGGTATAATATATCTACCATTAACATTTCCAATATGGCGGACGGGTATAGAACCCTCTTAAAGCAAAGTTGCATTCTTATTAAATTCAAATTTCTCAATTTTTACCAAAAATCTTAGATAATTAAGTCCTACATATGATGCCTAATAAATAAAAGCATTATTTCTGTTCGCGGGGCCTCTAATATTTCTTGTAACCAGCCCAATAACCAGAAAATATAAAAAGTTATCCCATGAGAACTGGACCCAAAAACCTTCATAAAACATTTATAACTAAATTATCTCAAAATATAAACCAAGGACAATCTTACTGTATACAAAAAAATTCGCGTGTAACACTGTACACGTGAGAGAAGTAAAACTTTTTAAAAACTAGAAATTACAGGTGTGAGAGAGATAGATAATTGATTAGGCGTTATAACCTCCACCCCTACATTCCACTCGGTTACGCCGCATCTTTAAAAATCGTATATAAAGTCAAGGTCAATGTTCTTTTAATTTCGTTATACGTTTCCGTTACCATGGTTACATGCGTTACACCTTACATGTCTATGAACTTTCACTCGCCAAATATTGGACCGCTGCCTACTTATCAAATATAGAGCCGCGGCTTAAGAAGTTTTATTTAATTATATAGACAGAGTTATTTATTTATTCCAGAAACAAACAGGCATGAACCTAATTACATGTTCCTATAAATACAGCGAAAATAGAAATCAACAAAAATACATAATATCTAATTAAATATATAAGTGAAATTATAATAAACAAACCTCGCTACTACAAAATTTTAACAAAGTTTATTAAAGAACAAAACTACTGAAATTATCAGAAATATTCAGGAATAATCAGAGCAAAAACCCCACACCAAGGCCACGGAAATCCTACAAGGTTATGTCTCTTTAATCGAGCCCAACAATTTTGTTAAGTTCCTTTCTATATGTGCTTATAGCTACATCAAAAATACCGCAAGAAATGCCTTCGGAGTGTACATTAAACAAAAGACAAATTTTTTCTACTGGACCATGATTATCCGCACGAAAAGTTAATTGACGTGGACGAATACCTGCTATTGGAACATTAATTTTTGTTTGACTCAATAAATATTGACTGTCCAAATATCCATTTAATAATTTATGTAAAAAGACAAGGTTGATTATAGAGCGTCTATGTTCCAATTTTTCAATTTCAAACTCTTTTCTAATAGGTCCAAATGAAACAAATCCTGGACTTGTATGATACTTTTTAAAGTATAAATATTTGACAAATTTATTTTGAATAGTTTCCAAAATGTGTTTTAAATTTTGTTGTGTAGGGTCCCATACAGTGGATGCATATTCTAATTTACTACGAACGAAAGCAAAAAATACATTTTTAATCGAGTGTGTGTCTGTAAAGTCCCTAGTCGTGCGTTTCAAAAAACCTAACAATTTGTTAGCTTCTTTGGTAATGTTATGGATATGCTCGTCAAATTTGAAATTATTTTGAAAAACTATTCCCAAGTCGGTCATTTTTGACACTCTTTCTAGTGTTGATCCTTGCATTGTGTAGATAAAATTTTGAGGATTACGAATGTTACTGAATGTAATAACCTTGCATTTGGAAAGATTAAAATGTAATTTATTTTCAAATGACCAATCCGAAATTGAGTCTAAGTCATTTTGAAGGTCTAGATAGTCATCTAGGGTGGATATTTTCTTAAAAACTTTCAGATCATCTGCATACATTAGGCAGTCTGATGTAATACGTAGAGGAAGGTCATTAACAAATATTAAGATAAGTAGAGGGCCAAATTGGAGCCCTGAGGGACCCCAGAGTCTGCGAGGATTGTATGAGATACTTCACCACCAAACATTACGTATTGATACCTTAGTTTTAGATAAGACATAAAGAAATTTATTAGATGATCGCTAAGACCATAATATTTCAGTTTAGCTAGAATAATATTGTGATTTACCTTATCGAAGGCTTTCTTAAAATCAGTATAAATACAATCTACTTGCTCACGAGAATTGACACATTTTGATATTTTGTCACTGAAAGTTAATAAATTTGTATCTACAGATTTTTTACGACAAAATCCGTGTTGTTCGGTTGATATGTATTTTTGAAAGTAAGCATACAGTTTATCATATATTACAATTTCAAACAGTTTCGCCGTACAATTTAATATGGCTATGGGACGATAATTATCTATTTTATTTTTATCCCCTTTTTTAAAAATTGGTGTTAATCTCGTTCTTTTAAATTCACTAGGAAATATGGATGTTTTAAGCGACTTATTAAACATTACCAGCAAAGGGTATATTAAATAATCTTTACAAGCTTTTAGGATATAACAAGGAATATTATCAGGACCCGCTGTCTTTTTCGGTTTTAACTTTCGAAATGTCGCTTCTAAGTCTTTGACGGATATTAGATCGAAGTCAATATTCTGATAAAAATTTACGTTCCAATTGTTAGTCAAACCATTAATATCTATAAAGTTATAGTTTGAATCGTTGTCATACACTGAACTGAAATAATCAGCGAACTCCCCTGCTATAATTTTTTTGTCAGATATTTCCCTATTATTTATAATAAAATTTGATTCAGATATATTATTAGACCTCTTATCTTTAATGAACTTCCAAAAAAGCATGGGGTCCTGGTTAACACAGTTCTGCATATTTTGGATATAATTATTGTGCGCCGTCCTTATTTTCAACTTTAGGTCCGCCCTAATTTTTTTATATCTACTAAAATAATATTCCGATAGATGTTTTCTTTTTCTGAAAAATTCTTTGTACTTTGTGTCGATTTTTATTTCATCCGTGAACCATGGCGGAAACTGTTTGCAATATGCATGTGGCCTATTAGTAAACTTTGGTACACATATGTCAAGCATTTCATAAAAAACCTGGTAAAAATATTTGACAGAATCATCAACCTTTTCAATGTGTCCAATTTTGGACCAATTAAAATCCCTTAGTAGTTCGCATAGTAATCTAAAATCAGCTTTTGTAAAATTATATCTGCTTTGAAGATTATTATTTGTGTATGTGAGTTGATTACTTTTTTTTACTTCCGTCTTAATTATCAGAGAGGGATGTTTATTATCTATGGGAACTAAAGGTTCTTTATTCTCCTTTATATTCAAATTCAAATTACCAAGCACCTGATCTAGAGTTTTTTGATCCTCATTGAGACAATTGTTGAAAGACTGTAGACTGTAAGTGGCCATTAATATAGAGACATTGTTACTATTATATCATTTTTATTAGAAAATTGAAAAGATGTGCCATTTATGCATGGTATATTGTAATCACCAATAAGTACCATGTGTGTGGTTTGAGTGATTAAGGGATCTAAATTGTCAAATAAATCTAGATATTGCCTGTAGACTTTAGCATTTGCGCCCGGTGGAATATAAGTTGAATTAATAATGACTGTGGTTCCGTGTAGTTTAAGTTTTACAAAAATTGTTTCCAAAGGTGAGTTAATTGATATAAGTGAAGATATAATATTTTTATTTACAGCAATGAGGACACCTCCTCCGCGTTGTTTTCCTGTTAAAATTTTATCCCTATCCTTTCTATATACTATGTAATTGCAACTAAATAGTTCTCCATTTTTAATGTCTTCTGATAGCCAAGTTTCCGTCAAGATAACAACATCATACTCTTCTGCAGACAAGTTTTTGCTAAACTCCGAGACCTTGGTGCGAAGTCCCCTGACGTTCTGATAATAAATATTTAAAAACATATAGCGTTGCGAGAAACGTAAAAAATATGTAGAAGATGAAAGTTAAGTACAAAAACAATATGTATATGTTGATATTGAGCTAGCGCATATAAATGTGTTATTCTAAGAACGTTTTCTCGGCCCCAGCAATTTAAATATATAAAAAAATCTGTAAAATATGTGGCAAATTAGTTGAGTAAATAAATTTAGTAACAAATAGAGCGCAAGTAGATACTTAAGTTGCTGAGAAAAAAGAATAACAATAAATAATTTTATTCTAAAGTAAATACCAAAGAACAAAAATTAAATAAATATTTTTATCCTTCAATAATTATTGATTATAATGGATCCTGCTACTTTACTACATATTAATGAAAGCAAGAAATAAAAATAAATGTTTACGAGTAGATATATATCTACTTCGTATTCAAAAATATCTAGAGTTTATAAAAACTTAAAAACAATAATTTAGAAATAGGTATTAAAATAAAAATGTATTCCACAATAATTGAGAAAAAAGTTTAGCAAATAATATTCGCGAGGAAAGGTCGTTAGAAACGAAATAATCTTGAACCTCCGAAGAAAGATTACGGGACATCAATGAGGTCGTCAAAACATTTAATTTCTTTCTTCATATTATTATGTTGTATGAACACCTTACCTCCCATAGTTCAACTTAATGTTCTTCCGTATTTTTTCTGCGCCAGTTGCAAAAGTTCATACGTTTGTTGAGAAAGGTCCTCATAAATAGTAATACCAGTCTGCTTGAGTGCCTTTTTAGCTTGAAAACACTCATTTTTCTTCTTTGTTGATAGGAATTTAACCAAAATAGTTCTAGTTCCCGACTTTTTATTTGCAATACCAATTCTGAATATATCATCAATGTCATTGGAGGTACAAACAACTTTCAGTGCGGTGTTAATAAATTCTAAAGTGATATCATGAACACTCTCATTTTCACTTTCTTTGAGCCCATTAATTCTTATTGTGTTCTTTCTTTTTAGGTGATCCATAAATCCGTTAATATTACAGATTTCCTTTTCATTCTGCTGTACTTCCTTTTCAATGTTACTAACATCAACTATTAGCTTGGATACATTTCGTGTTATATCTTCTAATTTTTTATCAATCTTTTTTTCTAGTTTGCACGCAAATTTTTCACATACCTTCTCCATTAACTGTTCAATTCGTTCGTCTGAGGTGAGACCGTAATCGTTTTCCATTTTTGTTTCGTTAGATTCGGAGACAGAATTGGCCCGTGAACTTTTATCGGAGGACCGAGACTGTTTTGGCGGCATTGCTTGGATTTGCTGGTAATGTTCAAATCAAATTTACTCTATTTATATAACAATTGATATACTAGATGTCTTACTCACATGTGAAAGTATGCTTTCCACAGGTTATCACAATAAAGATACTAATTTTACTTATAGATTTGCCACTTAAAATTGTAAGTACAGCTGGAGCTCGAATACACGTCTACTCACTAGAACAACACATGCTATGCTATATTGGCCCCCTTAAAATAAGAGGTTTAGAAAATACCGGTTCTCAGTACTCTACAGAGATATTTAAGAAAATAAAGTGGGAAACCCTCCCATTTAAAAATTACTAGATATCTATTAAAACAAAAAGCAAATTTTCATAGATTTAATACAGAATGTCGCGTTTTTAAATTCCTTTTTAAAAATTATCGATATAAATACTTTAAAAAACAATTAAGGTTAAGATATGGTCTGTAATCTAGGTTTCTCCACCCTAACTTTTGTTATTATTGATATTTCCTGAAAATTATACCAAAATGGACTAAAAATTAAGGTTGAGAAGGAATTTAAAATTGTCAAGGTGTTGGAGTTGCTTTTAACACTTGACTGTTCTGAAATATCATCAATTTTTTAAAATGATGAACTAAAATGCCCAAATCAAAGTCAACAGTAAAACTAATAATAATGTATCCTTCTTTCATTGCGTGAAGCACAGGTAAGACCAAACACGGGTTAGCTTCTTCATGGTCGAATTTTAATGACGTTATTTTTATGCTCTACTATTACGTCTAAAATTTTCTCCTGCAATGATATAAAAATCATTTTGTATCCTGTCAAAGATCAAAACAGCTTCTTCGCTCAAATACTTAAATTATTTCTGCTTGTTTTTTGGATGGCGCAGAAAATTTGATCTATGTTATGTTGGGAGTAAAGGATCAATTATGCCCCCTTTAGCAAGGAAATGTCTGGATGCCTATAACGACCCTTCTAATCCTGTCTTCTCAAGAAAGTGTAAGATTTGGAGTTGCTTCAAATTAGGTAAGTCAGTAAGTCTCCCTCTTCTTTTTGATATGCTCCTACGATATACCCTTGGATTCTGAAGTGCTACACATTCAGTTAGAATGTGAAAGGTATAAACCAATTTCAGCTCCTGTGTTTCAATTAAAATAAAACATTAGACAAGCACTAGCTTTTATTAAACATCAATAAACATCTGAAACGAAAATTTAGAAATAATTACACCGAAGCCAAGCTAAATCCTGGAAACTTAGCCTCCATGGGTTGCTGTATATCAAGCAAAAAGTACATAGGACCGGCTATACCCTCGAACAACGACAACGGTCTATCCGGAGACAGTTCTTCATGTTGTTTCGAGTATTCCAAACACCATTCAGCAAATTTGGTCGCCCTATATAGATGTTTTCTCTCTTGTGTGGTTTGATACAACTCCAAGAAACAATAACCGTTCCCCGATACGCCGTGGCAAAGGCTGTAACCTTTTCTCACCAAACCTCTCTCCCATATTACGTCACCGCAATCTAAAGCTGCTTGCAAGTAGCTGGTATCTTGAAACACCTAAATATTAAAAATAAAAAATAATTTTCTTTCCAGTACAAATTATGGACCAACTGGCATTGCAACGCTATGATTAATTGCAAAGTTACGATTTTTATTAAACAGAACTTATGAACCAAATGACAATTTCAATGATAAAATTGTGAGTACTTTATACCATTTGGTACATGATAACGATTTTATTTATCGCAAATATTTGAAATAGTACTTTATGCCATTTGGTACATAATAACTAAACATTTATTAAAAAGTAAGTTTTTCGTATAGAATATTCACCTTATACGCAGTGGTCAACATATACACAAACCCTGGCGCTCCGTGGCACCACTGCACGTATTTATCAACGTCTTTTCCAATAGACGATGGGAAGTTTCCGCTTGGAAACCTTTGCGTCAACAGATATTCGATGGTGGGTCTAATGACGTTGTTCAAATCGGTTTCGTTGATGTAACGCCTGGCTTGCAAAAGGAGGTACAAAATTCCAGCCAGACCGTGCGCGGCGCCCAAATAGTAACTGTCGTGCCACTGGTACATCAGCGGGCATTTAAAACGACCTGCTTTTGCTATGTCCCGACCGCAGGCTAGTATGGATTCGATTAACTACAATTAAATATTGATTTTTACAAAAAATCGACTGTATTTTTAGACTTGCCTGTGTGATGAAATTATCTTCAAAAGGCGGCGGAGAAACGTTCTCGTTGACGTATAAAACGGCGTACAAATAACCCGCCCTTCCGTATAAATATTCATTGGGCAAGTCTGAATGTACGTTCAACACGTCTTTACTGAGTAGTGTCAATCTGGAAATTGTAATAAGCTGTGAGTATTCATCGGCGAAGAGATATAATATTTTATCTCCGATTTCATCATAATGACAAAGAAAATAAATTTACTTTGCAATCAGATGATCCACTTCTTCGTGCTTTCCTAGTTTATCATTGACGACAATACCAACGGCAAGTGGACCGGCGTCTCCACACAGGAACGTGTGTCTTCTGCTTCGCAACTTGTCCAAACACAATAATTTTTTGATTTCCTGAAATATTCATGGATTAAAAATAATAATAATAATAATAATAATACTCGTCATAGTCTCATTATTAGTATACTAATTTATTTCTATTAATATTTATTTCAAAATTATTTCATACAGGTTCGGTAATAATACATAAAGGGTGGGCCATTGGTAACGTTTCTCTTTTGCACGATTTTCATATACTTAAAACTGGTTATATATAGGATGTGAAATAGCAGGTATAATCCCATATTATTTGATAATGTTATAATGGGAAAAGTGGGGATAATTTAAATATAGAATAAAATGCAGGGTGTCCAATTAAAAAAAAAACGTAATTTTGATATTGTGTCGACATCGTGATCCCCATATAATCTTACCTTTAGTATTGACTTGCATATCATTTCAGTTTAAAACTTGTAGGTTGATTTTATTTGAGGTTATTCAAGTGTCAATATCAGAACATTATGTTAAAGCCTTAAGCAGGTATATCATAGTCGATGTCCTTGAGGTGCTTCCTGATCCGTCGAGCCTTGAAGATCATTGATAGGGAGACGGGGAAGAAAAAAGGAACATCAGAGAGATAAAAAAATATTAAAAAGACATACGACCGTTTTTTACATGTGAAATAATCAGTACGGACGTCACTGGACAAAATTTAAAAAATCTTTTACGTCAAAAAATGATCCTTAATGATTAAAAGGTGTGTACAAAATTTCATAAAAATATCTGGAAAATTATGATAAAGTTATTTTTTTCATATAAACTGTATCACCCTGTAGCTCAAAAATTAAGAGGTTTACGACATATGTTGATATTAACTTTTTTTCTTAAAATCACCCAAGGATTCACACCCTTAAGTATCGTACTCAATTAATAAACACGCTGTATATCACTTTTTGGAGAACCCTGTATAATTGAAATTATTTTTAAATTGTTGCCTTTTCTGATATAAATATCGCGGTGAAAACATTTAAAAAAGCAAGTTTTGACTCTACAGACCGAAACGTTACTGGTGGCTCACCCTGTATGTATATCTTTTTTTACTACAAAATTTACTATTTACTAAGTTGTTTTGTAAACATATTCCTAAAAACAATTTGTTTTTCTGTTGTTGTTGGCCTATATATTGTACAAACACAATTAATGATCTTATGTTTGATTTATGTGTTTACTGTTAACAAATAATTATTAGAGAAGAAAAATAATCAATAGGGACTTCCAGAAACTAAATTTATTCTATTTTTAAATAGTACATCTACTTAGTTTATGCTTTTTAAAACAATTGAAGATTTATAGGCCTTAAAAGTCAAAATTTCACCAGAAAAACATTACCCAATATATATTCCTATAATTTGAAACTGTTAGCAGATAAAACATCACAGTCTTCACAATGAAATAAAGCATGAAATTAGACACACATAGAGACATTTTCATGAAAATATTACTATCAGAAGTGTCTGAAAAATGGCATTTATGGAAGTAACAAATGACACTTTAACATATATCTATGAATAATTCTAAAAATAAACACGATATAATAGTTTTCAAAGACAAGGAAATTTTCTATAACATTAATTTCATAATAATAATGATAATATTTTTTTTATTTTTAACAATTTCTTATCGATTTAATCTCAGAATAAATTTCAATGCCTCCTATATATCAATTATTTTAAAACTAACAGTAAACAACTATTATTTTAATTACTTACCTTCAAATTTTTAGGATTATTGGGATCTTTCCTTAATTTTAATAAAGCGTAACCCGCTGTACCAGTATACACGGAATAATCTTTGAAATCCAAATACTGGAACTGCTCTTCAGTAGCTTTCCATTTAGCATTTACACATTTACAAAATCTTCCATCGCACCCCAACTAAAAGCAATTCAATTCATTAAACTTTTCATTCATAATAATATAATATACTGAAAATTTGAACTTACATCTGGGATACATCCCTCGGTTTCGTTATAATCTGCAAAAGGATTTGCGAAGAATTTTTGAGACATTTCGATACAATTTCTTCGGGCAATGATCGAACCAGAATCGAACTGAAATGTTTTCTCATAAAATTGAATAAAATGTGTTGTTTATTTTACTAAAGTTTTGTTTACATCTCATGGAGGTTAATTTGACAAGCTATGTTTTCCATCTGTCTGATTTTTGTATATAAACAAAAATAACAACGTTTTGTTGCGTTTTCAAAACCGATGAATTTAATTACTACCTGACTTTATCAGTAAAAGGTGTGATAAAAACAGAAGAATAATTTTGCAACGTTGCCGATTGATATCCGAAAACATAAATTAATTAACGATTTGAATCGTCATTTGCATTTTAAAGTGTTTAATAATATTATTGAAAAAATAAATTAACATAACTTTTGTAATTTTCTCCATAATTGTTTATGTATGATTCCAAATTTATAATCTAATTATAGCTTGTGGCAACTGTAAATTGTTTAAAAGAAGAAGATAGTGACTTACGTCAGATGTCATAGAAAACGTTAAAAAGACGACAATGCGAGTAGCTACATCATGGAAGGTTGCCAGATTGTGCTAAAAAACAAATCAGTCTCGGAAAAAATTGAAAACTACACATATATACAGGGTAATTTAAAAGAATACAAGCTATAGTCTAGAGAAGAAAGGATTGCAGAAATTTAAGAGGTAAACTTTTTATTTATACCTCATCCTTCAATGCTTATTTGTAGTTAAAACGAAAATTTTAATACATCAGGATTGGCCTAATAAAAGGTTTAGGTTAGATTTAATCTTGTTTCCATGGTTTTTACTTTAATAACCCTTTTATTTTGACAGATTAGTCAGACTTTATTTATTCATAGCCGTATCGTATGTATTTTAGTTGAATTTTGTATTAGTATATATTATTATTTTACAGATAATGGCGAGTGCATTAGAAAATATTTCAAGCACAAGTACGCTTAAACTAACTTGTAGACATAAAGACTTTGTTTCACTTTCTGTGGATGAAATAGCCACTAAATGTGAGACCTATACTGGAGTAACTAAACGTATCATAAGTGTATCATTATTAAAAAAGATACAGTTATGGAGAAGTCTCACATCCAAAAAAGCCCCCAGGAAAAAACAAGACCTTTATTGAAACTTGGTTAAATTAAATCAACTAAAAATGCTTTATTTTAGCTTTAGATATTTTTTTTTAGTATCTAGGATCCGAAGTTTAGTAATATCCTGTGTGATATAGTCCAACGAGGACTAGAACATACCAAAAGATGGTGCCGTGAAGTGGGACTTAGTATAAACCCTACAAAAACAACACTATAGTAGCCTTTTCAAGGAAAAGAAAACTTAATCTCAAAACCGTTAAATTAGACGGGATAGATATAGAACGGAAAAATGAAGTCAAATATCTATAAGCTTAACCCTGGACAACAAATTTCTCTTGAATACACATGAGAAGGAAATAGTAAGGCCACAAAAGCCTTAATGGTATGCAGAAACATTGCATGCAAACGATGGGGATGTAACCCAAACATACTGCGATGGATGTATACTGCAATAGTGAGACCAATCGTCACATACGGGGCTATAGCCTGGAGTAACAGAACTAGTTTAGCTACTACGAGAGCTAATATCTCAAAAGTACAAAGACTAGCCTGTGTTTGCATTACTGGTGCAATGAGAACCTGTCCTACGGCCTCAATGGAGGTGATCTTAAACCTCACCCCTCTACATTTGTTGATAGAGAATGTGGCAAAAAGGAAACGATATAGAATGATCAGGAAGATACCTGGGACATGCCCCAGGATGAAATGCTAAAGAAGTACAGTTTTGTGAAAAACTTCAAAACCACAGAGCTGGGCTGCAAGAAAGAATGGAGCCAAGAATCCATCGCACTTGCAACCGAAAGACGTGGTATACGGACGGTTCCAAAACCATAGAAGGAACTGGAATAGGAGTGTATGGGCCGAGAACCAAGAACTCCGGAAGCTTTGGGAAATACCCAAGTATCTTCCAGGCGGAAATTCACGCCATCGAGAAGTGTATCCAGTTCAACTTCGAGAGAAACTATCATTAACAAGAGATTATCATCATGTCCGATAGTCAAGCAGCCATCAAAGCGCTGAGCACTTACGTAATCAGCTCAAAAATAGTCTGGAGATGCCTAGAACAATTGAATGAGCTAGGCGAGAACAATAGAGTTACTCTCACTTGAATCCCGGGACAAAACGGAGTACAGGGTAACGAGATTGCAGATAGTCTTGCAAGGAAAGGGGCTCAAACACCCTTTGTAGGACCTGAGCCGTTCTGCGGTATCAGCAGTAACATAATATTAGGAGAGATTAAAAAAGAATTGGGCAGTAGAAGAACTGATAATTGAAACAATCTCTTGGGGCTGAGACAGGCCAATATACTTCTGGGTGAATATAACCTGAAAAAATCGGAAGCCTGCATCTGCCTGAGCAAGAACAGGCTACGTATTGTAACAGGGATCCTCACTGGGCATTTCCGACTAAAAGGACACCTAAGTAAAGTGAGAGTAGTAGAGGATAGTGAGTGCAGATTCTGTGAGGAGGAGGACGAAACCTCCATTGACATCCTAACTGAATGTGTAGCTCTCCAGAATCCAAGGGCACTATATCTAGGAGGATATCAAATAGAAGAGGGAGATTTACCTAACTTGAAGCCACTTTAAATCCTACATTTCCTTGAGAACATAGGATTGGAAGGGTCGTTATAGGCATTGAGACATTTCCTTGGTGCATTGGCGACAGAAGGGGGCACAATAGATCTTTTGTTGCACCCCATTCCCAACATAACATAGTATCTAGGAATAATTTTGTCGATTTTGTAAAGTTTTTTGTAAAAGATCAGTGGCATAACTGATGGCGGCACAAAGCATACCCTCGCTACCCAGTCACAGAAATTCAGTGTCCGAACCACTCTACACAAATCTGTAAATCTATTCATCGATCTAGCATTGTCAAATATGGATCGATTTTAAAGAGGTTTTCACCAATAGATGAGTAATTGTACTCTTTAAGGCAATATAAAATATAATACAATCAGTACTCTAAATGTCGAGTTTATGACGCATTGCGACATTAATCGCTCGCCTGACACAGTGTGGATTAGCTACCGCGACTATATTCACTCGCTCACGAGATTTGTTTAAAATTTAAATTAATTTATTTCTTTTGAATCACCCTCTATTTGTAAATGGATTATTTACTAAACGTGGCAACGCTGTGCGGTTTTGAGATATTTCCAGCTCGCGTTTGCATCCCATATAACATCGTATGATGATGTCAGTGACATTGACACTAGTCAGATTTCACTCAATATTTGACATTTGTATCCTTTTTTATAAATAAATATAGAAAAATATGTTTCTTTAGTTAGTTAATTGATTGTATAAACAATGGCAAACAAAATGGACGAATTGAAGCATAAATTGCTATCGCTAATAAATAAACAGGTAACATTACCGTAACTTTATTTGATGTTTCAAGGATTCTTTGGAGAAATATTCACATAAATAACATTTCAGCCCCCAAAAATCCCGTCTATGGGTTTCAACGACGCTAATTACCATTTCTCCGAAGTCTCCACGCTCTCTATCAATAGCAAAACCGTGCAGGAGATCGACAGACCCGCCGATCAAGATATTTTGGAAAGCATAGAAGCAGCTTATTTTTCAATAAACCCGGATTTCGATATTTGCAAATTTGAGCTGCAAGTAAGTAGTCAATATTTAATAAAGTTTATGCGATAGAATCACGTGATTTTTGCTTTAAGAAACTGCCTGAAGTGTTGGATTGCGATCAAATCCAGAGGGACTTTAAAAATTTGAAGCAGCAACACCAAGTAGTGTCCAAAAAAGTGTTGCAATTGATCCTGGAGCATCAGACAGGTTGTAACGGGGAATTCGAAAAGATTACTGAGATTCTGGAAAGGGTTAAGGAGGCGTTAGAGTTGTGCAGGGCAAGTAGGAAGGAGTTGAAGGTTTCTGGAAGTCAGTTTACTGATAGTTTAGGTATTTTAGCGAATTATAGAAAGAGGAAGATAGCTCAAAATTTGTTGAATAATTTGACTACTATTAAGGATTTGGTGAGTGTTTTTGTTGCATTATTTTTTCAAAAAAATATAAATAAAAGGTTTAGTTAGAGGGTTTGGTTAATGTCAAGTGTAGAAACATAGATTATTTTGTTTCCTATATATAGCACAGTTTTGAAAAAAGATGTCAAACCATGATGTCTGAAGAGGATTTCGTTGGTGCTATTACAGAATTGAAGAGGTGTCAAAAGACTGCTGCGAAATATAGACATTTTAGTTGTGTGGCTGCATTGACTTATAAATTATTAGAAACATTGGAGAATACCGATTCTCAGTTGGATCGGATTTTAGCTCAGGTGAGAAATAAAAGATTGATTTTGGAATCATTTATTATAAATATGTGCCTTTTTAATTTATTTCCTTACCTTATATCAGTAAAAACGTTTATTTATTGTTTGTTAATAGGTACACCTAATACTTCAATCAAAAATATTATAAAAATTTAAAATGTATCAAAATATAGCTTTAATTTAGTTTTCATTTAACACAGCTCGAATAAAAAAAAGAAGAAAAATGAACCTAATTTCATGGTTGACAGATTGTTTGCACTTTTTGTTAAATTTCTCGAATATGGACTATTTTAGGAAAATTATCTATAGGGCAAAAATTATAGAGAATAACATCACAAGAAACTTTTATTTGAAGAATTTTCTTCTACAAGCGCAAGTAACAAATATATTCCATAATAGAAAAACGACTCTATAAAGTACCCTCCCAAATGTTCCGACTATGCCCAAAATCTAATCAACTCACTGCAGGATGAATTAAAGCTTAAGTTTAAAATTTTGTATTTTTCTCTATATCCGTTTTTGAGTTATTTTAAAAATTCGTAATTTTTCTCAAATATCTCGAGTACGGTCCATTTTAGGAAAATCATGTATGCGACAAAAATTATAAAGAATAATATGACAAGCAACTTTTATTTGAACAATTTTCTTAAAAATTCGAATTTTGCTCTTTTTTGTCAATTTTCTCGAATACGGACTATTTTAGGAAAATTATCTATAGGACAAAAATTATAGAGAGTAACATCACAAGCAACATTTATTTGAAGAATTTTCGTTTACAAGAGTTAATAACAGATATATTCCATAAATTAAAAAACGACTCCTTATAAAGTACCCCCAGATGTTCCGATTATGCACAAAATTTAATCAAGTCACCGCTGGATGGATTAAAGCTTAAGTTTAAAATTTAGTGTTTTTCTGTTTATCCGTTCATGAGTTTTCAAGTATACAGACACAGACATCATCACGAAAAAAAATCCGTTGAAAACTCGAGGTCGAAATAATCATGATTCCTATACTTTCTTTATGTGTGTACAGACAGGAAAGTAAAAAAAAAATACATTATAAAAGTGTAGAAAAACATAGCATTTTGAAGAAAATGTAAATAAAAATATTTCAAATAAAATAATTAAGAAAAAAGTAAAAGTAAATTATTAATTTCACCAAAATTATCCAAAACCTTTTCATTTTCTTTAGAATTATCATACAAGATTAGTAATATATATTTTTTTGCATTTTATGTTAAGAATAATTGAATTTTTATATTTTTATTTGATTATTACAAGGTTAGATTTGAGTCAAGTAGTGCCAAACCTAAAACCCACAGTTATTCCACAGGTAAATATTTTTTCCCCAAAAGAAATATCCCCATAGAAAAAATCCTATTTTTTGTGGAAAATTTCCCAATCTGGCAACCATGCCTAACTTTTTCGTTGAGCTGTTATTTGTTTCATAAGTTTTATCAATAAAAATTGTACCATTTAAATGCCATTTGGTCCATTATTTGTGTTAAAAAACTTCGTATTCAGAATCATCATTTATTTTTCCTGTACGCAACCAAATATTTTTAAAATGTTATGCTTGATAATTAAATTGAATTGATCAAAAAATAACAATTTTTTTCAATTTCTTGTTTATAATTTAAATATAATAATATGGATCAAATAAAAATAAAGTTGTAGGAAAGGTATATGGATATATCTTTATTGATTTAGGAATCCTGATATACATATTAAACAAGAATAAAAAGATTTTACATATATAGGGTGTTTAAAAAAGGTGGGCCCGTTGCTAGGATAGGTAGAACACTGCAATGTAAATTGGAAGTATTGTTAATGTGACAGTTTATTTTGTTGGTATTTTGACCATAATAATTTGTTTTAAAGTGCAACATTGCGATGTGAAACATACTTCAACTGATTAGACTACAAAAAGTGCAAGAAAAACTGCATTTATTTGACTAACGTAGATATTTTAGTTTTTTGAGTCAATATGTTTAAAGTTTACATCTTTTTTGGAATTATATCCTATTTATTCTACCAAGGTAACATTTGTGTTAATAAATAAAGTTGTGACTATTTTTAATATCAGTGGTATATACCACTTAAAATAACGATGGGAGATGATTATAAGTGCCGTAAATGTAAGCTTACTAAATCTGATGGCTATGTTGGATGCGAAGGTGTCTGCTCAAAATGGTTCCACTACTCTTGTGTTGGTCTAACTAATGTTGAGTTTTCGATGCTTTCAAAAAGTAAAAATTTATATTTTCTATGTGAACTCTGTAGACGTAAATGCAGCATTGTTCAAGAAAAATTCCTGTCTTACCACAATAATAGTCTGAAATCAATTGACGAACGTTTATCTGACATTTGCGATGTAGTTCAAAAAACCATCCAGGAAAAGTTAGATGAGCTCTCTCAAAACGAAATTGTCGATATTCTAAAAAAAGAGATTCACGAGAAGATTTCCCTTAGACTCGACGATTTTTCTTCCAATTCTTCAACCTCTAACACGTCTGATCTTAGTAATAAAGTATCATACTCGAAAGCAGTTGCTAAGCAACCTTCTTATGTAATTATGCCTAGGGCAAAACAAGCTATCTCAGTCACGAAAACTGCTATGATTCAAAATATAAACCCTGTATCATCTAACATCAACATCACTAAAGTAGTTAACATTCGAGATGGTGGTATAATGGTTAGATGCGAAAACTCTGGTGAATGTACCAAATTTAAAAAGTTAGCAGATGAGAAGCTGGCCAATGACTACACAATCAAAGAAGTTCCTGTACTGAATCCTCGCTTCAAGATCGTTGGTATCTCTGAAACTCTTTCTGAAAATGTTCTTATAAATGTTATTAAAAGCCAGAACAAAAATTAAATATGTCCAGATAGTAATTTAAAAGTAATCTACCAATTACCTTTGAAAAAGAATAACAAACTTTTCCAAATCATAATACAGTCAGATATTAATAGTTGTCAAAAGGTTATCTCACTAGGTAAACTATTTGTTTGCTACGATTATTGTAATGTTTTTGACGCTATTGAGATAAGGCGGTGCTTCAAGTGCTGTCGTTTTCATCACCTAGAGAAACATTGTAATTCATCTATTTATATTTGTCCATTATGTGCTCAAAATCATAAACTCAGTAAATGTCATCAACCCAGCAATAAGTATTGCATTAACTGCCATAACTTTAATAAAACTGCCGAAAATCCGATCCCTGTAATTTATTCTGTTTTGCAATATAATGAGTCTCATGTATATAAAAAAAAACTCTGAATAAATTTAGATCCAATATTCTGTCTCCCAGGTAGCAACCAGATCGAGCACATCCTGTTTCAACTATTAATAATAAAAGTAAATGTACTCTCTAACTTTTCTATCAGAATGTTCGTGGCACTCGTATGAAGACTCGAGATTTTTATCTTAACTCATCAACTTCCTCTCAATATGACATTATTACGCTCACTGAGACCTGGCTAAACGACTCAATCGAGGATTCGGAACTATATTGACATTGGGTAAAGCAAATGTTTATATTTTCTGCATCTACTTTCCTCCGCTCATAACTGCTAATGAATATGATCTTTTTGTCGATATTTTCATGTCTATACAAAATGTTATAATTGTTGACGATTTCAATTTAAGTAGATATGCCGATTTTAGAGCAGGCATAATAAGAGATCCATTTAGAAAAATATCTTGTTTAATGAATTTCCTAACTTTTTTAATATGTGTCAACATAATACAATACTTAACTGCAATAACAGAATCCTTGACCTCGTTCTCTCAAACATTGATGAATGCACTGTCTCTGAAACATCTGAACTCTTGCGATTAGATCTACAACACCCTGTCCTTTCTGTTGATATTTCCATTAAGACTACTCTAAAGACAGCTTGAACAACATGGATTCATCAGAGGACGTTCCACTATAACAAACCTCTTCTGTCTTACACAATTCTTGTTTGAGGCAATTGACAAAAAGAATCAGGTAGACGTAATCTATACTGATTTTTCCAAAGCCTTTGATAAGTTGGATCATGGCATACTACTAACAAAACTTCAGGTCGGAATGTCTGAACAGCTAATAACTGTCATAAAATCCTATATATTTGGACGCACCCAATTTGTTCAATGTCTGGGTCTCAAATCACGTATATTTTCTCAAACTTCCGGAGTTCCTCAAGGCTCTAGTCTGGGTCCTCTTTTCTTCAACATTTCTGTTAACGATATTGTAACTAATATTGATGTAAAATATTTACTATATGCTGATGATTTAAAACTATTCCACACCATTAATAACTTGAATGATTACCACCCTCTACAACGTAACCTATTAAATGATTATTGCGCTGCCAACAAATTGTCTCTAAATGCCAATAAATGCAACATAATGACTTTCTCTAGAAAAGAGCCAATCATGCAATTTAATTATATACTTCAGGATATTACGCTATCAAGGCCTGAGTTGATAAAAGATCTCGGTGTCTACTACGATCCCAAGCTAACATTCGGTGCTCATATTGATAAGACGGTATTATCTTCTTTTCGGATCTTAGGGTTTCTAACTAGGAACATGAAAGATTTTAGATAGTTCCATACAATGAATTTACTATTCTCAGTTCTTGTTCGATCTAAACTTGAATACGGATGCAATATTTGGAGCCCAATTTATAATAATCAGATAACTTACCTAGAAAGAGTTCAAGGGAGATTTTTTAAATCTGCCACTTTTATTTTAGGTAATATATTTCCCGCTAGAGGCACTCCACCAGAATATTTTATGACCGATTCGAATCCTCAGCCTTGTAAAACGCAGAATAATGCTCTCTGTCACATTTTTACACAAAGTTATTAATGGGTCTGTTGACTGTATGGAGTTAATCAACATGATCATCTTCCACCTTCCTAGGCTAAACTCCAGAAACTTACATATATTTCACATTCCGCCTCATAGGGCAAATATATATAAATCATCACCTATTAATCAAGCTGTGTCAAATTATTGTCTCTTAGAACCGAATCTGGACATATTTCACAGTTGTAGCGGTTCAGTTAAACGTTTATGTTCATAGTACCATACCTTCTGTCTCTTTTTTTTCTGTTATTGTGAGTCTTCATCTCTCAATTACTTGTATGGTTTAAAAGTTTGTCTACTACAAATGCAATTGTTTTTTGTTCTTCGTTTTTTGTCATTTATGTGTTCGTAAAGACATTCTTTTATCGAACCAATTGTTGTAAAATATATTTTCTGTTTGTTAACCCTTGTCCTGTAATTGGGGTTACCCCCGTGGATATTGTATAATAAATAAATAAATAAAATAAATGTTATTTGCTCAGTAAAAATACCTCTTCTACAACTTTATCAAAATAAATAAGCATTTAATGATAGCTATTAAGATTAAGACAAGAAAATTATAACACGACATGAAGTCACTAAACGCGAGTTCATGCTTTACTTTTTCTACGACCGGCAAATCATTTTTTAGATTTGTTTCCATTTCGACAAGGAACGTTACAGAAAGTTACAGGCCGCGTACGATTTGTTGGAAAAATCGCAATTATCCATGATCGACAACCTGCACGTCCATTACATCACGGCCATTTACAATTGCTCTCTTAACGTTGTACATTCGTATATTTCGTCACCAGATATTTTAGAATCAAGCGAAAATAGCGGGAAAAATCCCTACACCGTTCTATGTCAGGTAAGAATGATATTTTATAGTACGTACCCTTTCGAAACATTCGTTTATAGTCAATAGGTCAAGAAGTATTCATCCCTTGTCTCGTCCAATTGTGCAAAATCCTTTTCAAAATAGTTCTGAGCTATCACCAGCTCGTTAAATGGCATAACGCCGATACCGAGGTAGATAATCAAGAAAAACACACCGACATCAGCGCCAGCAAACAAAAACTCAATCACAATCTGACCAAAATATGGGACGACGTGCAAAGGAAAGTCTCGAGTTTGTTGCTGAACGGAGATTTGGCTCGATACAAGTTCGAACAGTTCGTTCAGGTGCTCAGAGTCATTCATAGGTATGTACCAATCGAAAATGTTCTTATTTTTGTTATATACTGACTTATACGTCACTTGTCAGCAATTTAGAACGTTACAATTGTCACTTTTATGACATTACTGACAGACGACAGCTGTAAACGACTGTTTTTAGGTTAATACAAGTCGGCGAAGAGTTTTGCAACAGTAGATCGGAAGATTTACAGGAATCCATAAGGAAACAGAGCGAGAATTACTTCATGAACTACCATTCGCAAAGATTGGACGAATTAAAGATATTTTTAGAGAACGAGGCGTGGGAAATTTGTCCTGTTAAATCTTCGTTCGATATAATGCAACTGCAGGTAAGATATATCGCTTATTTGCGGTAAAAATGTTACTTTGTTAATTTTAAGGAGTTCAAACCGTTCCGGTACACTTTGAAGACGTTCAAATTCAATCCGCAAGCCAGTCCGACGGCCGTCAACTATTCGACCAACTCGACCGAATGTTGCTCGTCTACGCACTCGCTAGATGGCAGCAGCATCATCGGGAATTACTTTATAAGGTTCGCGGAGCATGGTACGCCCTTCGATACCGGTTTGGACGATACTGTAATCGAAGAGGATATTATGGTGTCGGAAAATGAGGGTTCTGGGTACTTTTCGGATGAAAGCGACGATGTCAACATGGAGATTTGTGGGGATGAGTTTTCTGAAGATTCAAAGTATGTATTGTCTATGTACTGAGTATGATGTATATCATTTTAGTTACTGTTTGCATGTATTTTCTTATTTAGTGATGAAGTAATTTTGATTATAATGTACCTTTCTTAAATATGTACTGAGATTTACATTCTACTATTGTGAACCCCCACAATTTTGGTTAAAAGTCGCTACTGGTCCTTTAAAATATTTTAAAACTTTCAGTTCTTTGTACATAGATTAAAGTACCTCCCATATACCTAAAGAGAGCTTATCGATTAGGGTGATTCATTTCTGCAATTTTTTTTTCGGTTCTCAAGCAAAATATTAATCTACATATAGAAAAAAAAAAACTCACCAAGTTTGAGCTCTTAATACCATCGAAAAAATTTAGGGATCAAAAAAAAATCTCGATTTTTTGATTTTTCGAGTGGCTGTATCTTTGGTAAAAATGGTCGTACGCGAATGGAAAAAATGCAATTTGAAGCTTGAAGTGTCTAGTTTATGGATCACATGACTTTCCTATGTTTATGTTTATTTTACTTCTTACATATTTATTTTTTACAAATAAATTTTCTTATAATGTAAATAAACGTGGGTAAGTCCGAAAAAAACATAAGGTTGTGCTCGGAATTACTCCTGTTAGTAGCTCCATAATAATTGCTGATAACAATTAATAATTATAACAATAGACATAGATTAATAATATTAACAATAGTAATTACAATAATAATAATTGTAAATATGTGCAATAATAATAATAATAATACTAAATAATATACATGAATAATAATTAATTTTACTAGATAGCAGACTAACTAATGATTAATTAATGAATAATATGAAAATGAGTATAATTATTCGAGTAATAATTAAGTCAAATACTTAATACAAATAAATATAACAATAATAATAATGCCTACTTAATAAATACCTATTATAATTAATTAAAAAAATTATATAAAAAGAAAAAACGTTAGAATATAACAAAACACACTTTCAAAGAACAAAAACACATATTGACAGATGAAATGTAGAATTAACAAACGAATTGTAAATTATTGCAAAAAAGAAGAAAAGCAATGAACAATTTTTGATGGTAACATGAAAGCATGAAAATGATTACACTTATTTACTTAAATTTTATGTTTTTTTTAGAGATATAATTACTTAAGATTTAATTTTTATTTAGATATTTTAGTTCAATTCAATTAATTCGAAAAATATTTAAAAAAAAAATTTGAAGATCTTTTTAATGTAGATAAGGAATTTATTTTTATTATATGGATTTTATAGATTTCTGGCAGAAAATTGAATATTTTAACATCCCAGTTAGAAAAATTCTATTAATTAAATTTGCAGTATGCATTTTTATTTCATCAACAATATATTGTAGGGTTTCAGCTTTTATACTATCGTGACCAAGTGCCTTGTTTGGTTTTAACGATTTAATAGTAGTTTTATTTTCCATCTCTGTTTCAAGTTCTAAAAAAAAGGTATGTATATTATATCTGGGTGGAGGCGGCGTATCAGGTTTTTGAATGCGTTTAGCGTAAGACTAAGATACTCATTGTTTGTAAAATATGTAGCAATATCTTTTATTACAATATTTTCGTTAGAACATATTTCAGTTATCTCATTTTTTTTTTTCATTACCACTTATTTGTTTAACTGTTTTCCAAAGACCTTTAGAGCTATTTTTATGTTTATCTATTTAATTTTTGGCTTCTGAGTCAAGTTTTATTAATTTATTTCTATATTTTATAAATCTATTTTTTATTTCCAAATTTTAAGAGTATATATCACGTATATACGGGTTCATTTTATCAATAAAACTTATTTCTTACAGCTATAACAAAACATACTAACAATAATTTAATAACAAATGGATATGAGAATACGACACTCAAATAATTTTTGGAAGATAAGTAGTTAAAACCTACGACCTAGTAAGGAGCAGACAAATTACACAAACACTATTGACAATAATCTTTATTACAACTTTTAACTAGATTTCATTATAAAATATTTTTTTGGGAACTGTGACTGGTTTGTCTTATCACACTTCTATTAGGTCCTTCTTCAGTATCCGAGGGATCAATTTCCGATTATCAGAATATTGCGCTTTGAAATTTTGGTTATTGCGGAAATAAAGTCTTTATCTGAAATTTTCTGTAATTCATTCGCCGTGAATGGTTTATTACTGACAATAAATATATTCTTCTTGTTTGTTTATTCTGGCTAGTTTTTGATGTTTATATAAAACTGATCCTGGTAGTCTTCTTGAATATAATCTCTTAATATAGAGATTCCTGAATCTTTAAGACGCGACTGATTTTGTAGTATAGTTGTTGTTAGTTTATAATGAATTAGTTCTAGGACCACAGGTCTTGGGTTTTCAGTTTTCTCTTTTATCCTACCTATACGGTATACTGAGTGTTTCATAATATATGCGCAGGACTTCAGGACGCGATAGCTCGTCCAAAAATATGAAAAAACGTTTGTATTAACTTACCCTCTAAAATGGACCATTTTCGAGATACAATGTGTTGAAATTGAAAAAAAATTCTACGCCACTGGAAAAAGTACGGCTTTGAGACGTCCATTTAAACCGCCAATGTTTTCACAAAAAAGGTACTCCTGGTCATACGCTCTAAAGTCGACCGTTTTCGAGAAAAATCAAATTTTAATGTTGAAATACATGGTCATACATACTTGATGAAACAAAATTTGATTTTTTACATGCATTTTAAATGGTAAAACTTTAAATTTAAATAGTAAGTACTTAAAATTGATATTAAGAGCTCAAACTTGGTGAAAAATGTTTTTTTCTATATGTAGATTAATATTTTGCTTGAGCACCGAAAAAAAAAACTTTGCGGAAATGAATCACCCTATTATCGATATTTGTTAACATTACTGGTACCAAAATATATACAACTATACTTTTTTTACATCTATCTCTACCTTTTTAGGCAATTACACAAAGACAAAAAAGAAAAATCGCATTCCACCTGCCCAATCTTGACCAATACCACTCTAACGGTGTTACGTCAAATCGGCAAGTACTTACAGATGTCCCGTTTGCTGAAACCCATAGCGTACAGGATAATTTCCTGCATGAATCAATTGTTCGATTACTACTTGTACTCTGTGCACTCGTTTTTCACCGTCGACCTGGTAAGTCGATAGGGACCGAATCCGGTCGACTAACCGGCTGATTATTTTCGATTTCAGTGCGTCGGCGGTACGAATCTCTACACTCAGGAGCTGAACGTGACGCTGAGTCGAATTTCCAGGGAACTGATAGTCGAAATGCAGGGCGAAGGCGATGTTTCCGACGGTAGGGTGTTCAAACCGTTGATTTCGCCGATGATCGATCTCAAAAATGTGGAGAAATTGAACGGTTTGAGCGAGAGGATCGTCGCCGTCGAAAGTTTGGCGTTTTTGGCCAAGCAGTACGAATTTTTGCGTGATTATTTGGAGTATTTAGTGCCTCTGAATTGTAAGACTGCTTTAGAACAGTTTTATGCTCAAGTAAGTAAAAAAATTGGTATATTAAAAATATTTATTGGATAAAATGTTACATATCTAGCTTATAACCTGTTAATAAATACCCTGCAATGGTCATATTCACCTCTGGATGGGTCCTGTTTGGCAACACTTGATAATTTCTCATAAAATTGTTAGTTATCCTAATATTAATAATGTCAGTCCTGGTTTTAAGATAGGTGTACAAATCTTGGTGTAATTCCTTAAATAAACTAAAAACTACAAAATTTCGATTTCCCTTCAAAAAAGACAGCAGTTCTTTGGTAATATTCACCGGATGTTCTTTAGCTGTAATTATTAGAGAATCAACTTTTTGGTCCAGGATCTTGCAAGCTTTTTCGTTGTCTAATTGCCAGGTTTTCTTCTGTATGTTACTCGCAGATTTAGTATTTTCATCTACCTTCTGTCTCTTTGCTTCAGGTTCACTAGTTTCAGCATTATTTTCAACAAAAGTGTTTCTGTTTTGATAAAAACACCGTATCACTGAATACAAGTTGACATTTATGCACCTGTCTGATTGTTCTTTGGGAAATTGCATGGCTATAAACGCATTTTTTTGGCACTCATTCCCAGGGTGTGTATGTATTAGTTGTCCTGTTGTATTTGGCCCTATAGCATTAGTTATAGCTGCAGAAATGAGCCCAGAAGTTCCACTATCGTATAAGAGATGATTTCCTAGAGAAATAAAAATGTAAAAATCACAAATTTATTTGAAAAATTTAAATTCCTTACCTTCTGAATGAATGTTGGCATAGGTCAGAATTTGGGACAAATCATCTACTCTTATACCCAAAGTTTTAGTGGGATCTTGCCTATAAAACATCTGTACTAAAATTCTTATACTTGGTTTCTTAATCTGTACATACTCGAAGTATTTTTTCTCTTTTTTCTTGATGTACTTCTCCTGACTGTATTCAGTTTTCATGGAAAATGTTTTAGAGTTGTTTATTAACTGTCCCACTATGTTATTAGAGCTTAATTCAGCATCTTTTAACTTATCTATATCTTCTTTAGTTAAACTTTGTGACTCTGCATGGTTATTGGGTATATTTCTGTTATCCTGACCTGATTTTTCGATATTCAATGAATCTTTAGCCGAATTTACTTGCTCGACTTTCTCCAGAACGTAAAACCTTTTATTTCCAGGCGTGTTTTTCATTTGGAAAGTATCAAAATATTTCTCGCCTATGACGTTATCCATTTCGATATTGAAAGAACCTAAGATTAACTTGCTGCTGGCTTTTAATTTGTGTAATTTTGTGTAGCCTTGGCGTTGTACTACAACATAATCGCCTATTTTTATTGTATTATCCCCAGAATCCATTTTTTTGAAAGTATGTTTAAAGAGGTTATAAAAAGTAAGGTTATATTAGTTTGACGTTGTCATATGTCAATCATGGAACGCTAACTTCAAAATTTACACGAAATGTTTGATTGCGTTCCGAATTTCGGAGTTAAATCGCTGGTTGACAAGATCCAGGATGACGTAATTAAAAATACTAAAAATTGTCGATTATACAGTAAATTTTCATTACGAATGATTATAAAAGAGAACATTTTTGTAATTTTTATCTAAATTTAAAATAATTGGTCTTCACAAAAAGAAAAGTCAAATTCTTAAAAAATTGCCCGAATTATTGTGATATAACGCTTAAAGCGTCTGTGTGTCTCAATTGAATAATGACGCAGTATCATTGTATATTTTTTGATAATAAAATCTATTTTTCTGTATAATTAGTTCGTTTTTGAAAAAAATTGAGTTGCGTCGGTATTCTCGCAAATCATTAAAATGTATTTTTTGTTTTTTTTAGACCATTACTAGTGCATCGGATTTGCGAAATCCAGTTTATATGGCAGTGGTCGCACAAGCGTTTGATCTGAGACAAATTTTGACGTGTATGGCGAAAATAAACTGGGAAGTCAGAGATGTTAGATCGATGCATAATTCCTACGTTGACATGTTATTACGGGTACAGTACTGTACGTTAAAATTGTAATTTTATATTAGTTAATATATTTTGTAGGAAGTGCAAATATTTACTATAAGATTGGAGGAGATATCTGTTAAAGTTCCGATAGCTACTGAAGTTTATCAAAGTTTATGGAGCAACGTGGCTCATATCGTTACCCATACTTTAGTGCAAGGGTAAATATATTTTTTCATGTTATTAGATCAACTATCAAAGTGGGGTTATAAAGTGATCGTACTACTTTTTTGTAGATTCTCAGAAGCAAAAAAGTGTACGAACGGTGGAAGGGCTTTGATGCAATTAGATTTCACTCAATTTTTAACAAAATTCGAAAAAATATCCTCTCTTAAGCCCGTGCCGCATAAAGAGTACGTTGAAAATTACGTAAAAGCTTATTATTTGCCGGATAATGAATTAGAAAAATGGATAAAGGAACATAAGGTTAGTAAATACTAGACAATTGACACATGACGTTTGACATTTGACTATTATATTTTTAGGAATATTCATCTAAGCACTTATTGGGTCTGGTGAGTTGCGCGTGTCAAAATAACAAAAAGATACGTCAGAAGTTACTTCAAATCATCGAAGACATGGAAAAGAGCAAATTTCCTAGATAACATTTTGATTTTCGTTTATATATCTGTACAATTCCACTATGCAATTTTTCTCTCTCATTATGTGATATTGTTACATATTTTGTAGTTTTAAGTTTAAATAATAGCGTATTTATTGAAATGTTGAGTGATATTTTTGTCGAGTAAAAGTATTTTATCGATTCCACTGAAAGAATATTTGATATATGTATTTTTTGTAACGTACTTATTTTTTTTTGTTTTATTAAAAATATTTTACACGTTTCGCATTCTTTTGAAGATATTAACTGTGAAGTTGGTGCAAAATATTAACAGTTTCCCTTGTTTACTTATTTGTCTAGTTATATCGAAGGTCTTTCCTTATAACAGTGATTCGCAGTTTTGAGGTTTTTATAGACTCGATTTTGCCTGACGTTTGTTTGAAACAAAATTGCTGCCGATGAGAAGAGTTGGTATATCAAAGAAGTTGCGACATAGACCTAGTAAACTGTGGCTAAGGGGAAAATAGTAGTCAGCTTAAGTTGGCAACACCATGAAAATGTAATGGTAGACTTGGCGACTACTATTTCGAATAAAAATATAATCCAAGATGGAAGACTAGGTCGCTACCCCCTAGATATACCAGCTTTTGTTTGACAGGTCGTTGGTTTCTCTAATTTGATTATCGAGGAAGGGAGGTAATTAAAAGAACTTAATAAATCTAGCATTTTACTGAATATCCAAACATTTCAACAATATAGGTAGGTGAGGTCATCAGCAGCCGCAGTTACATAGTTTGTAGTAACAAAGTGACGTAAGAATATGACGTTTTCAAAATCTGAAACCAAATAAGTAGCCATTTTCCTAACAAGTGCGCAAAGTGTTACTTTTCCGCACGCAAATACAGTTAGACGAACGACGTGAAGCGAATTTTTACTTTTCTGCACTCGGTGTGTAAAAAATTTTATCGCACGGCGTGCGGAAAAGTGTAACTTCACTCACGGATATACGTGCGAAAAAGTACTACTTTGTGCACGCTCGTAATGAAAATGAAAATATATTTATTGAAATAGGTAACCCTAATATACAAACAATTTTTTTGTATGCGGCTGTAAACCAGTGTTGCCAGATGTACAATAATTATCATTTTATATGATAATTTTGGTGTTCTGTACAATGTACGATAATAATACCAAAATGTACGATAATTTCACAATATACCTTAAACATTTTCTTTCGATCATTTAATTTCTTCAAACTCCACGAGTGAATGCCAGTATAATTTACATTTATTTAGGATATTTCCTGAATTTTGTTTGAATAAGTGATGATATTTGCTTCAAATTTTTATCAATGTACCATAATAAAACAGATGGCTTTCTGGCATTCATCTCAAAAGATAGTTACATATCGTTGTGGGTTATTTATACACACAAATTTTCGCAAACCTAGATGGTGAAATTTAATAGTTAGCTATACAACTAGTGGAATGACACTGTTCATTAACATTATAATAAGGTGGGTAAGAGTGGGGGGGAATTAAATCAAGTGTGTATCTCGGCTACTATTGGTCCGATTTAAAAGGGAAAAACGGTATTATGTAGAGAACGCGGTAAAGATGAAGAGAAAAATAATGCGCAGAACGAAAGCCAGAAGAGCCTTAGCGTGTTTCTCGAATATTACTAGTCCGATTCAAACGGGAAAAACGGTATTATGTAGAGAACGTGGTATAGATGAAGGTTAAAGAGAAAAATCGACTTTTCGTTTGACTATTGTTGTTTCGATTCTACCAAAGGGGCAATATCGATGGTTTTTATTTCAAACTCAAAGTACTTTAACTAAAATAACTACTGAAATTGTTAACAGCCGGGTTGGTCGAGCGGTCTAAGGCATCAAACGTAATCCATCCTCCGAATAGTCAGTATTAAGATGTCTAGCGAAGAAAATAGACGTAAAAGTTAAGGAACTACATAGAGACATAAAATTATATGAAATAAAAAGCAAGTTTTAAGAGATTTAACAAATTTAAGTATTTGTGATAAAGTCTTTGAGAGACATTATACCAATAAATATCATCTTAGAAGAATTTAACCGATGTAAATATGGCCTTATTGAAAGCAACACGCTAAGGCCCTTCTGGCTTTCGTTCTGCGCATTAATTTTCTCTTCAGCGTTCATCTATATCACGCTCTCTACATAATCACATTTTTCCCGTTTGAATCGGACCAGTAATAACCGAGAAACAGACTTAGGTCCTTTGGCTTTCGTTCTGCGCATGATTTTTCTCATTAACTAACGTTCATCTATACCGCGTTTTCTACATAATGTCGTTTTCCCCGTTTAAATCTGACCAACAATAACAAAGATAAGTTTTAGGCCCTTTTGGCCTTTTACTGCGCATGATTTTTCTCTTCAACGTTTATCTATATCAAGCTTTCTACATAATGCCGTTTTTTCCGTTTGAATCGTACCAATAGTAGCCCAGAAACACGCTTTGGTCCTTTTGGAAATCGTATAATTTTTCCGTTCAGCGTTAAAAGAAATTTAATTCTCCCCACTCCCCCTCACTCTGTCTCACTCTTACCCATTGAATATGTACCTCTCACTCTTACACATTGAATTCCCTATGTGGCCCGTAGCGGCTTTGTATATCTACAATCGTCGTATAAAATTTATACCCAGAAATACTCAACAACTTCCTGTTTTTTAAATAGCCAGTTTATTTAAGTAACATCATTTGAAAGGCAATTTTATGGAGAATTCAACAATAAGGTTAAGGTTAATTGCCCTCTAGCGGGATAAAAAACTTGGGTATTGTAAAATGTGACACTTCATTTGAAAGCTATTTTTATCAGTAATTTAATGTAACCTGAACTTAAATAATTGAAACATCGTGCAGATCTTCAATGTTTAAAAAATATAAACTATAATCGCAATCAACTAAAATAAAACGTATTAAATCACTAATAAAATTAGCTTTCAAATGAAGTATCATATTTTATAACGTTTTTTATCCCGCTAGAGGTGGCCAAAATAAAAAATAACGCAATAAATAGTCATAATGCTGAATTCTTCAAAAAATTACATTTCAAATTCTGTGTTACTTACTATTTAAAAAAATAGGGGGTTGCTGCGCTGCCAGGCTCGAGTTGGTTGGATTTCTGAGTATAAACTTCATCTCTCAGCCAATAAAAATTCGTGTTTTTTTCTCTTAAATTCACGTATAATCAAAAATTATTTCGACAGGTTAGTCCTGAAATGAAGGCACAGTATAAAATTTGGCACAAGCTCTTTGATGTTTATTGGATAAACCTGGCCTATACGTTCGTTGAGGATTATCTACGTTGGTTGAGATTCGCCTACGTTCGTTGAGCCTCACCTACGTTCGTGAAGGCTCGCACATGTTCTTAGGAACTTGCTATGTTATTTAAGAAGATTTATAATTTCTTTTATTTCATTCTTTTATACGAAAAGTAATATACCTGATATTTTTATTAACGTCTTTCAATTAACCACTCTGTATCAATTTTAAATATAGTGGTTTTATGAACAAAGTGACTTGGAAACACTGTTCTAACCTTAAATTAGTAGACGCCACTGAAATGACAAAAAAATCACAATCATTTTTTTAAATAAATCCCCCTACCGTCGATATAGTGCTATAAGTGATAGGACCAAAAGGTCCAGCCCGTAAATATACTGGTTTTCTGCTTCTGATGATAACTAGCAGCAAATCTTTTTGTAAATCTGCCTCTAAATTGTACCAATCCACTTTATACATAATATTACCGATGTTCAAGCTCTAAAAAATTAAAACACGTTTTAAATTTATAAAGATAGAAAGTATTTTGTTTTTACATACAGCCTCCATTAGTCTTTGCCCTCCTTGACAAACTGTAAACGTCGATATCATCCAACCAATCATCAGGGCGGTGGTATCTAGCGGAATTTTCTAAACATTAAAAATTAATAAAAAATTTACTTTCCAATTTATCCAAAATCATAACGTTCTAAACTATAATTTTGTTAGTTATTTCTCCAGGTAATAATTATGTGATCAGTGGCCATTACTTGATATGTCGAGTTTTAGTAACTCTACTGCAGAGCGTATATCGTCATCATTATCACGAAGTGACGTAACTCGAAAAAGAAAATTGATAAGTCACATATTTTATGTAAAAAAGTATGCTCTACAATTTCACGAAATTGCGCATCTTATGTCATTACATTTATTAAAATAGCACGTATCTAACCGTGTGTATATGATAATTTTACGAAGAGACGTAACTTTAAAAAGCTTTCTTGTAAACTTGTGATGAAAATCGACTTTTCGTGATATTGACGACGATATGTCAAGATATTGCTTGATCTGTATTGTATACTTCTGACATATAAGATTTGGACACGCCTTGTATCTCTAGATATTATTGGGAATTCGACTTGTCAAGTTATACCATCTTTTAGATCTCACGGAGACGACACAGTAATGCTGATACCAATTTCGGTAAAATATCGATATATTATCATCAAGTTAGGGCATCTTACCACATTGCCAACTTGTAGAATAATTTTGCTGTTAAAATATCAGCAGGGGAACTTCTGGTACTGAATTCATCCTTAAGAGAAAAGCTCGTCTGTAAATCAAAACTCTAATGGCACACTGTTTATTTAATTATTCGACAACTGTTTTATATTTTTACACGACAAAGTATCTGTGCTTGTAGGAAATTCAATCTATATTGAGTTTAAACGTGAATTGTCGACCCCGAAACATGTCACCTGGTAAAGGTTTGACGGTGGTGTGTCTGTGTAACGAGCTTATTGCCTAGCCATCTTTACTGATCGAAGTTTAAAACAGGAGTGACGATAAGCGAGAAACAAAACGGTGGGTGTTGACTATTCGAGGTTTGAAAACGGAGTGGTTGTGTAGCGATAGATGGATCCGACCCCGAAACATCCTTATTGTTGAACGTTTGAAACTGGAGTGAGAAACGCGGGCGGCAATCTGCAGTGTAAGCGATGGGCGCTTGTTAGTTCTTGTGTGTCGAGGGCGTGTCCAACTGGTAAGCATTACGTCAGCACGTAGAATATTTCTAGAAAAATGTTGCAATGCAACGGGCTGCAGTTTGCTTTGGGTAATACGGGTGCTTGGAATTTAAACACACATAATTATTGACTTACCGTAAGAAAGGTATACGCCGCTACTCCTATAAAAGGACCGGTTAAACTGATGTGCACCATCATACAGGGGCTGAAACACCGGTTTACCAAATTGCCCATCCTATAAAAAAAATACACTGAAAAACCCCTTTTGTGGCTATTCTTTGACGAATTTCAATTATTTTGCATATAACGTGATAAAATGTTTTTTATCGTTTCTTGTCCCTATTATCATGATTATTGTTGTAGGTTTACAGTGATAAATGATGATTTTATTACTAGTAGATAAGCAAAGTTTGTATCGCGATATATATAGGGAATTCAATGTGAGAGAGAGAGGTTTCCCGCCGCAATGCGATCAAGAGAGATAGATGTTATATAATCTTACGTGACGTAGGTGGGTAACGTAGATTAACGTTGAAGAGACAAAATACGCGCAGTAGCAAAGCCAAAAGGGCCTAAGTCCATATCTTCGTTGTTATTGGTTCGATTTACATGCAACAAACGGCGTTGTGAGGGAGAAGTGGCGTAGATTAACGTTAAAGAGACAAATCATGCGCAGTAGCAAAGCCAGAAGGGCCTAAAAGTTCATATCTTCGTTGCTATTGGTCCGATTTACATGCGTTGAGAGGGAGAAGTGGCGTAGATTAAAGTTAAAGAGAAAAATCATGCGCAATAGCAAAGCCAGAAGGGCCTAAGTCCATAACTTATTACAGATTACCTTCCTAAATGAGCTTAAATCTTATAATATTTCACATATCTTTCAAAACTCTTGACTTGACTTGATTACAATTAATAATCGAATGTTGTATGCAGTATCATTTCCAAATTTAAACATACAACAAAGTTTTAAGTTTCCAATTAATATTAAAACTATAAATGCTTTCTTTCAAACAAACAGCGAACAGACATATCTATTTTACAACAACAATTCCTACATTGAATTTAATGAAACTAAATCGTGGACCGACAAAAGATCTATTTCCTGGAACTTATGAAGATGTAAGTTCCGCGTTCCGTTGATATAGATGGTTATATCTATTTTTTCTATCGAAATTCCTATTACAAATTCAGTGAATACACAAGAAAAGTTGTAGAAGCAGGACCTTTTAGCTGGAATCTTTTTGGTATATCATGTCCTGATGATAATAACTTATTGAAACAATTAAAAACCAAGTTAGCAAAAGTAATATCTTTATATAATTAATAAAACATAGTATAATATTTTTTATTCATTCTTATTTAAAATAACTATTATATACGCTGGTATACTATAATAAAAATATTTCAACTCAAACATATTTGTTAATTAAATATGATTACGTAAACTTATTCTAAGAGCATGATCTCGTGATACTACATCTATTTCTTTCGATCGCATTGCGTTACTATGTTACATCATACGTCACGTCACTATTGCGCGTGATTTTTCTTTTCAACGTTAATCTACGCCACTTCTCCCTCACAACGCCGTTTGTTGCATGTAAATCGGACCTATAGCAACGAAGATATGGACTTAGGCCCTTTAGGCTTTGCTACTGCGCGTATTTTTTCTCTTCAACGTCACCCACCTACGTCACGTAAGATTATATACACATCTATCTCTCTCTCGATCACATTGCGGCTGGGGACCTCTCTCTCTCTCTAGCACATTGAACTCCCTATATATATCGCGATACAAACTTTGCTTATCTACTATTACTTAATAACGTTTTCTAGTATTTTTAAAACAGAATTACGAGTTTTGATTGAAATTGAATACCTTTTATTTATTTTTTTATATCAATTGTTTAAACCATAAACGTTAAATTGATATACATTTGTAATTTACTTTGAAAACTTACTCGATGACTGCCTGGTGATATTTTACTGCTACTATGAACTTTTGTCTTCTAATTACTGGATTTTTTTCGGATAGAGTTTCAACGAACATATCGCCAACATGGTTGAAACGGAGAACGAGGTGTTCCAAAGTTGCAAACATAAAAAACGACAATAACCCGGCTGTCTGATAAACTATCAAAACTGAATATACCTAAAAATTTAAATGCGTCTGTAGTAAAAGAACTGGCAACATTACTCCTTGCCTTACAAACTTGTTAGGTTATATGAGGTCTTTTCCTTTGCATCGACAGTGTAGCACTGAGCTACGTCACTTCTGAAAATATCGTTCCATCCATACAATTTGTATAAATGGAACGATATTTTCAGAAGCGGTGTTGCTCAGTGCTACACTTACGATACAAAGGAAAATACCTATTCAGTGATGAACTGTCAACCTTTTCAGTCTTTTCACTGCTTTTTGATTTATAATGAATAATCATAAAAGAGCAAGTACGATTCAAAATCATAAAGTCGACCTTGAATTTTTATATTTTTCAGCATTTTCCTACATATAGGAAAGTGTCACAAATTCCTATAGGAAAAGGTTCCTACAAGTCGAGAATCGATCCCCTGGTCATTTCTTCAAATTCACATGTCACTGAACACATTTTATTATTGGTTCAACATAACACAACATAACGCAACGTAATACAACATATAAACAACATAACAGAACAAGAATAAGAATGCAAGCGCTTCTTTCTTGTGACGTTTTCTGATCATTTATCTCTCACCACAGGTTCTCGCGTGTTTCGTGTGTCTTCTTGATTGGTTACAGACTCTGTTTTGTTTCTTGCCGGAAGTGATGCAAACATGATGCCTTGTAATGGTTTTTATTCAAAACTCTGTCAGTGGAACACAAATTACGTCCTTATTTGCATATTTAGCCATAGTTTTATGTGTCAGTGTAATGTTGTCATGCTTATTGGTCACTTACTTGGTAAAGATAAACGATTTGCTTGAATGGTACTACATCAAAATTAAATGGCAACCATGTGAGTGCCGGTAGTCCACAGACTTCCTTTTGGTTTTTAACTATGTTGTTTTCCTTGCATTGCGGTATGTAGAACAAGGATGAAATCACCATAAAACTGATAATAGTGGAATGGTAGACGATGTAAATTTTCGACAATTTGTTCAAAAATCTGTTTCTGGCGTCTAAATCGTTCGGTTTACCGAAAGTTTGAAAATCTGGACAAAAAAAAAGTATATTCATTGAATAGTTTTTTTATTGCTGACATTAGAATTACCTGAGAATTGTTTGTATAAATTTACAACGTGTTTGATATTCAAAATGTATCTGTATAAGAAATATGAAGCTCCATGATAGGATATAATGTTGCCAATATCTTTGTCGAGGTAGTCGTATATGCCATCTAAAAAGGGTGTATTAGGCATTTAAAACAAAATGGCTACCGGAGGGAATAGGGTTGGTATATCTAAGGGTTGCGACATACGATGATATCCTATCTACAAGACGTAAAATCATAAATAATGGATTAAATTTATATATTTTTTTCTATTACTGTTGAACAGCATGAAAATGCCATTAAAAAAACAGCTTGATACATTTTTCTTAAATTGGCAGGCTTGGCGACTACTATTTCGAGTAAAAATAGCGTCCATTAAGATGGAAAACTATGTTGCAACCCTCTTATACCAGCCCTGTCCTCCGGCAGCTATTAGGCGTTCCAAACAATATGGCTACCAGTGGGTTTTGACAGGTTATAGAGTAAAACAAACTTAAGTTTGGTACACCCACGTGTCGATCCGATGGTTGCGCCGTAGATTTGTTGACTATCGTTACCATGCCAACCCCTAACACAGCGATGGTCAGTACCGTAGCGTAAAGAGGCGAATAGGTGAAACAATTTGCATCTAACAGCGCTATGTGGTATATCTAGTGCTCTTTTTTATTCAAGTGGTGTATTTCCTTATTCTTATTTGTTTAATTTAGTGCCGTAGTAGTTATAGTAGAGTAGCAATAATAGTTAGTGTATAAGTTTAGTTATAGTATTTCTATTTTTCCATTTATTTTTGTCCCCGCCACTGACAAACAAAGCCCGCCTATATGCGCAGATTAGTATGCAACCAACATTTGCTGTACCAAACTTAAATTTGTTCTACTCTAATATGGCAACCCTGTAGGCCTGGTGATTTGAAAAGGTCAACGAAATAGTTACATAGATTGAGCATCCATATTTTTCAAAATAAACATACCTAGGCTTATGCATTGAAGTAAAAATGTAGATAATTATTTTTTTTACTATATTCAAAGGTTAAATATTGGTTTGTAAACACATTTTTGCAAAATCGATTCTGATTAATGAGCACTTTTGCGACTTGCGAGGCAATGGGTCATATGATTGAACGTTTACGTTATCCGTAACGTACATGTTAGGCTCAGTTTTAACAGTAATTAGGCAAGTTCGTATGATGAAAAACGGTTTCCAATACATAACTGTTATTTTCCGCCTATTATGTTTTAATTTAACAGTTTTCATCATACAAACTTGCCTCGTTACTGTTAAAACTTGGCCTAACATGTACGTTACGGATAACGTAAACGTTCAATCATAGCACCCAATATTGCCGCTCGTAAACGACCCGCATAATTGTTTGACAGGTCGTTGACAAATTTTTATAATATTTGGAAATTAAACGTTATTTCTCAGATTATATAGGCTACAACAAAAATTTCGGCTTCTCTATGTCATGTACATGCCCACTTACTTTTCACGCTTACCGCCATGTGCAGCGCAGCTCCCACAGAATAATATATAGAACTCAAATTTGTTATGAAAAACTTGATAATCACGTTCCTTAGAGGAGTACCCAACTTTAATTCCGTATTACTAGGAAACATATACGGTATTCGTAGCAGCATTATGGAATGTTGCATTATTTGTATTTCTGTCACACCCTGTATATTCATTTTGAAAAAATAATATAACTGTCTATAGGTACTGTCCGTGTGGTATATTGAAACGAATTAATTTGGAAGTTGAACTTATTTGAGCCCTATATAGTCTATTATTTGTTAAATTATAGGTTTTGGATAATTTTGTGATATTGTGGACAGCATTGCGCTAATACGTATCATTTGTACCTTCTGGATTCAATGAGATTGATTACAGTTATTATAATAGAGCGCTTTTTGGTAAAACTAGTAAAATTATTGGCTTGAAAAAGCTTTTAGGATATTTTTTATTAAATAAGCAACTTATACCTATGGTAAATAGGTATTTTCATGAGTAATTTAGTAAAGGTAGGTAGGTAAATGGTGTAGATGTGTGTCAATATATCTATATCAATACCTTTCATATTATAAACAAATAAATAAAAGTTAATTAGTTAATAATTGAAACAAATAAAATCACTTTATCGCTTTGATGTATTTTTAATTAGAAATTGGAATATGTAGTTCACAAATATGCAGTTTTCGTGTTATTAAAATTTGATACTACTTTCGCCATCTATACGAGAATAATTCAACTACTTATTGAAACCATTGTATTTGAAACATGGAGGCATAGAGGTCTACTTCCATGATTTGAAACTTATTGCCATTTTTAGTCCAACAAAAATGGTTCTTCCGCCATCTATGCAAGAATAGCACAATTACATAATAGAATCTAATCATTTTTCGTTAAAAAAAAAAGTAAACCTACACTTTCGCCCGTTTACAGGAATAGCCCAAATTTCTACTTATTCCAATAAAAAGGAGATGGCTTAAAATGCTTAAAACGTTGACGGCCGCAGATATATATCATGTTGCCGGCATTTTAATTTTTTTATCAATAAACAATGACCGATGTTATAAGTTATTTGTTTATTTCTACACAACCATCAACAAAAATGGAATTACTTTGTAAATAAATATCTACCAAACAAGATACAAAAAAAATAACAAAACACCCATGACGCTGACGTCTTTGACGTTTGACGGATAACACCTCCCGGTGTTTCTGTTTCTAATTTTGATGTTGCATGAGTGACAGATGTAGGAAGCCTAAACGAAAATGGCTGCACAAGATCGATAAAAGTTGCACCTTGTTTTTGGTAAATTTTACTCGACGAATTTCCTAAATGAAATGTTAAAAACCGCGTAACGTTATAGTGCACCGATTTTATTAGTGTTCCCAACTAATCTACTGCTTTCTATTAGAGTTTAAATCGAAGAAACACCAGAAATGTTATAGCTAATTATGTAGTAATTGTTTTGCAGAGGTAAGTGATGTTTTTGTTAAATTTAAGAATAGTTAAGGGTAATTTGTCGTGGAGATATCGACAGTTGCGATCTGGAATAAGTAAAGAACGGGTAATTGATGCAGTAATTGCGATAATTAGTATTTTGATCGAATTGTCTATAATGGTGGGGGTGTTATTCATCATTTTGACAATAATGTTCCTTTTTCTTTCGCTACCTTGATTTCAACCGAGAGGATTTTTTTTAGTGTTCGAAATCAAGGTCTGAATTTTATAGAGTAGTTTTTTCAAGAATCAATTACTTATTATGTATTAAATAATGATAATTTCGTCGTAATAATTTTAACGCTTCAGGTACCTATATACGATTTTATTGCTTTTTTTGATGGGTCGTAAAATGTAAAAACACTGTTAATTTAAAATTAGCTCTTTATTTTACTAGTTTTGTGTAGCCTCACGGAAAGTAATGTTTCAAATTTTAAGCGTTTTAGTAGAAAAATTCGTCGATCTGATAGATATATTGCAAAAGTGTGTGTAATATTTGCCTTTATGTTATCAAAGGAAGAGTTGGTTTTATGGTTCCTATAATTTTGATAATAATTTTTTAATCTTCTATAATATTTATCAGTGTAATAAAATTCATATTTTGATATATAAACGTTGTGTATTTGTATTGTTTACTACAGGAACAATTTTACTACGTAAGTTGTAGTTATTACTTTAAAATTACGTGTTTTTTATGGAATTCATTTAATTTTATCGTACCGATAATAATATTTTATGTCAATTTTGGTTCATTACTATTATTGATGGTACAAATGAACTACTATTCACACTGTAGATTTTTTTATTATTTTGTTATTATAATTATAATGGTATGGTACAAATGAACTACTATTCAATATCACTAGATTTTTTTATTATTTTGTTTGGCAATAGTTTCTTAGCTGATATTAATATAGTAATTTATATATAGAGTGGCCTAGTTAAATAATTAAAAAATTAGGTAGGTACTATTAAATATTTAGTAGGTTATGCTGTAAAAATTTAATGTGTCAAGTGGTCAAAAATAAGTTTTCCTCAATTTTAAAATTCGATTATTATAATGGTATCATGATACAAATGAACTACTATTCAATAACATCACTGTAGATTTTTTTATTATTTTGTTTGGCAATAGTTTCTTAGCTGATATTAATATAGTCATTTATATAAATATTTAGTAGGTTATGTTGTCAAAATTTAATGTGTCAAGTGGTCAAAAATAAATTTTCCTCAATCTTAAAATTCTATTATCATTATAATGATATGGTACAAATGAACTACTATTCAATAACATCACTAGGTTTTTTTATTATTTTGTTTGGCAATAGTTTCTTAGCTGATATTAATATAGTAATTTATATATAGGGTGTCCTAGTTAAATAATTAAAAAATTAGGAACTATTAAATATTTATTAGGTTATGCTGTCAAAATTTAATGTGTCAAGTGGTCAAAAATAAGTTTTCCTCAATTTTAAAATTCGATTATTATAATGGTATCATGATACAAATGAACTACTATTCAATAACATCACTGTAGATTTTTTTATTATTTTGTTTGGCAATAGTTTCTTAGCTGATATTAATATAGTCATTTATATAAATATTTAGTAGGTTATGTTGTCAAAATTTAATGTATCAAGTGGTCAAAAATAAATTTTCCTCGATCTTAAAATTCAATTATCATTATAAGCTATTGTTAAGTTGTTAAAGTCCATTAGATTCCATTAATTACTGTTTCTATATCTCTAAATTCTATATTGATTATGAGTTAACTACTTTGTTATTTTTGTGTACTTATTGTCAACAAATAAACTAAAAAAATAATGAATAATATTTAAAACCTATTAGGATGATAGGACCATTAATTAAACTTTATCAATCAGAAATATTTATAAAGGGTGGCCTACTAAGATTTCAGAGCTTTATTATCATAAATATAAAATATGTTTTAAATACAAGTTATAGGACATTGTTGTATTATTACTTATAGAGTACTATGAAGTATACAGGATGGTCTCCTAAGTTTCATAATAAAATGTTTTAATTATGTTATATGGCTTTGTTGTACCTACAGTATGTTAACCTAGGAATCCCTGAAAATAAAGCTGATACTTTTAATTATATTTGGACTTGAAAGAAACTTGTTTAATTATGCCCTTCTGATGACAAGGAGGGGGATGTTGCTGCCCTCAGTCGGCTGTCATAGCACAGCAAAAATTTCAGTACTACACAAACTGTTTTGGAGTCACTTGTCGTTGAAAGTTGTATAGTTATTGGTAATATCTTACAAATAAGAAAGAAATAAATCTGTATTTACTCGAAAAATCCCTTTAGAGGTGTAGAGCTTGCCATAGTACATAAATTTTATATATAAATACACATTTGACACATTTTTTACATAATATAGGTAGGTACATTTTTTTTATAATTATTTTTGTTCTTAATAATCAATATATTATATAATTACTGCATTACAAAAGAATTTGTCAAAGTTATCACACATGAATTACTTCAGATTTAATTTTTGTGGTGTGATTTCTAAAGTCTTTAGAGTGAAGAAGACATCTTATTCCAAATCTTTTGAATGGAATATTCTACATTTTTTTTGGATATAGATGTATCTTGATATGTCTGTTGTTAGGTTGCATATTGATCTGGTATTATAGATATGTTCAACTTCGTTGATCTCAAACAGATCATAATTTTGTTTGATAAACTTATCATGGTATATAAGCACACTGTGGTTCATATCTTCTTTTGACTTAAAATATCTTTACAACTATCTTGTATTTTCAGGTGGAATATATTTCTAAGGCACCTGAATTACCCCAGAAAATTATTCCATAACAAATTCTAGACTGCACATAGGCATAGTATGCAGTTAGAGCAGTAGTTTGATTTATATTAGCTGAAAGTATCCTTAGAGCGCAGCTAAATTTGAAAATACTACCCAATACTTGTTGAATGTGTTCTTTCCAGTCCAATCTCCAATCAAGGGTCACCTCCAGGAATGTGACTGAAGATTCTGAAATTATATTTTTGTCCTTGTATGTAAATGTGAGGCTTTCACCCGTGCGACAATTAAAATGAATCATTTGAGTTTTATTAATATTTAACAGGAGATTATTGTTTTTAAACCAATGTTCTAATTTATTTAATGTGGAATTTAGTTTATCCTTGCATAAATCAATGTTGGTTCACTAAAAATCAATGAGGTGTCATCTGCATATTGTACTAAAATTTCATTAACAACTGATAGTTCATGTACCTATAGAATGTAAAGGACCCAATATGGAAACCTTTTATTATAGATTTAATATCTGATTTAACTAGACTATCATCAAAATCTGTGACACATTGTTGTCTATTGAGTCAATATGATTTCATAAGAAGCAGTGGTATCTCTATGATTTCCATTAACTCCAATTTCCTACATAGAATGTTGTGATCAACACTATCAAAGGTCTTTGAAAAGTCCAGACAGCGCTGACGTCTTTTGATTTTTATTTAAGGTTTCAGTAATTGTTTTCAGAGCTTGATACACGGCATGCACTGTGCCTTTTCCCTTTCTGAAGCCACTTTGACAGTTTGATAAAACTTCATTACTTTCTAATATGGTTTCAATTCTGCTAAATATGGTTGTTTCAAATATTTTGTTTTTCACCTTTGTTATATATTGCCTGCACATAAGCTAGTTTTAATTTTTCTGGGTAGACACCAGTACAGAAATAAAGATTAATAATATGTTTTAAAGGATAAACAATTTGGCATGCTGCTTCTTTTAAGAGGACCACTGGTAGTTCATCAAAAACTACAGATTTTTTATTGTTCTTATTATCTCCCTAGGTGATGTCAAACTAACGGTACAAGTTTAATTGTGCAATGTTAGGATAGGCAGTAATGAAAAACTGATTTGTCATGTTCAGGATATTCAAGATATCTGTCAATGCCAAAGCTGCATCTTTCCTACTAATATTTTCTAGAAATGAGTTTTACAAGTGACCAAGTGGCTTTGCTTTTATTATCAAATTTTTGGATTAACTCTTCTTGAGACATTTTTTTGCTACCCTTACAATAGTTTTTAGGACAGTACTATATTGTTTATAATGTTCATCTGAAATAGTTTTATTTAGCATTTTCCTATACAGGGTGTTTCCTAATTGTGTACATTAAATTTAAGGGTGTATTCCTCAGCTGATTTCATAAAAAAAGTCAATATAAACATGGGTCCTAAAACGCTTTGTTCTAAAGTTACAGGGTGTTAAATTTTTTTGGAACAAAACCCCCTGGGACGTCACTAGACCTAATAATTTTAACCTAGTTAGGGCTAAAGCATTAAAAATAAATCTGCCAATATCAAAAATTTTTTTTTAAAAAAGTTTAACAAAGCGTTTTCAGAGCCTTGTTTATATGGACTTTTTTCATGAAATTAGGAAACACCCTGTATAAGAAACATTTGTTTTGACAAGATGTTTTTATACCAGACGTAATCCATGTTGTTGCCCTTTCTTTTTGAATTCCTTTACTGGAAAAATTAAGTGTATATATGTATGTTTTTATTTTAAAATAGAATAAGTCATAATATACAGTATTGATCTCGATAGTATCCAGAATAGTTTCAAATTTTAGTTCTTCGACACATTGTCGAGTTTTTTGTTTGAAAATATGTACTTATTTGATGTTTTTTTCTATGTGCTCTCTAGGGAACGTTTATTGTAAGTATTTGTAAAAAATTATCAGATATAGCTAAATCGACCACATGGACACTTTCATAATCCTGAAAATTAACGAATATATTATCTAATTAATCTGATTAAAAATGAGGGGTTAAGGGGGTTAAAATTAAAAAAAAATCATAAATTGAAAACGAAAAACAATATATACTTGAAATTTTTAGGACACGTCAATCTCTATAAGTGGAGGAAGCATATTGATTTTGAAAAAAATCTGATTAATAATGGAGGGGTTAAGAAGGTTAAAATTTAAAAAAAAATCATAAATCAAAAACGAAAAACAATATCAACTTGAAATTTTCAGGAAAAATCAAGCTCTGCAATGGAACGAAGCCGATTGATTTAAAAAAAAATCTGATTAAAAATGGAGTGGTTAAGGGGGTCAAAACTTTAAAAAAATCATAAAACAAAAACTAAAAACAGTATCAACTTGAAATGTTCATGAAAAATCAAGCTTTACAATGGGACGATTGATTTTTAAAAACATCTGATCAAAAATAGGGGGTTAAGGGGGGTTGAAATTAAAAAAAAAAAAAACAAATCAACAATGAAAAGCAATATCAACATGACATTTTTATTAAAAATCAAACTTTGTAAGGGGACAAAGGTTATTGATTTAAAAAAATATCAAAAGTGGAGGGGTTAAGGGGGGGGGGGGGGTTGAAACTTAAAAAAATTAAACTTGAACAAAAAACAATATCAACTTGAAATTTTAAGGACAAATCAAGCTCTACAATGGGTAGAAGCTTATTGATTTTTAAAAAAAATCTGATTAAAAATGGGGGGATTAAAAGTGGGTTTGTATAACTGCGAAGAGTATCATATTGAATGACAACTATTATACAGTATGTCCCCTTAAGTTGGAATCATATGGAAAACTTTTTTATTATTAATTTTAGGAAAAAAAGTTATTCTTCATAAAAAGTCCTGCATTATCTAAAACCTAGAATACAGTCATCAAATATCAAAGTTTTTCAGTGGTATACGAGATTTGTGAAAAAATATGAATTTTGCTCAAGAGTAAAGTACGTTTATTTTTGACAAAATCGAAAATTTTCATTAAGAAATTTGCTAAATTCTTCACAAACATCAAGAAAGGGAAAACGTATCATGTTTATAGTAGAGAAGCGAAAAAAAAATGGATTACCGTAATTTTTCCATATGATTCCAACTTAATTAGTCACACTGTATATCTTTATTCTACTTTAAGATATGGAATTTATTTTTTTTCCTTGAAAGCTTCGAACATGACTTTCTTATAGCGAATTTAATTATTTTGTGAAGACATGAATTTGTTTTTTGTTTTTTTTTTTGAAAATTATATTCAATATTTTTGGATCAGAATTTTTCATTGCAAAATGTTCTGTCAGATCTCAAAATGGTCGCCATATTGAATAACATTATTCCTAAAATATAAGCCTTAGTGTTCCCATTGTGACTAACTCAAATTACACCAGTGGCGTGCGTATCTGAACATTTTTGGTATTGGTAAAACTTTTAAAAATTCCACTCACTCTTAGTTATTATTTGAGATATTGAAATTATTTTTGTTGTTTGAAAGCTTGGAACAATAACTTTTTTTATAATGGATTCAATTATTCTATGACGTCATGACTAGTGGTGAGCAAAATAATCGATTAATCAATTCTATTTTTTTTATTGTTAATCGGTTTTTTTAAATAATCGATTATTATATTCGATTTTAATTAATCGATTAAAAGGAATAATCTAGTGAGCTATTAATCGATTTTAAAGGTAATACCAAAAAATAGATTTTCATTCAATCTAATAAAAAATGTTATTTTTTTTTTGATGATTAATTTATAAACGAAACACCCAATCACTTAGGCTTTTAAAATAAAATTGCAGTATTAAATGTTAAGACATAATATATTTTAACAACTTTTTGTATTCTTCGTTATTAAAACAAATAAGTTCTTAAATGGATTTTTTGTAAAACGAGTGATACCGCAAACAAAATGTTCATAGCTTGCTTGATTTTAGAAATACAGGGTGATTTTAAGCAATTGCATAGCTTTTATCGCGGGCTTTGAGCGCGGCGACCGAATCAAGAAATTCCGTAACAAAAATAAACCTAACACCTCCCACTCCGACCGGCACAGCGGTGCGGCGTTGAAAGCCGTGGAAGGTTTCATCCGACCCTATTCGTATTAGTATGAAGCGGAGTTAAATATACGTCTGCGGAGTGGAACGTTTTTGCAATACAAGAACTAGAAGAGCTTTCTCTGGCTTCTTATAAATTGGTATCACAAATGTTCCCGGCTGGCGTAAATATTAATGAATTAATTTTTTTTTGCAAGATTTATAAAATATTAATTTTTATTTTATCAGTGTTAACTATTTCATTATTAAGCTATTGCATAGATTTTATCGCGGGCTTTGAGCGCGGCGACCGAATCAAGAAATTCCGTAACGAAAATAAACCTAACACCCCCACTCCGACCGGCACAGCGGTGCGGCGTTGAAAGCTGTGCATCGTCTAACGTCGTTTCAGTTCGGCAGACTTCGGCACGGTGTTTGTGTGCGTGCGACTAGACGTATGTGTGTAGACTAGCTGCTAACTGCTCATAACTGATTCTATCTCTTTTAGACACAATTTCGGAAAAATTGAATCCACAACAAAATATGGGACCACCATTGACCCGGTATTTTCCAGATATTTAGAGGATATCAAGTCTCAAACTTATGTTTCTTATTTCATGTACAATAAACCTATAGTTTCAATGATAAAAAGTCCTGAATAACCTACATGTATTGTAGATAATAAAAATATTTTAAACAATATTAACTTCTCATTTATTCAATAAAAGAAAAAAAATTGTTTTCTTATCGGTCACCACGCTCAAAAAGTGTAACTTGAATTAATATCAAAGAAAAAACTTGAATTAATATCAAAGAAAAAAATAAAATAAATAATTGCATAAGTTGTTAAAAAATGCTATCCAATAGCTTTACCGCGGCAGTCCCCGAGTGTCACACGTATTTTTTTATTTTTTTTTTACCTTTAAATCCTCCTTTGGAAAATAATCGATCTCTTGATTAATCGAAAACAATCGATTAAGCGAAAATAATAGATGAATCGATTATTTATGTGGTATTTAATAAAATAAAAATGGGGATTTCCATTTAAAAATTAAAAATTTCGGAAAAAACGGAATCTTTCATGAAAAAGTTTTTGTTCAAAGCCTTCAATCAAACAAAACATCAATGCGAAATCTTAAACAATGACTAAGATAAGGGCGGGTAGAATTTTTAAGTGTTTTGTCAATAACCAAAAATGCTTGGATACGCCACTGGTGCAATTTTGGTGGTCTCAATGAGAACACTGAAACATACAAAAAGTTTTTTAAAAATAATTAATTTCAATATATTCTTTTTTAAACTAGTTATTTGTAAGACATTTAGGAATAATATACAATAATGGCGGACATTTTGACAGCCGACAGAACGTATTTTCAATAATAAACTGTAGATTTATTTTAAAATTTCAAAATAAATTACTATTTATTGATATATCCGGAAAAAAAAAACGGATGTGCGCCCATGACGTCACAGAGTAATTGAATCGGTTCTAATAAAATACTTACTCCAAACTTTACAAAAAAAATTTGATATCAATTAATTACGAAGATAAGAATTTTTAAGTTGGAACAATTTTTTTGACATTTTCAAAATTTTAAATATTGATGTTACTACCGCGGTACCCTTCGTTGCCAGCTTATTCTTTCGTTATTCAACTGATATTAAAAATTCTAAAATCTACAAATTTTCAGCCTCGTGTTCAACACGTTACTTAAAATGACCAGTTCTTAAATAATGAAAAAGCTTGGTTGATACAAATATAGGTACTACTGTCACGACTAAAAATAAATTAGATAAGTCCGCTTTAATTACATAAATGTATAAAAAAAACAATATTGTATTTTTTACAGATATACAGAGCATAAAGCTGCGTTCGCGCCTGCAAAAAATGGCCACGACTCAAGGAGAAATTAGGGTGGGTCCCGGCAACCAGGTAAAAGATATTTATGTACGTTGATAAAAAAAAACCACGGTAACATAACCAAAATTTTTTTGCATCCGTAGACAATCCGGGTGGGAGTAGTGGATAATAATTCTTTATTTCTTTTATCTTATGCATTTGTTTACAATTAAAAGGCTTGTTTGACCGTTGCAATAATACGGGGTGAAGATAAAACTTAGAAAGTCAAATACACTACCTAAAAATGTTATTTCTTTGAAATACTATTTTTAGGTGAATATGGGAACAATGCTCTTAATTATTATTCGTAAATATTATTTATGATTGTTTGTGTAAAATAGTTTAATAATTTTTCAGCACATTTTTATTTTTGACAAATCATTTTTATTATGATTCCGAAATTTTTTAAATTTTTAAATCATTTTTATATCTCTTATTTGCCTTATTTGTTTGCGTACGAAACATGGTTTAGGTGTTTATACAGGGTGATTGTTTTATCGTTTTATTACTAATTAAAGTTGCGCATTTAAGTGATCTAACAATAAAACCACAAGATTCGCAATTTATTTTACAGGTAAATTAAAAATTTTCCGTTTTCGATTTGTCGTTTATCAAAAATGGAAATTTCTTTCAGTATCAACAGTGTTTTTTTAAAATACCTACTTGTAGGTTTTATTTTTTTCTTCTTCTATGAATTAAACTATACGTTCAAGCCATAATTAAAATTCAGTACAGATAGCATAGGGTAATGTATTTTAAATTAAAAAATAATTACACTAAAATATACTAAGTCTGATTGGTTTATTAATATTGAATGTTAAATAAAATTCGAAATTATAGTATATTACATTACAAGTGACTTTATACGAGTGGAAATATTGTCACACGTGGCGCAAACCGAGTGCAATAATGAGACGGGAGAAAAAACCACCTTCACAAAAGTGATGTACATTATTTTTGTTACGACTACACACAACAAACCATCTGACTGTGGAGGTTCAGCTGGGATGTGTGACTGGTTTGATAGTTTGATAAAAATTGCATACTACGATTGTTTACATTCGATACCTTTTACAATCGATTCTTCTTTTTTGAAGATTACTATTTTTTACATTCGATTTTGTTTTTCAATTGATTATTATTTAAAATCGATCCTTTTTTCAATCGATATTTTTTTTCATTTAATTTTTATAATCTTTTCTTTTTTACAATCAAATTTGTTTTGCAATAGATTCTTTGTTACAATCAATTCTTTTTTTACAGTCGATTCTTTTTTAAAATTGATTAATTTTAAAATCGATTTTTTACAATCAATTATTTTTTACATCCCATTCTTATTTACAATCGATTCTTTTTTACAATAGATTCTTTTTTTACAATCGATTCTTTTTTACAATCGATTCTTTTTTACAATCGATTCTATTTTACCATCGATTCTTTTTTTTACAATCTATCCTTTTTACAATTGATTAATTTTAAAATCGATTTTTTAAATTTGATTTTTTTATAAACGATTATTTTTGACAATCGATCCTTTTTTACTATCGATTGTTGGTACCCGATAAATGTAACGTTTTTATTAAAAAAAAAATCTTGATAAAAATTGCATACTATTTTTAATATTCGGTACTTTTTACAATTCATTCTTCTTTTTTAAAAATGTCTAATTTTTACGAGTAATTATTTTTTACAATCGATTTTTTTTACAATAGATTCCTTTTTACAATCGATTCTTTTTACAATAGATTCTTTCTTACAACATTGGTTTTACAATTAATCTGATTTGTAATCGATTTTTTTTACAATCGATTCTTTTTTGCAATCGATTCTTTTTTACAATCAATTCTTTTTTACAATCTATTCTTTTTTACAATCTGTTCTTTTTACAATCAATTCTTTTTTTACAATCTATCCTTTTTACAATTGATTCTTTTATACCCGTGTCCTTTTTAAATCGATTCGTTTTTACAATCTAATCTGTTTTACAATCTATTCTATTTTATAATCTATTCTTTTTTTACAGTCTAACCTTTTTTTACAATCGATTATTTTTTAACATTAAATTTTTTACAATCCATAATTTTTTACAATTTAATCTGTATTATAATCTGTTCTTTTTTACAATCGATTCTTTTTAAAATTATTTTTTACAATAAATTCTTTTTTACGTCTATCCTTTTTTACAATCAATTCTTTTTTTACAATAGATTCTTTTTAACAATCAAATTATTTTTTACAGCCTTTTTTATAATTAATTCTTTTAACATTCTATAATTTTTACAATTGTTTTCTATTTTACAAAATCTATTTTACAATCTATTTTATAATCTATTTTACAATCTATTTTACAATTTATTTTACAATCTATTTTACAAACTATTAAAATTAATTTATTTTTACAATAAAATTGATTTCTTTTTATATTTGATTCTTTTTTACAATCGATTCTTTTATATAATCAATTCTTTATAAATCGATTCTTTTTAAATCGATTCTTTTTACAATCTATTGTTTTTTGAATAATAGATCCTTTTACAATCGATTTTTTTTACAATCGATTTATTTTACAATCGATTTATTTTACAATCGATTTATTTTACAATCGATCCTTTTTAAAAATATATTTATTTTTTTTACAATCGATTCTCCTTGCAATTTATTCTCTTACAATCGATTCTTTTTTACTTATTTATATATTTAATGCTGATAATGTACCATCATGTATTATTTATTTTTGTATTTATATCATAGACAAATCATAATTGTTCTTTTTTTCCAATCTCAATAATGACATAAAACAATCACCTTCTATAACGAAAAAAATGTGCTGAACTTTTAAAATTACCGAATTTTTAACTCTATTGCATGACTCTTAAAGTTGAAGATGATATTACACTAAAAAAATTGCTAACAGGTGCAGCAAATTATACTTTCATTATTATTATTGGCCAACTAAATTATACGTGTGTAATATCACTTTAATTAAATCGGAAAATTGGCATGTTATACTTGGCTTTTTATAAAATGGCTATAGTAGAAATTTGTTACTGTGTTTTTCTATTTCTATTCCTGTAGAAGTAGTTTTTTATTTCTTAAGTTGACAGGGCGTGGTTCAATTTTTTTTATCCAGTCTTAAATAGTTTTTTTTTATTCAACATAATGTAGATTATGATCCAAATTGTTAATTTTTGTTAAAAATGCAGAATTTTTACGAGGGCAAGGTGAAAAGTAGTAAATGATATGTTTTATAGTTCAGAAATGCCTTAAGTACGGTCCTGGAAGGACTGCAATATTTTCATCCATTGTTGCTGTCACGTCTTTATTTGATCCCAAACGTTTTCCATCAACAAATTTCTTTGTTTGGGAATCAGATGAAAGTCAAGAGCCAAAAATGGAGAATATGGTGGATATTTCAGCAATTCGTACTTCAAAACCCTGTACACCGTTGGCAATGGTGCACTGTCCTAATGGAAGATGATTTTTTCTTTAGCAAATCAGATCAGGCCTCACGAATTATTGTTGTCTACCATGTGCGTGATATCAGCTAGTATCCCTTTTTCTTAAAAAAAAAACACTAGCCATGACATTTCTGCCCATTTTTTGACAGTTGGAAATAAGGTAGTAAACCTTTATCAACTTTGGATGAATTTCTATTGACGTTAAACCTTCCAAAACAAAGAATTTTATATATTTATCAAAATGAAATTTGACGTTTATTTTCGTATCGTCACAGAACAAAAAGGTTATTAATAACACCGCCATCTCTGTATTAAGCCGAAAACTTCTCACCTTACCTCATATATGTCAACATTGAAAAAAATTCGTTCATCGTTTAGATTCTACGAGGAGTTTAAAAAGTACTGTTGCAAAAAATTGTGCCACGTCTTGTGTTTCCTATTTTTCAAAAACGTTTTCGTAAAATATTGGACGTGTTTCGGATCCGATTTATTTAAAAAAAATTATATTTTTTGACATGCAGAAGAGACTTGTCAAATTAAAATCGAAGCGTGCTCTAATAAAGACGTCCTTATTAAACGATATAATACAGGGTGTTAGTGAAATACATGTACATATCAAAAGTGAGAAGTTTGTATGAACGTTGTCAATTTTAGCACAATTGTGCTAAATCTAGTACATTCTTAAGAAACCTAATACATTAGTAGCAAGTACAATCTAGTACTATTACTGAAATGAGCAGCAGCGTATACTTCCATTCCTGTCTATACACAAGATTTGTTCCCAGTGATAAAAAATGACACTGTAGTTAAGATTTTGCGCAATATAGGATTGAGCAGTCCATCTTATCTACTGCGCAGTATTCTGACATCAGTGACTTATTTATATCTTATCACCGGAAACATCTAATACATTTTCTATGAATTCTAGTACATTTTGTACAAATTTGGTACTGAATAACACATGTATTGTCAATATCACAAAGCATCTATCTTCTAGTTACCAATGTTCTTTTAAAACCAAATTAGCGCCACCTTGTGTTTGAAGTAGGAACTGTTAAATTCATTACGAATTGGTTATACCCGTGTCTGTTTTTATGGATTTCGATAACTAATGTGTGATCAATCAATACAATAAGTAACATCAAATGATTGAAAACCTAATATAGTAGTAAGAAATAGAAAATTCACATTACTAACAACTAAGAAAAAACTGTGAACACAAGCCAAACGTCAAAATCAGGATCAATAAAATGATAAAAACCTTATTTATATTCTATAGTAGTAATTTTGGGTAAGTTTCACCAGTAACGCCACCTAGTGTTTGGAGTCAATACCATAAGAAATGTCAGTTGTCTGTTTTGAACTTTAGATTAGTTCTTTTGTTTCGTTTTGTGAGGTTAGAGGTTAAAGTGTTCTACAATCATGATTTGTTTAATTTTCTTGTGAACATTTTTGTATATGCAATTTGTAATAATAAATGTTTTTTTTTTTATATTCTTCCTACTTCTAAAGGTAAGTTATTGAGTAATTAAGGAACATGTCTAGATAAAAAGTACAAACCGAAAAGTCAGTATGACAGGTGACTTTGATTTTGAACTTACTCTATGAAATAATATTTTTGCACATTCTAGAAGCGCTAAAATATTAATCTGTTTTAATATCTACATGTATTTTAATAACGTCCTGTATATTATTTTGAACATACTTTTTTTTTACTTATTTTAAACTAAAATATTCTGCGGAATTTAAAATTACTTTATTAAATAACCCTCCAAACATGTCCAGAATCATAAAAAAAAATAAGAATAAAACTACTCAAAATCGATCCACGATATAATTAATAATAAGTTACAACGGAACCACTAGTTTTGGCATATATGGCCATCATCAGTCGTAATATGAAATGTTACGAAGTTCAAAGAAATATAGAAAATTCACCCATCTAGTGGCACCATTGGGTGATGGTTGTATTTTTCCCTCATCTGTTACCTAATAATATTTCTGCTCTTTACTAAGATGATTACAGCACCCAATTCAAACTTAAGTGTTGGGATGGCCTACGAAGTTAGGAGAGAGATAGATTGTGTAAAATTAAGTGGGAAAGGTATATTTTTTGAACTTTGTAATTATTTTGTAACATGAATAGCTGGTTAGTTTATCTACTTTGATATATGTGTTTGAGCTCAATTTATAGTACAGGGGTTAGGTTTTTAAATAACTCTAATAAATTTGAAAAAGAAGTTGGGCACCACTATATTTAAAGCTTATACACTTAACTCTACATTAGTGATAAAAATATAGAAAATCAGTAACCACTAACAAATTATACTTAAAAAAATGCTTTAGATAAGGTAGGTATCATATTCTAATTCACATAAGTTTGCACATAATTCAAATTTAAAACAATTTATTGATAAGATCAATTGCACTTATCTGTGTGGTAAATAAGGTAATATACGGTATGGTAAGTTAAAGGTAAAAATCAGATATTTCTTCCTTCGCCCCAAACTGCAGAGGTACATCAATCCTTAAACATTATATACCGGCCAGGCAACTTCAATCAAGTGATTCGAGATTCTTATTCATAACTCTCATTCGTGACTCCTATTCGTGATTGAACCGTGAATGAGCTTCAAAATAAATGATTCTTATAAGAGGTGATTATGTCCGAAATAACGGTTCCAACCGTTACAATAATGATGGCATTATTAATTATATTATAGAATCGATTTTGAGTAGTTTTATTCTCATTGAATATACGACAACATTTGAGAAAAATGGATGATCTATCATTCTTTGTATAAAAAAAATATTTCTACGTACGTTTGACCGAAAACAGGCCCGCCTGCCCGATTACCGACCCGGTGTGCCTCCCGAACAGCTGTCGCCCGATCCCGAGCAGACGAGAATTCGGGAGGAACTGCGCTGGGTGCCCGCCATGACTTTGGACGCCGATCTCTTAATGTATCTGAGAGCCGCTAGGTCTATGGCGGCGTTCGCCGGCATGTGCGACGGGGGATGTCCCGAAGACGGAGCCAACGCTGCTTCCAGGGACGACACTACCATCAATGCGCTCGATGTGGTAAGAAAACCTATATTATACGAATTTTGAGAAATATGTATACAAAAACAGTTCTTATCAACATGGATCCGAAGACGCTTTGTTTTAAAGATAGGAGTGACAAAATAATTGATTAAACCATCATTTTCGATTAATCGATTAAAACCCGAAAAAACTGAACAAATTTAGCACCCTGTATTTCGAAAAAAAAAAAAAAACCTTCGATCCAATGTTGATAAGAATTATTTATCTTAATTTTGGGCAAGGACTCACCTCATGAGTGATGACACATGTTTATTGGAACGCCCTATATATTTTTTTTGTAATTCATTATATACATTTCTCAAGAAAATTAGTGCTCTATATATTATTTGCATTTATATATTTTCAATTCAATTATTTAATGCGCTATCCATTTTTCTAAAATTTAATGCTCTACCTATAAACTTGTTTCAAACCGTTAGCGATCTATACGAGTCTTGTACACAATTTAGGACGTTTTTATCCAAAATGTATTACACTATACTCGGACAAAATATTGAAGAAGGTGATTCCTTCCTATTCACGTACAACAATCATACTATACCAGAGCATAATGAATGGAATCACGCGCTGAAAACTGCAGAAGTTATCGGAATCACGTGCCAACTAGTCATACATACATGTTTATTGCCAAAATGAATTACGCCAGGGCGTATAAAAACTATTGGCAAATTAAATGCGGTAATAGTAAATAATATATGAAAGTAGGTTGGTTATCTATTTTTGTAGTAATAATCATTTATGTTTATTGTGCCAGTGGGGTATAAACACTATTGGAAAATTAAATGGGGGTATTATACTAGAACAAAATATTGAAGAAGGTGCGCCTTAAAACGGCAAAAGGTATCGTTATCATATCAAAATGCACTCTTCCAGAGTCACAGAAATACTATATTGGCAAATTAAATGGGTATTTGTGAATATTACTAGATGAAAGTAGGTTGGTTATCTATTTTTGTTATAATAATTCATCTATGTTTATAATTGTATTTTGTTTATTATAAAAATATGTAAATTAAGCTTGGTAAATTCTGTAGAACTATCACTGGAATCGTCTTTATCGTCGAAACTTAAAGTTATGACTGAAGGTTCAACTACCGTTTCGATCATACCGTCCAAGCGCCACATATTATTTTCTTTCTTAATTACATGAGAAATAGCATTCTGCCAATCTTCAGATTTTATACGTTCTATACCGATTTTTAATAAACTTTGAACGTCGGCTATTTTAAAAGTTTTATTTTCTCGAACTACAAACCCTTTCACTTGCGCCGAAATTAGTTCAATTTTTCGTAAAGTTTCACGGTTCATTAATGGAATTTCTTCGTTTTCTCTTAATTTCGTAAGAAAAACTTTAAGTGTTGGGGCTTTGTTTTCGAAAAAAAAAAAAAAAAAAAGAATGTACAGTTCTTCGAATGATTTGTTTTTGGTTATTGTCCAATTTCAACAATTTTCGACCATGGGTATGCGTTTTAGGGGCTTCTAAGGAGCATTTTTTTTGTCTTTTCGCGTAAAATACGTTCAATTGTTGAAACACAGATATTCCAGTTAAAAAAGAACTGCGGTTTATAGCTTCATTTGTAGGAAGTGTCTGTTTCCGCCCATCATACACTTTCCATATATCTTTTCATTCTTTGATAAGGGCTTTCGCCGACGTAATTGGGTTTCACTTGGACCCGCCTCTGAATCCATTACTATTGTAACATTATAATTCTACTATTAAATTGTTTTTATTAAATTTATGAAGACACCAATATTTTACTATTTAATAAACTTTCAAAGTACCTACCTAATATACTACACACTAAATATAACTGCTCGAATATGCACTACCACTACCAAATTGTAAGGCACAAACATGAACACCTACTCGTATATCAGAAAAGAGCACTTATACAAAATAATTATCGAAAATAGTTAAAGCGATACAAATCTAACTTCGTCGAAAGTTAGTTTTTAACTGTCTTTGTGCCTGTGCTGACAATATTCAATCTGTAACCCGTCTGTCGTTTATTTACTTGAAACACATTTTAAAACCATTAAACACAGATAACGAAGTCATTAGGGAATAAATATATTCATTTCTTGAAAACTATCAAAAACGTATATTTAACGCTTCATACGCTATTCATCTTTGTGTCCAATATGCATTTATTTGTCCCAAATTCTGTGTTATATACTTATTTGTTTCAAAATGTAGTGCGCCATATTACATTTCATTTATAGCTACACGATTCCGGCTACGACCCAGGCAAGGCGTTGCAAGCGCTAGTAAAGTGTCCGGTGCCCAAAGGAATTGACAAAAAATGGAGCGAGGAAGAAACCAAGCGATTCGTCAAAGGTCTAAGACAGTTCGGCAAAAATTTCTTTAGAATCAAAAAAGATCTTCTACCACACAGAGATACGGTAAGTAATTACGAAACAGAGTGTCTAAAAGCCAAATAAAACTGCAATTCACGAATGCTTTCAGCCCGAATTGGTCGAATTCTACTACCTGTGGAAGAAAACTCCCGGAGCGAACAACAACCGGCCGCACAGGAGGCGGCGTCAGGGATCGCTGCGCAGAATCAGGAACACGCGTAATAGTAGAGGAGGTAATACATCAAGTAGTGCAGGTGAGTTTGCGATTTGTGGTTAGTGGTGGCCTAAAAGATTGAAAGGTTTTTTCGACTTCAATCGACCAGCGAATTTTTCGTGTTACCCGAAAACCAACAACCACAAGGTTTGTTTTTTTAGTTTCGTTAAGAGGAGTTGATGTAGTAGCCTCTAGTATCGTCTTTACATTGACTGGAAGTTTTTGTGTCCAATAATGATGTTTAATCAATTATTATTATTAATAATAAATGTCAATAAGCAGATAAACCAATACATTACCTATATCACAGTTAATCATAAAAGTTATGCAGTACAATGAGCTAGAATGTGTTGTATCTGAACTTTTTCTTTGGCTAAAATGCCTAAAAATAACATTTTCTTCTCACTTCTTACCTTAGACAACTTCATGCGATTTAAATATCTTATCTAATTATATTTCGGCCTCGTCTTTTAAATAATCTATGTAGTTAGTATCCTTCATTACGAATAGAAATGGAAAATTAGTAAAGGGGCTATAGGAGTTCGGCCTCATTCTTTATGTAAATTAACATGGGAAATAGCTAAGGTGAAAAATAGCAAAAAACGTCGATATCAAGGTCACGCGTCGAGAATCGAAGTTGGGCTTATCAGTAAATAGGATAACGTTAGATAACGTCGGAAATCCAAGAAATCCATGGAAAAACACAAAATTTATTGATACGAGAAGCCAAAACGGCCCAAACTATGGAAGAACACTGAAGAATACTCATAAATCATGTAAAGATCAGTGCAGGCTTAAAACGAAAAACAAAAAACCATTGGAGAAGATGCTAAAGAAGAGGAAGAGCGAAACGTTGAAAGGGTGACAGACAGTCGGATATTCATAGAAATTCATAGAAATTCATAGAAATTCATAGAAATTCATAGAAATTCATAGAAATTCATAGAAATTCATAGAAATTCATAGAAATTCATAGAAAATCACAAAAAAAAAGGAATGGAAAAATTTAGAAAATCGTAGAAATCTTTAAAGAGTCATATAATACTCGCTGCTGCGTTGTCAAAGGGGCCGTAGTTGGTTAGTACAGAAATTGTAATAACCAGGGAGCCGAAGGAGAAGAGGAGACAGTGCTTCTCTAGATGAAGAAATGTCAATGAATACGTGAATGCAGCAATCAAAGGTTCAGTATTAGGAACAAGTCTAAGAAGAACACATATGCATCGTGCGGAATCATTGTTGTTGTTATTATAGTCATACATCATAGTAGTTTCCTTATTAAAAATAAATACAAGAGGCAACAGCTACAGATTGAAAGCTGTCGAAATAACAAACATCTTTTTTAAAATAACTACAAAAAACCGTCCAACATATGACAGCTGCCGTCCGATTGTAGTGGTCTACAGGATTATCTTCACTTAGTTACCCATTTGTTTATTTTCAATTACATCTTATTTTCAACACACTTTTTCATTAATTACTAACATTTTAGTATGGTATCCTCGCTTATTTAGTTGCTTATATTGTATCTTTCATTATCCTAAAAATATGTCATCAGTCATTCCAGCTCCTAGTTTGTTTATTCAGTCTAAGAATATAACAGCTATTGTATTGAAAAACGTCGAGAAACATCGAAAAACGTCAAAAAAACATCAAACGTCAAACGAAAATGTCAAACGAAAATGTCAAACGAAACGGCAAACGAAACGGCAAACGAAACGGCAAACGAAAATGTCAAACGAAACGAAAACGTCAAACGAAAATGACATGCGAAACGTCAAACGAAACGGCAAACGAAAACGCCAAACAAAAACGTCAAACGAAACGTCGTTTTTTCTCTTCAACGTTTATCTATACCACGTTCTCTACATAATGCCGTTTTTCCCGTTTAATTCTGACAACAATATCAAAGATATAAGTTTTAGGTCCTTTTAGTCCGTCACTGCTCATTTTTCTGTCCGACGTTAATCTATACCGCGTTCTCTACATAATGCCGTTCTTCCCGTTTGAATCGGACCAGTAATATCCAAAACACACGCTAAGGCCCTTCTGGTGTTTCGTTTTGCGCATGATTTTTCTGTTCGACATTAATCAGACCAATAGCAATAAAGATACACGCTAAGGTCCTTCTGGCTTTCGTTCTGCCCATGATTGTTCTCTTCAACGTTCATCTATACCACGTTCTATACATAATGCCCTTTTCCCCGTTTGAATCGGACCAATAGCAATAAAGATACACGCTAAGGCCCTTCTGGCTTTTCGTTTATCTCGTATATTTTTCATTGTTTAACATTAACATTTAACATTAACATTATCTAACACTATCATATTTACTGATAAGCCCGACTTCGATTCTCGACGTGTGACGTTGATTCGACGTTTTTTGATATTTTTCACCTTTGCGATTTCCCATGTTAATTTACATAATGAGGCCGAACTCCTATAGTCCCTTTACTAAAATAACCTACTATTAGTTTATTTATGTATACATTTTCGATTATGATATCGAACAATATTCCGATTATGACATTGGACATTTATGTAATTTTAGTAATAGGAGCTATGTCATTTGAAGCAGGTGATTTGATAGTTGAAAGGTGTATTATTAACCTTCTATATTCTAACTATTCTTTATTTTTTTATATGATTAATTTCAGGTTCTAATTATAAACAATGACACAGTAATATCAAATTATGTATTTTATTTAAAAATATTGTTTTTTGTTTCCTTGTTTCCCAGGTTTTACTCTTACCAATTATTTTTACTTTGTTAGTTTTTTTTTAAACGGCGACAATATTTTTGACGATACTAGGGGTAAGTATTTGGTATTTTGCGGTTATTACCATCCAAGTAGGTAGTTTATTTGTTCGACATCGGTAGAATAGATCCCATATTTTGTAAAAATAAATGCATGCATATATTATTTCACACCGAGGCCATGATGGTACGAACTATGAAACAGTTCTAATTTTTGTCACTTATATATTACAAATCTCTGGTTGTAATAGTGAGTTTTTAAAAATCACTTTTTTTTACTTTAGAAAACTTTATTTACAATTAAAAATTTAAAATCAGAAACGATTTCAAATGGTCGGACGGAACCTGAAACGATTTCCTCGCTTACTCTCCCGTTAGTCGGACGGGGGACTAAAAGCTTTTGTGGTCCGACTGAAGACTGAACGCTTTGGCTTTACAGACGTACCTTAAATACATACAGCATGACCTACGGTAGAAAAACAATATCTAACTGCATGTAGTCGGTAAAAGTAAAAAAATCGTAATTTAGTTAGGGCCTTATTTTCGTATGAATTTAATAAAAAAAAAATCGATATTTTTTAGGCCACCACCTACATGCAGGATGAGCAAAGAACCCGCAAAAACTTGCGGTAACTTTGATCCATCGTGTGTGTATCCTGTAGTGTAGAATAGTATTTATTTATTTTTTATTTTGAGTGGGGTAAATTTGAAAACTAACAGCATTATTTTTTAATAAAAATAACTATCATGAGATTATTATTTTTAAAATCGTTCTTTCGTCACCTGTTGCACGTTAACTTCTAATTTCTAGGTCGCAACGTACCTCCGGAAACGGAAAACAATCGCCCCTCCCCGCAACCGGGAAAGGAACCTGGCGAGACCAGTTCGGTCACGGAAGATGACAACGACAGCGAAGATGACAGCGACAGTCGCGAGGCGCAATACAGATGTTCGCATTGCTTCACCACAAGTAAATACATGTCAAACGAACGTCAAAATCTGGGCGTTTCGAATACCGACGTCATCCGTTTGGTGACTCGAAATTTTTATCACTTCATGATACTTCGAGCCGACAAATGCCGATGACGGTCGCAATTGAGTATTGAAACGTGTTGGGTAATACGTTGAATCCGATAGTTAAATGTGTTGTTTCTTGACAGATTCGAAAGATTGGCAGCCCGGCGGCAAAGATAGGCAACTGTTGTGTTTCGATTGTAGGACGCATTACAAGAAAACTAACGAGTTGCCGTTGTTAACTGCTCCGGCGGCTGGTGGTGGCAATACCGGTAAGTAATATTACTTTGGTTTGATTTCGATTTACCTTCGCGCTTCCAGATTCTCCGGATACGAGTCCGCAACGCATGCGCACGCGCAACAAAGCGAAAGAACAAACGACGAACAAGGCGCGGCCCAAACGGGGAGGTACCGAAACGCCGGAACCTAAAACGCCGATCAAATCCTCGCAGAACGCCGACAAGACCACGCCCACGCAAGGCGGTACCACCCCCGGCAAGAAGAAGAACAAATCGGACAAACCCGAAACGCCGACCAAAAATAAGGATAGCAGGAAGAGGCAGCAGGACAACAAGTCCGAAGAGATCGATATCGAGGAGAGGGATCTGGGATTGCTCAAGAAGAAGAGGGATAGAGCGGAGAGTCCTTGCAGCCTTACTACGGATTCTGAAACTGTTAACGACGACGTGGAGAACCCAGAGAATGAAATCGAAAGTACGGAGGCGAACCCGCCTTGTGGTACCGGCGGTGCTGCCAACATTGCTACATCTGCTGTAAGTATCATGTTATCTTATCTCCTATGCTACTTGTTTAATGGCATTAAATTCTCTTTTGAGTTGGTATTTATTAAGTAAACTTAAATAAACTTGAATTAATGTAAATTAACTTATATTAACTTAACTTAAATTATCTTAAATTAACTTGAATTAATTTGAATTAACTTGAATTAACTTGAAATAACTTGAAATAACTCTAATTAACTCGAATTAACTTGAATAACTTGAATAACTTGAATAACTTGAATAACTTGAATAACTTGAATAACTTTAATAACTAACTTAAATTGTCTTAAATTGTCCCTAATTGTCTTAAATTGTCTTAAATCGGCTTGTCTTACATTGTCTTGTCTTACATTGTCTTAAATTGTCTTAAATTAACTCAAACTTATTTTAAATTAACTCAAACTTATCTTAAATAAACGGTGAAATTTTCTTGGTCAAATGAACGTCTGACGAAACTTTTATAGGTACCTACTATACCTATTACATCAACAATCGCTACGCCACCATCGCAAGAATCTCTATGTAAAATACCCGCAAAGCAAGAAGTGGTAGAACCGCCGGACATGAAACCGGAACCTCCTTCGCCGCCATGTTTACCTCCCATTCCGTTGAAACCTCACTTAACGGAACCCATGCCGCTCAACGTGTCTATACGTTTACCGGACGATTTGAACGAAAGAAAGAATCTCATCAAGCGCAACCTAGATTCGTCTTTGGACAGCAAGGATGTCAAATTCAATATTGACGGTACTAATAACTATAATTCTGATACAATTATGGGCATGAAATTTAATCCGCAAACGGCGGAATATAAATTCGACACCAGTATCAAATCCGACAACTCCGATATCGAACCCAAAGAAGAACCCAAAGAGGTACCCGTTACTCAGGTTCCTATTATACCGGAAAAACCTTTCAAAACAGAGTTGATCATCCCGAAAATTCACCCCGTAAAGGACGAATTGGATTCTAACGAACCCATTATTACCAAGGAAGAATCGTCTTATAAAGATAACATTTTCCTGCCGCAGAACCTGATGAAGGAACCCATGAGTTACGGCATAAAAGAACATCCGATCAATCATTTGGCGAATAAAATGAATAAGGATACATCTTCGCAGGAAAATAAGATAATAATACAAGAAGCAACGGATAGGAACCACTTTGGCGATATGAAACAGGAACCTTACAATTATCAACCGTCTAAAGACCCAAACGCGACGACGGCCGTTACAATTAACAGCGTTAATAATACTGTTATAAAACTGGAACCCAGAGAAGAACCCATGGAACTGACTAGTCAAAACAGGAACGAACCTCCGCAGGGTTACGGTACCATGCCGCAACCTTTGAACATACCCCAAGTGATACCGATGACGCAAACTATACCTATCTACGATGAAGAGAAACGTTTGGAGAAGCTTGAGAGACCAGAACGGGTCGACAGACCAGATATGGTCTCGATTCCGACCCCATCGATCGGCCAACCGCCGCTTCCGAGCTTGGTATCCGGAAATTTGGTGACCATCGGCGGTTCTCAGCCGCCGCCTCCCATCAACCACTACGGCTTCATGACCGGCTTGAGTCCGTTCAATCACCCGCAGAGTCCCAGAAACCTAGAGAAAAACCCGCCGACGCACCAAAACGAACAACCGCAGAATCTCAAAATCAAACAGGAAGTCCAGGAGATTCCGATCAGCCAGAACCAGCCGCTGCCGCCGAACCATCTGAGCGGGCTGAGCAGTTTTACGCAGAGCGCTTTGGGAAGCGGCGGAGGCGGGGTGAGCAGTCAACCGCCTCAAAGCCTGGCGTTGCCGCCCGCTTCGCAGAATTTGCCGACGAGTCTGCCCACGTCGGGCGGGTTCGTGGCGCCGCCTAGTCATCTGCCCAGCCCCATGTCGGATCCGTTGCAGAGTCTGAAGGACGTTAAGGTGAGTTATTTTTTCGAATGTATGTATAACTATTTTTGTATCCGCCCACATTCAATTTTTAATCTACGCCCATTAAACAGTACGTTTAAATCAATACAGTTACGCCCATTAAATAAAGACGCCCACAAGTAATTTTCCAGCAACGCCTATTTATTTATATATACGTAACCACGCCCACTTAAATATATTTTTATCCCTAAAAAAAAAGATGCATACACGCCACAAATAATTTACCAGTAACGCCTATTAATAATGTATGTATAACCACGCCCACTGAAATCAATACAATCACGCCCATTAAATAAAAACGCCCACAAGTAATTTTCCAGTAACGCCTATTAATAATTTATGTATAACCACGCCTACTGAAATGTGAAACAATTTTTGTTCCTTACATGGATTTTGAAATCAATGTTTATTAAACAATATCTTTAAAAATATCTGTATATCTACGTCTATTAAATAATAATGTAGACACGCCCACAAGTAATTTTCAATAACGCCTATTAATAATTTATATATAACCACGCCCACTGAAATATATTTTTCCTTTTCATTCATTTTTTAATCAAAGTCCATTAAACACTGCCTTTGAAAAACATCTGTTCAGCCACGTCTATTAAAGAAAGATGCATACACGCCCACAAGTAATTTTCCAGTAACGCCTATTAATAATTTATATATAACCACGCCCACTGAAATGTGAAACAATTTTTGTTTCTTACATGGATTTTTGAATCAATGTTTATCAAACAGTATCCTTAAAAACATTGTACATCCAGGACTATTAAATAAAAATGAAGACACGCCCACAAGTAATTTTCAATAACGCCTATTAAAAATAATAATTTTCCAGTAACGCCTATTAATACTGTATGTATAACCACGCCCACTGAAATCAATACAGTCACGCCCATTAAATAAAGACGCCCACAAGTAATTTTCCAGTAACGCCTATTAATAATTGTATAACGACTAACATTTGACATATTTGACGCGTTTTTAACGAAACCAAAGCGGTTTTCGATGTGTTTTACACCCAAATAGAATTAGTTATTAAATTTTATTGACGTATTTACCATTTTAAAATTTTTAAGTGGTTTAATTCAGTTCTGATAAAAAAAATAACATATAGCTTCCATTTTAACAACTGACAAATGACATTTTACTGATTTGGTTCGTCTTCAATGAAACCAAAGCTGCTTATACCTAAAGAGAATTCCAGAACGAAGATTCTTTATATTTCACCGACATATTTATCATTTTAAACTTCTTTACAACTTAATTTAGCTCTAATATCAAAAAGTAACATTAAACTTCCATTTTGACAACTGACACATGACATTTGACAAATTTGTCGCGTTTTCAACGAAACCGAAGTGGTATTTGGTGCGTTTTACACCTAGATAGACTTTCAGATGGAAGATTCATTACATTTCACTGAAATATTTGGTTTCAACACTAAATATCAGCGTCAAATTTTTTTTTTAATTTGGTGTCCTCGGCATCGACTGCTAAGGTCATTGGCCTCGTGTTCTGTGTAGGCTTTGTTACTGTTTCCTAGCGCCGCTTTAGGAACAGCACTATTAGAACCCAACAGTGAATGGTCGAGTGGGGAATCCTACCAAGGCATCAGAATTAATTTTGATGTCTATTATTAATTTATATATAATCACGAATATAAAACAATTTTTTCCCCTTCTCTTCATTTTTTAATCAACGCCCTTAAACATTACGTTTTAAAAAACATCTGCACAGCCGTCTATTAAAGAAAGACGTAAACACGCCCACAAGTCATTTTCCGGTACCGCCTATTAATAAATTTATGTATAACCACGCCCACTGGAAAGTAGGTTGGAAGGAATACGCCCATAAACAATTTACTCGGCTACCCAATTAAATAGAATCGAACAGTATAACTTTAAAAGGGTCTAAGTGCCAAAAACTTGAAAAAAGTTGAGTAAAATAAAAATTGTATACATCATATACGCACATATGAAGGGCAAGGGGAAAAACAGACGATGTCACAAAACTGACTTACTAAGAAAATTGGGTTTATAATTAATAATATTACCAAATCGTATGTTACAGTCATAGAAATAAATAAAACCGCACGTTAATATTATTAACATAATTTATTACTATATAGTTAAATTGTTACAAAATAATTTAAAAGTAAGAATATTATATTCAGGTTAAAAAAAAATAAACGTGAGAAATAACTTATTAAAAAGGAATGATTTTCATTTTAAAACTAACCTAAAATAAACAGATTTTCATCTGTATAACAATGCTTCTCAAAATTCGTTAGTATTTGGGTGACAAAATCGTTTTAGTACTTGCAAATCGTTGTATTTAGCCTGGACAACGTAAGTTTTTATCCAGTAGTGCGAGGACAACGTCTATTTTTAACCATTATGATTATTTTTAAACGCCTTGTTATTCGGACCTCGTTTGTTTTATTACGTTACAATTTAGCATGGGTTTGGGACCCGGTTTCACCAACATATAAGTTGATTACTTAAAAATTTCTATAAAATGGACATCTTTGGTTTTTTCCCCTCACCCTTCATATACATTCGCCATGTTTATCCCACTACAAAAAATGGATTGCTTTTAAAATGCACTTAAAACCATTTGTATACCGTTAGGGTTGGTATATTGAACCTTTTTATGTAGAAATGTATATTTTTTAAATTTTGGCACTTAGACCATTTTGAAGTTAAGGTCTTCAATCGTTAAACGCGCTCTTGTTTTCTTAGATACCCGGTTATATTCCACCGTCGTCTCACAGTAATCAATCGTCCCAATCGTCGTCGAACGACAGAAACGAACGACCGTCATCGGGCCCGGTGATCGTGGAAAACATCAAAAAGGAACCGGAGTATATAAGATCGTCGAGTACGGGTCCTAGTCCGAAACCGCTGTCCGAAAAATGTTCGACGCCCAAGAGCAGCAGCAACACCAACACGCCCACGCCGCAACAAACGCCGCCACCTATGCGCCAACAATGTAAGTTACATAGAGCTTTGTGAGATTCCAGTATTTATATAATATCAACTTATAAATAGTCTATAATACAGGGTTCTTAGTTAATATTGTGTATCTAACAAGTTATATTTGTTTAAAACATTAATATTCATTGCAGGTACAAATTCCCCGCATTCCGCTATGAATCTGATATCGCCGAGCGCGGCCCCGCCCACCTCTCTTCCGCAACCGCACCCCTCGCAACCGCACGGTCCTTCCTACGGTTCGATGCACCCCCACCATCCGCATCTTGTCCATCCCTCGTTCCTTCAAATGCAATTCCCCGGTCCGCATCCCTACTCCGGATATCCCTTTTCCTATCCGTACTCGTATCCGGTGGTACCGCAACCGCATCCTGTACCACCTCCTACCAGTCGTCACGAAATGGTCGTTGCACCGAAATCCATCGATACGGTTAGCGCTACGTTGATGTCGTCGCAGCACAGCACCAGTTCCACGTTGACCTCGAAGCGCGAAACTAGGGAGGCGGACGAAAACGGAGGGGAGCGGCATCAGTCGCACGAAATGACGTTGACGAATCATCAGAGCACGTCGCATAATAGTTCGGTGCACGCGACTATCGACAAGCACAATTATGGCAGCACCCACAGCCTTACTATATCGCACAGTACAAGTACTAGTAGCAGTCAGAGCGTGCAGCACAAGGTGAATCAGAAAACGATCAGGAGTAGTTCGCCTCATCAACCTGTTTCGCAGGTGAATTACGACGTCGAACTTCCCGATCGGCCGATATTCAAGCCTAATTTTCAGTCGACGTCGTCGGCTAGCCTTAATCATAGCTCTTCGGGCTCGAATAGTAGCCATCAGCACACCCATCACCATACCCACACGCACCACGACCGTCTGTCGCCCGGTACTCAATTGCTGCGTCACAGCATACACAAACCGCCCACTCCTCAAGCGCCTAACGCCCACCACCTCATGATCCAGCCTCCTAATATGGGCCATCATCCTTCGTCGCTCGAAGCGTTGCGCGCGCACGCCGCTCAGGCGGCCGCCAACATGCACCCGCCCTCTTCGCCCATGAATCCGCCTCCTAAAATGGTCTCCGACGAGGTCATTAAGGTGGAACCCGATCCGGAACCCAGTACGCCTGAGGAGGAGGGACAACAGAGTCCCATCGGACCGCCTAGGGGGCCGTCGCCCGAGCCTAGGATCGAAGACACCGAGTGTCATAGAAGTCAAAGTGCAATGTAAGTTATTTATATGTATTATAGCCCCGCCTTAGTAATTATTTCAACCACGCCCATTATAATAATTTATGACTAATTTTCTTTCAGATTCCTCCGCCACTGGAACAGGGGCGACTACAACTCGTGCACGAGAACGGATCTAACCTTCAAACCGGTGCCCGATTCTAAGTTGGCGCGTAAACGCGAAGAGCGGATACGAAAGCAGGCGGAGCGCGAGAGGGAGGAGCGCGAGCGGGCGCAACAGGCTCAACAAAGGAAAATAACGACGCCCGAGAAGCCGGATGTCAAACCGCCGTCTAGGGGCCATCTGGAGACCGTCAGCAGTCCGTACGAGAGGTTCCCGAGGCCGGGATTCAACGACACGCCAGCTTTGCGGCAGTTGTCCGAGTACGCCAGGCCTCACGCTGGGTTCAGTCCAGGTAAGTGGCGAGTGACTGTCGAAGAAATGATTTAATTATAACAGTGTGACATGAAAAGCGAGTAAAGTGACTTTTGACATATGACAAATGGAATTTGACGTATCAAAAGTCACTTTTGACTAGAAAATCGAATGCTGATATATGAAAACATGACTTTTGACATATGAAAAATGACTTTACATACGTTAAGTGACATTCGACAGACTAAAAGACAATATCGACAAGAATAACGGTTTTTGACTAACCAAAAGTGGTTTTTGGTTCATCCAAAGTATTTATAACAGTGTGCCATGAAAAATGAGGTAATTAGCGAGTAAAGTGACTTTTGACATATGACGAAGGGAATTTGACAAAAGTTACTTTTGACTAGAAAATCGAATGCTGATATATGAAAAATTACTTTTGACATATGAAAAATGACTTGATATATGAAAAATGACTTTTGACATATGAAAAATGACTTGACATGAAAAATGACTTTTGACGTACTTAAAGACATTTTCAAGATACTTAAAGACATTTTCGATATACTTAAAGACACTTTCAAGATACTTAAAGACACTTTCAAGGTACTTAAAGACACTTTCAAGGTACTTAAAGACACTTTCGACAAATAATGGCTTTTGACTTATCCAATTGACCTTTGACATATGAAAAATGATTTTTTACATACGTAAAGTGACATTTGATGGACTAAAAGACAATTTCGACAAGAATAACGGTTTCTGACTGACCAGAAGTGGTTTTTGGTTCATAAAAAGTATTTATTTATAACAGTGTGACATGAAAAACGAGGTAAATAGCGAGTAAAGTGACTTTGACATAAAACGAAGGGAATTTGACATATCAGAAGTTACTTTTGACTAGAAAATCGAATGCTGATATGTGAAAAATGACTTTTGACATATGAAAAGTGACTTTTGACGTACTTAAAGACACTTTCGAGATACTTAAAGACCTTTTTGATATACTTAAAGACACTTTTAAGATACTTAAAGACAGTTTCGACAAATAATAATTGCTTTTGACTTATCACAATGACCTTTGACAAGAAACTCAAATGTTGACATGAAAAATTAAATTTGACATACAAAACTGACTTTTGACATATGCAAAGTGACTTTTGACAAACTAAAAGATACTTTCACCAAAAATAATTGTTTTTGGCTAATCAGAAGTGGTTTTTAGTTATCAGAATTAACATTTGGTTAAAAAATTAAAAGTTGTCATATAAAAAGTTACTTTTGACATAGCAAAAGTGACTGTTGACATGAAAAGTAATTTTTCAGAAAGTATGTATTCCTTTTCATATGAAAAGTGACTTTAATACAGGTTATATTTTTTTGACTCTTTAAAAGTAACAGAAAATGACAGTAAGGTGTTTTCGACTAATCAGAAGTGGTTTTTAGTTATCAGAATTAACATTTGGTTGGAAAATCAAAAGTTGTCATACGAAAAGTTACTTTTGATATATTAAAAGTGACTGTTGACATATGAAAAGTAATTTTTCAGAAAGTACATATTCCTTTTCATATGAAAAGTGACTTTAATACAGGTTATATTTTTTTAGTCACTTTAAAAGTAACAGAAAATGACAGTAAGGTGTTTTTGACTAATCAGAAGTGGTTTTTAGTTATCAGAATTAACATTTGGTTGGAAAATCAAAAGTTGTCATATGAAAAGTTACTTTTGACATAGTAAAGTGGCTGTTGACATATGAAAAGTAATTTTTCAATAGGTACGTATTCATTTTAATATGAAAAGTGACTTTAATACAGGTTATATTTTTTTGACACTTTAAGAGTAACAAAACGACAGTAGAGGTACGAAAAGTGTTTTTTTGACTAATCAAAGTAATTTTTGGCATATAAAAAAATGACAAAAATGACAGCATTTTCGTCAAATGAGAACTGACTTGTGACATAATAGAAACAAAACTTCAATAATTGTTGTCTTTATTTGTAGGACACATGCCTAGATCTTTGTTACCGCCGTCTCACGTTATGGATCCGATGCTGCAGTACCAATTGAACAGTATGTACGGTCCCGGAGCTCGAGAAAGGTATGAAAGGTATACACATCCACATTTTTACTATTTATTATTTTCCTCTTATAATTTGTTCACAGGTATACTGGAAAGGGTGGAAAAGGGGAAGGGTGAAAGTTTGTATGTGGGCATCGATTTTTTTAAAGGTAGAAACTTGAAAATTGGAATTGTAGCTACTTATCATAAATAGCGTATTTGGATTTTTTCATATTAAAGGGGAAAACGGGAGGTGGAAGTTTGTATAAGACTTTCAGTTTTTAAAAATTTGTTAAGGCGATTCTTTTAAATATTTTCGAAATTTTTTATTATTTGTATATTTTCTTTTTCATTTGGGAATTCCCTATTGTTGCGCTCTTAATAAATAACCGTAACGTTTTTTTCTTTAGGTTGGAACTGGAACATTTGGAGCGCGAGAAGCGCGAACGAGAAATCCGCGAGCTGAGAGAACGCGAACTGAACGACAGACTGAAGGAAGAAATCATGAAGAGCGGCATGCGCGGCCCCGCCAACCCCATGGACCCGCACTGGTTGGAGATCCAGCGGCGGTACGCCGCCGCCGGTCTAGCCGGACCGGGAGGTAACTATCCTTATCGCGATTTGTCAACACCGAACCTCCTGATTAAAGGAGCTTATATTATAGGGCCTGGCGGAATGCCGCTTCACCACTTCGCCCTGTATCCGGGCCAGGGCGGTGCGCAGCTGTCGCAGATGGAACGGGAACGGTTGGAGAGATTGGGTATACCGCCGCCGCCGGGAGGGCCCGGGCAACCGGGCGGACCGCCTCCCGGCCATCCGCATCACCCCGCTCATCAGGCACAACTGGAGGCGGCCGAACGGCTGGCTCTGGCCACCGATCCGATGGTAAGAACGTTTTAACGGTTCGAGTAGTTGTGTGGCTGTGTCGATTCTATTTAAGATGGCGTTACGCATAATATATTAATTTTTGACGCATTATAAAATGAATTTATAGAAAAAGTAATTAATTTTAAGATTACTGTATAATACCAAACCGGCTGGTAAAAGATTGCCCAAACACAGTGAAACTAAAATATTATATTCCATTTCGGACATTTAACAAACCTCTCGCTTTTTATATCTCCGAGTTTTTGACAATCTTTATTGACAGCTAATATTGACAAGGTCAACACACTGAACCGCGTTAAGAAACTCTTAAAATACAAAAATTAAGTTTCATGAGGACTTCAACACAAAATACACTGTATACCGTTTTATCTAATGATAATTTAAATCGTTACAGTACTCTGTAACTATACTGGAGGTTTAGTTAAAAAATAGTAATAATTATTGTTTATTTACCAATGGTAGTGTACAATAAGGGTTTACAATATGCAATTAAAAAAAATAAATAGTACAATGGTAAATAAATGAAGCATTTGCTCGATTTGCTCAAATAAGTTCTATATGAAGAACATGTCTATGAACTGAAACATTCAGTTTATTATTCCATTTATTTAATATAATTAAATTATTTTTTAAATAACGCATTAAAATTATAAACATTAATATTCTAATATTCTTAAACGCACATATTTAACTTTATAAACTAACAAAAACAATCATATTACATAACTAACTTGTAATTCGGTTTGTTATTCCATTTATGTAATATAATTCTTCAATTTTTTTTTATATACCGGGTGTGTTCAAATTATTTGTTAATAATTTGAAGTGGACAAATTCAACCTGCATGGGTCTATGATTAAGGAAGTTTTCTTTTACTTTCCCTGTTCTGTAGATATCTTACATATCATGGAATCTACATTCAGTATCCAAATTCGTATTTATCAATTTAAGAAATTCGTTGACATCTTGCATATTGTCGTCGTTTTCTCTCAAGCCATATACGATTAAATTGTATTTTTTTGACTTTATTTTATTTTTCAATACTCTATGTTTTAACTCATTTAGCTATGTTTTCAAATGGACGTTCTCAGTTTTCAAATTTTCTACTCTTAAAGTAAAAACTTTCTTTTTTATTTCATTGTTTTGTTTTTTAATTTCTTTGTTACTAGCTATTAAATTTTTTAAGAGTTGAAATATATCTGCATTTGTAATCGTCCCTTCATTTATATCGACCATTTGATGTGCTGCCACGTGCTAAAACGAGCTACGGAAGTGAGTGCACGAGCAAAAAAAGGATACCCGGCTTGGGGTGAGTCCTGAAAATATTTATAAGGCGCCACCAGCTCGACCACGACTCGAACTGGAAAGCCCCTTCATCTAGTAAGGTTCCGTACCCGAAATACCGCAAAACAAATCTAAAACCCTAATTACACTGTACTATAAAGTGAAGCTTAATACCTAAGAAAGAGAAAAACATAAAATAAAACACCGTCATCCACAACAAATCTCCCGAATATTTTATTATAAATTAACACCTGAAATTTCCAGTCCAGAGATGCCACAAAAATATTAATAAAATAATATTAAAACAAATAACTAATATTTAGTATCTGATTATGTTATTTTATGTCCAAAATATGTTTTAAACCCCCCAGCGTGTACACGTTGAGTTCACAGGTGTAAACTAGCCAAATTTTAGATAAAAGGAAAAATGATAAAGTTTTAAATAAAGTTTTATAAGTCGTAAATAAATGTTCATGTAAATTCAAAACCAAAACGTTGCGCTAAATAAATGTGTTTTTAAAATAAACGATATACTATTAAAATATTTCTTATCTGTATTTTCCTTTTCGTATTCGTCTGGACGTGGTCATACAATGGGACAAGCTGTATACTAGAAAAGCAGAAATTCCAGAGGTCTGGTGAGGATATAACGGCGATGATGAATTCCAATTCAAATAGTGTGACTGGCCGAAAAATTCTAACAATGACGTATTCTGGTGAACTTGTAAAGACGACGTGAAACTGCCAATTCCTGGATCTTTTAACGGGACCCTATGCCTGATTGGGTCGTTACTTGGATTGTATAAGTACTTAGATCGTATACTCGTACCGTATACTTGGACCCTACAGTATAAAAATTACCCCGTGATAATAAATTTGATTTACAAAATAATTTAAGCATGTACTTTACCTCTAATTGAGGGCGTTGACAATTTAATCCTTCCACAGAAGATTTCAATCTTAAAACACCACAATAATGCACCTAACGTGCCAAAATGCATACAAGATTGATTACAAGAACACTAATGAGTTTTATCCACCAAGGGTGTAAGATTTACAAATAAATCACAAAATATATATCACAGTGTTCACTGTCAACAGTAAGTATCTTGCTAATACCAAATTAATTTATTTCGACTTCCGAACAGTATAGAACCTTTTTTTTTTTTTTTTTTTAAAATTGGCAAAAACATAGGAGATAGCTACGGTTTATTTTCTACTGAAACGAAACAACTATCGACACCTATTAATAATTGAAGAATATAATAAAAATATCGAAATAGATATCCTCAAATATGGAAACAGATAAGAAACGCCATTTTTAGTCCAATTTATATTTAAATTATTAAAATAAATTAAAAATAGAGATTTCACCATTTTAACCCGTTACAGTGCCAAGATTAATAAAATACTTAATTTGTCCAGTTGGATTTTATCAAAATATAATTTTTGTAAGAAAATATTTCTGGCAATTTACCTTTGTACCGCTAATATTGCTATTTTTACTAATCAACAGTGATATTCAATTAGTAAATATATTTGTACATTACCAGTTGGAATTTTAGAATTTTATTGATTGTTTAACCACTTAAACTAAATAATTTTGTGGAGCACTTTTAACAACGTTTCTACGCCTGATATACACACAGTATGCTGACACTCCGCCTATTCACCTTGTGTTTTTATATTTACGTAAAAATGTATTCTTTCTTTGTTTCTATTAAGCATTGTTGGCGCGCAACAAAATATAAACAATCTTTATCTAGTATTTTACATCGTAGCCCCAACTATCTTGAATTAGAACCGACATATTGTACGACTACCGGTTTAATATCGACTGTAGAAGTTTGACGAGCGACACCGAGCGTTGTCGCTCGTCTTTCGATGCCGTACAATCTCTATTACTTTTTTTTCGACATTGTTGAAGGTGCGTCTGCAGATGGCCGGAATATCGCCCGAGTATCACGCGCACACGCACGCCCACACTCACGCCCACACGCACCTGCATTTGCATCCGCAACAGCAGCAGGCGCAACAAGAAGCGGCCGCCGCGGCGGCTGGTTTTCCGTTACCAGGTGAGTGTCTCCAATCATGTTTACAGATATTAAAATGTTTGTTCGTTTGTGATTTTTTATCGCCGATATTCTTTGTTTAAGAATATGATCCGATATTAACCAAAATATTGTTGTTACTCGGTTCAAAATTAACCAATCTGCTTAACGTTCCTGAAAAACCGGTTAGATTAGGCTTAAAAATAGTAATTAAAATGTCAATCTACCAACTGGTATATTTTTACGGTTATCTTTAAGTCAAATGTCAATCTGTCACAACATTGATACGACTTTCGGTTTGTGGTTTAATTGTAACCAATATGGTTAATATCTGATTATACCTTAACTAAATTTTAATGTTTGATAGCTGACAAATGACGTTGACAACTGACATTGGCAAGTGACATCAATATGTAACGTTTCATCAATTTTAATAAATTAATATGGCATTTGACGCGCCTTTAAGAAACCAGTCGTTTTCTGATACATTTTACGCCTAAATAGACGTCCAGAAGAAAGATTATTTAAATATCGCTGACATATTTACCATTTTAAAATTTCTGTATGGCTTAAATTAGCTTCAATATTAAAAAGTAATGTCCAACTGCAAGATGGAAGATTCTTTATATTTATCTAATAGAGGATTTTATTTGTTGCACTAGGTGCAAGTTTCCTGTACTTAAATATTTGTTCAGTGTAGCTTCAAATATTTGACATACTTGAGTGTAGCATATACTTTTGACAAGTATGACAGTTCGAATACAGTGTCGAGTGTGACATTAGTGCAACCAATAAAATCCATTATAACATATTTACCATTTTAAACTTCTACGTCCTAATTTAGCTTCAATGTTAAAAAATTAACGTTATAGTTTCATTTTAACTTTCATTTTAACAACTGACAAGTGATATTTGGCAGATTCGGTGATTATTCATTTAATTTTTTTTTTAAATAAATAGACTAGGGCTTAATTCAAGTCTAAAATCAAAAAGTAACAACAAACCTCCGTTTTGACAATTGACATTTGACAGATTTGACGCGTTTTCAACGAAATTAAAGCAGTTTTCAGTGCATTTTACACCTAAATAGACTTTCATAAAGAAGGTTTTTTATATTTAATTGATACATTTAACATTAAAAACATCTACGCATTAACTTTGTTCCAATATTTGTTCAGTTTCATTTTAACAACTGACAAATGACATTTATCTGTTTTATCGTGTTTTCAATGAAATCAAAATGGTTTTTACACCTAAAGAGACGTCCAGAAGGAAGATTGTTCATATTTCATTAACATATTTACAATTTTAAACCTCCGTATAGCTTTATTTAGCTCCAATATTAAAAAGTAATGTCAAACTTTTATTTTGACAACTGACAAATGACATTTGGCACCTAAATATACTTTCAAAATATATATTTTAAATTTTGTCTATTGACCATTTTAAAATTTATGTGTGACTTAAATTACCTCCAATATAAGAAAATAACATTAAACTTCCATTTTGACAACTGATAAATAACATTTGACATATTTGACGCTTCTTCAACGAAACCAAAGCGGTTTTCGATGTGTGTTTTACACAAAAATAGACTTTTTAATTTTTACTGAGGTATTTAACATTCTAAAATTTTTGTTTGGTTTAATTTGAATAAAAATAAATTCCATTTTGACAAATGATATTTTACTGATTCGGCGCATCTTCAATGAAACCAAAGCGAGTTATACCTTAAGAGAATTCCAAAAGGAAGATTCTTTATATTTCTCCTACATATTTATCATTTTAAACTTCTGTATGACTTAATTTAGCTCTAATATTAAAAAGTAACATTAAACTTCCATTTTGACAATTGACAAATGACATTTGAAACCTTTGTCGCGTTTTCAACGAAACCGAAGCGGTATTTGGTGCGGTTTACACCTAGATAGACTTTGAGATGGAAGATTCATTACATTTCACTGAAATATTTCGCTTCAACCCTAAAAATTAACGCCAAACTTTCATTTTAATAACTGACAAGTGAAATTTGACTGCTTCAACGAAATCGAAGCGTTTTTTACATCTAGAAAGAAGATTCTTCATATTTCACTGATAAATTTACTATTTAAACTTTTTTACTGCTAAATTTGGCTCAATATTAAAAAGAGACATCAAACTTTTATTTTAACAACTGACAAATGACATTTTACTGATTCGGCGCGTCTTCCAAAGCGGGTTATACCTAAAGATAATTCCAGTAGGAAGATTCTTTATATTTTACCGACATATTATTCATTTTTAATTTTTGTTCAGCTTAATTTAGCTCTAATATAAAAAGTAACCTCAAACTTCCATTTTGACAACTGACAAAGACATTTGACGTATTCGACGCGTCTTCGACGAAACCAAAGCGGTTTTCGATGCGTTTTACACCTAAATAGACTTCCAGAAGGAAGATTCTTAATATTTCATTGACATATTTGCCATATTTAAAGCTTCTGGGGCTCCAGGTTACCCTCGACCCGGTTTGATGCCGAGCAGAGACGGTCCGCTGGGTTTGCACCATCCGGATCTATTGGGACGACCGTATGCTGACCAATTGGCTCATCAAGTAAGTTTAAAACACGTGAATTTCTTTACTGACTGATGTTCGGTGGGCGGAAAAATGATCGAAAGTATGTTTTATTTTTTTTTTCCACAAAATAACTTGCGATGGCTACAGGCCGCATGGGTTAGGTAAATTTGTTAAGTTTTTTTTTTTAATTAGAATACTGAGAAAATATTTATATTTTCTTTAAAAAAATTATATTCTCTAATATATTTCTATATTTAAATTATTTCTATATTTTTTAAATTATTTTATATTCTTTAAATTATTTCTATATTCTCTAAAATATTTCTATATTCTTTAAAATATTCTGTTCTCTAAAATATTTCTATATTCTGTTCTTTAAAATATTTCTATATTCTTTAAAATATTTTCATATTCTTTAAAATATTTCTATATTCTTAAAAAAATTTATATTCTTTAAAATATTTCTATATTGTTAAAAAGTTCTTATATTCTTTAAAATATTTCTTTATTTTTTAAAATATTTAACATTTAGATTCAACCATCTGAGTTTGTGTATGGGATTAGGACACCCTAACATTATCAATTCATATTCGTTATATGTTTTAAGTGTCAAGATTATATTATTTAAAATATTTCTATATTTTTTAAAATATTTCTATAATTTTTAAAATATTTCTCTATTCTTTAAAATGTTTCTATATTCTATATTTATGAAAATATTTCTATATTCTTTAAAATTTCTGTTCTTTAAAATATTTTACATTTAGATTCAACCATCTGAATTTGTGTGTGGGACTAGAGCACCCTAACCCTATCAGATACTTTACCGCCTTAGTTTATATCCGTTATATTTTTTTAGTTTCAAGGTTATATACCTTAAAATATTTGTAAATTCTTTAAACTTTTTGTATAATCTTTAAAAAAATTCCATATTCATTAAAATATTCTTTTTATTATAACCTAACACTATCAACTACCTCACCGTCTCAATTCACATTCGTTATATGTTTTAAGTGTCAAGATTATATTCTCTAAAATATGTCTATATTCTTTAAAATATTTCTATGTTGTTTAAAATATTTTTGTACTTTTTAAAAAATTTCTTATACTTTAACATGTTTCTGTATTCTTAAAATATTTCTTTATTCTTTTAAATGTTTCTATATTCTTTAAAATATTTCTATATTCTTTAAAATTTCTGTTCTTTAAAATATTTTATATTTAGTTTCAACCATCTGAATTTGTGTGTGGGACTAGAGCACCCTAACACTATCAGGTACTTTACCGCCTCAGTTCATATTTGTTATAATTTTTTAGTATTAAAATTATATTCTTTAAAATATTTCTATATTCTTTTAAATGTTTCTATGTTCATTAAAATAATTCTATATTCTTTAAAATTTCTGTTCTTTAAAATATTTTACATTTAGATTCAACTATCTGAATTTGTGTGTGAGATTAGAGCACCCTAACACTATCATGTATTTTACCGTCTCGGTTCTTATCCGTTATATTTTGTAATCTCAAGTTTATATTCTTTAAAATATGCCTATATTCTTACAATAATTCTATTTTCTTTAAAACATTTATATAATCTTTAAAATATTTTATATTTAGATTCAACCATCTGAGTTTGTGTGTGGGATTAGGACCCCTAACACTAGCAACTACCTCGCCGTCTTAGTTCATATACTTTATATGTTTTAAGTGTAAAGATTATATTCTTTAAAATATATTTATATTCTTTAAAATATGCCTATATTCTTACAATATTTCTATTTTCTTTAAAAAATTTATATTATCTTTAAAATATTTTATATTTAGATTCAACCATCTGAGTTTGTGTGTGGGATTAGGACACCCTAACACTAGCAACTTCCTCACCATCTTAGTTCATATACTTTATATGTTTTAAGTGTCAAGATTATATTCTTTAAAATATCTACATTCTTTAAAATATGCTTATATTCATTAAAATATTTTACATCTAGATTCAACCATATGAGTTTGGGATTAGAACTCCCTAACACTACCAGACATTTTACCGTTTCAGTGGTGTTCGTTATATTTTTGTAGTGTCAAAATTATATTCTTTAAAACATGCCTATATTCTTTAATATATTTCTATATTTTTTAAAATTTTTCTATACTTGTTAAAAAATTTCTATTTTCTATAACATATTTCTGTATTCTTTAAAATATTTCTATATTCTTTAAAATGTTTCTATATTCATTAAAATATTTTTATATTCTATAAAATTCTGTTCTTTAAAATATTTTACATTTATATTCAACCATCTGAATTTGTGTATGGGACTAGAGTACCCTAACACTATTAGTACTTTACCACCTCAGTTCATATCCATTATAATTTTTTAGTCTCAAGTTTATATTCTTTAAAATATTTCTATATTGTTTAAAATATTTCTATATTGTTTAAAATATTTATGTACTTTTTAAAAAATTTCTATATTCTTTAAAATGTTTCTATATTCTTTAAAATATTTCTATATTCTTTGAAATGTTTCTATATTCATTAATATATTTCTATATTCTTTAAAATTTCTGTTCTTTAAAATGTTTTACATTTAAATTCAACCATCTGAATTTGTGTGTGGCACTAGAGCACCCTCAGATACTTTACCGCCTCAGTTCATATCCGTTATAATTTTTTAGTCTCAAGATTATATTCTTTAAAATATTTGTATATTCTTTAAAATATTTGTATATTCTTTAAAATATTTCTATAATCTTTAAAAAAAAATTCTATATTCATTCAAATATTCTTTTAATTATAGGACCGGTATTTTTTAGAACCTGTTCTTACACTTTCGATCATTTTTCTTCTCAACTATTGTTCGATTGGGTATAAATGTTTTTGTATCACAATATGTAAAAACATTGTGGGATTTTTTTTATTGTTGATGTATTGTCGTTTGTTCAGGGTGGTAGTAAAAAAATAACGCGTTTTCACCGAACAAAAATAAAAAAATATTTTTAAAGAGAAAAAATTTGCTATTTAGGCGGCTGCTCACGAACAATTGCAGAGACAGATGCTGCTAGAAAGAGATAGGTTTCCTCCGCATCCTTCGATAGTAGCTCAACACGAAGAGTACTTAAGGTGTGTTTTATTCGTGCGTTTTTTAATTATTAAAAACAAAGGAATTTAAAAAAAAATATTTAGTGTAGCTTTTTTGATTGCTAACGCATACGTTACTTTTTTTTTAGTGTAGTTAGCTTGGGTGCTTTTTTTATTTATTTTCGCGGGTGATTGTATTTTCATTTTCAGCTTTTGGAGTTCGGAATACAGAGTGTCAAAAAATGTGGGAGAATACGTTTCTAGCAGATTTAATATTTTTGGTATACAGGGTGGTCCAGTTTATATAGTCAGGATTTTGTCAACAGATATTTTATCGAAAAATAAAGATAATTTTTTCGATAAAACATGGTCTAATTTCGGTTCCTTTTTGATGTACGGGTGTTAAAAGTTTTTTTTAATAATATCTAAAAAGACTTTTCACAGTTTGTTGACAAATTTATGAGTTGTCTTTCAGAGGTGTTACAGTTGATCCAGTAATTTCAGAGACGTGCTCACAGGGCATTTCGTCTGGTACATTTAGTGAATTTTTCATAATTTTTTAAATATATCAACTAAAAATACAACTTTTTATCTTGTAAATTTTTTTCGTATCTTTCTTTGTTTTCAAGAAAAAAATTAAAATACACATGTCGAGAAATTGGAAGAAGTATCTTTATTTTTCGATAAGCTATCAGCTGGTGAAATCCTGACTATATAAACTGAACCACCCTGTATACACAGTGAGGATTAAATTTAGAAGATATTTTTAAAAATTAAAAGAATCTGTAAATCTAGAAAAATCCTTTAAATTAAGAATTACTCAAAATTTATAAAACAAATGATTGCATATTGTAAGGTATATTGAAACGTTCCTAGTTTTTAAACTTTCACCAAATTTGTAATCTAATATAAAAAAAATATCTGCTAAAGATTGTTTATCACAATTTGAACACCCTGTAGTATGGTATGCTTCCATTAATTCATTTCTTATTTATTTTTGTTTTAATTGTGTTTTGTTGTTAAAAAAAAATGACGACACGCGACGGTCATCTATATAATAGTAGTTTTCATATTTTAGGCAACAAAGAGAACGAGAACTTAAAGTACGGGCTTTGGAAGAAGCCGCTCGAGGTTCCAGATCTTAAGAAACTGTAAGTACAAAGTATAGGTATGCAAAACAAAGCGATCTTCTATTTTTTATTAGAAAATATCGCAGTCTCCTCGTAATGTCCGTTTAAACTTGCGCAAATAATCGTGTTTTTCTCGTATTTTTTTTTTCTGAAGCTAAAAACACTATGTTGACTGTATAATTTGGTTTTAATGTGTTTATATCGTTTAAAAAAAATATTGTGCAATTTAAACGTAAAATTATCGTATATCCTTCATAGCTGCGTATTTTTTCGTATCTATTTGTTCTGTAACTGAAAATATTGTTTACTCCTCGTATAATTAGTTTTTAAACGTTTTTAATTTGAAGGTAAAATTATCGTGGATCTTTCGTAGCTACATATATTTTTGTCCATTTTTGTTTTCTGTATCTAAAAATTTTGTTTGCTTGCATAATTTGTTTTCAAACGTTTTTTATGTGTTTACATCGTTTATAATTGTGTGCATCTCATATAAGCAATTTAGACGTAAAGTTATCGTATATCCCTCGTAGCTGCATATTTTGCTATTTATTTGTATCTATTTTTGTTTTCTGTATCTAGAAGTATTTTTTAATCCTCGTAGAATTTGTTTTGAAATGATTTTTGTGTTTACATCGTCTATTAAATTAAAGAAAATATTGCGTATAAACAATTTAAAATTATTCGTGAGCTACATATTTTTTTGTTCTTTCTGTTTATTTATTTTTTTTTTTTTTTCGTTTTTTTGTTAATTTTCTTTGTTTTTTTTTGTCTTTTTTGTTTTATTTGTGTTTTTTGTTTTTTTTTTGTTTTTTTGTTGTTTTTTTTGTTTTTTTTTTTGTTTTTTGGCTTGTTTTTTTTTTTTCGTTTTTTTTTTTGTTTTCGTATCTATAATTTGTTTTGAAACGCTTTTTACGTGTTTACATTGTTTATAAAATAAAGTATTGCATGCACCTCGTATAAGCAATTTTAACGTATAGTTATCTTACAACCCTCTTAGCTGCATATATTTTTAATTTTTTTTATTTCCTTTTTTTTACTGCATCTTAAAATATTGTTTACTCCTCGTATAATTTGTTTTGAAGCCCTTTTTATGTGTTTACATTGTTTATAAAATAAAATATTGCATACACCTCATATAAACGATTTAAACGTATATTTATCTTACAACCCTCGTTATATCTATTTTTGTTTACTGCGTCTTGTTTACTCCTCGTATAATTTGTTTTGAAACTATTTTTGTGTTTATAGAAGAACATATTGCGTACACCTCGTATAAACAATTTAAACATAAAATTATCGTGTATCCCTCGTAGCTGCATATAATTTTGTATTTTTTGTATCTATTTTTGTTTTCGGTATTTAAAATATTTTTTACCCCTCGTATAATTTGTTTTGAAACGCTTTTTATGTGTTTACATTGTTTATAAAATAAACAATTTAAACGTATAATTATCTTGCAATCCTCGTAGCTGCATATATTTTTAATTTTTTTTGTATCTATTTTTGTTTACTGCATCTTAAAATATTGTTTATTCCTCGTTTATTTGTTTTGAAACGCTTTTTTTTGTTTACATCGTTTATAAAATAAAATTTTGATTACACCTCGTATATGCATTTTAAATGTGAAATTAAATTATATCCCTCGTAGATTCATATTATTTTTGTATTTTTTTAATCAATTCTCAATTTTTTCGATCCTCGTATAATTTGTTTTGAAACGCTTTTTATGTGTTTACATCGTTTATAGAACATATTTCGTACACCTCGTATAAGCAATTTAAACGTATAATTATCTTGGAACCCTCGTATTATCTTGGAACCCTCGTAGCCGTATATATTTTTATGTTTTTTGTATCTATTTTTGTTTGTTGTATCTAAAAATTGTATCTCCTCGTATTTTATCATAAATTTAATCATAAAATTATCGTGTATCCCTCGTAACTGCATATATTTTTGTTTTTATATCTAAAATTTTTGTTTGATTCTTGTATAATTTGTTTATAAACGCTTTATGTGTTTACTTACATTGTTTATAGAAGAAAATACTGTGTACACCTCGTATAAGTAATTTAAACGCAAAATTTTTGCGTATCCCTCGTAGGTACATATTTTGTATTTTTTATATATGTAAATATATTTTGTTTTCTGTATATAAAAATTGTTTGCTCCTCGTATTATTTGTTTTGAAACGTTTTTTTGCGTTTGCATCGTTTATGGAAAAAATATTGTGTACACCTCGTACAAGCAATGTAAACGCGAAATTATCGTGTATCCCTCATAGCTGCTTATATTTTTGTATTTATTTTTGTTTTTAGTATCTAAAAATATTCTTTACTCCTCGTATAATTGTTTTTAAAACGCTTTTAATGTGTCTACAATCTACATTACTTATTGAAGAAAATATTGTGTATATCTTGTACAATAAATTTAAACTTAAAGCTATCGTGTATTTCTCGTAGCTGCATATTTTGTATCTTTTTGTTCTCTGTATTTAAAAATATTTTTTACTTCTGGAATAATTTATTTAGCAAATCTTTTTGTGTTTTTATTACGTTTATAAAAGAAAATATTGTGTACACCTCGTACAAACAATTTAATACTTCACAGCTGCATATATATTATTTTTGTTTTCTTTTTTTTTGTTTTTCCTTTGTTTATTTTATTTTTTGTTCGTTTTCTTTTTCGTTTTCTTTTGTTTTCTGTATCTACTAATTTGTTTTAAAACGTTTTTTAAGTGTTTATAGAAGAAAATATTGCATCACTTCTTATAAGCAATTTAATCGTAAAATTATCGTGTATTCCTCGTAGCTGCATGTATTTTTTATTTATTTTTGTTTCCTGTATCTGAAAATATTGCTTACTCCCTGTATAATTTATTTTGAAACGCTTTTAATGTGTTTACAGTTATAAAAGAAAATAATACGTACACCTCGTACAATCAATTTAAATGTAAAGTTATCATGTAACCCTCGTAGCTGCATTTTTAGTTTTGATTTTGTATCCAAAAATATTGTTTATTCCTCGTATAACTTATATTTGAAACGTCGTTTATAAAAGAAGTCCTGCGTACACCTTGTACAAGAAATTTAAACGTAAAATTATCGCTTATCCCTTGTAGATGCATATATTTTTATTTTCTACATTTAAAAATATTGTTTACTCCTCGTATAATTTGTTTGGAAACGTTTTATATGTGTTTACATCGTTTATAAAATATAATACCTCGTATAAGTCTAATTATGGTTCATCCCTCGTAGCTACATATTTTTTTGTATTTATTTTTATTTCCTGTATTTAAAAATTTTGTTTGTTCCTCGTATAAATTGTTTTTAAACGCTTTTTTATGTTTACATAGTTTTTAGAAGAAAATATTGCATACACCTCGTACAAGCAATTTAAACTTAACATTTTCGTGTATTCCTTTTAGCTAACTGTATATAGTTTTTGTATCTATTTTTGTTTTTTGTACCTAAAAATTTTGTTTGTGCCTCGTATAATTTGATATGGAAACGCTTTTTATGTATACATTGTTTATAAAAGAACATATTTTGTACACTTCGTACAAACAATTCAATCATAATTATCGTATATCTTTTGTGGTTGTATATATTTTTTACCTTTTCTTTCTGTATCTAAAAATATTGGTTACTCTCTATAACGCTTTTTATGCATTTACATCGTTTATTAAATAAAATATTATATACACCTCGTACAAGAAATTTAAACGTAAAATTGTCCTGTATCCCTCGTAGCTACGAATATTTTTGTGCCCATTTTTGTTTTCTCTATCTTAAAATATTGCAAACTTCACAATCAATTTAAAATTATTTGTGTATCCCTCGTAGCTGCATATATTTTTTTCTGCATCTATAAATTTTGTTTGCTCCTCGTTTAATTATTGGTTTGAAACGCTTTTTATTCGTTTACATTGTTTATAAAAGAAAATATTGCCTACACCTTGTAAAATCTATTTAAATGTAAAATTATTGTGTATCCCTCGTAACTGCTAATATTTTTGTATTTTTTTTTTGTAACTGCGCTTTCTAATAATTAAATAATGGTACTCTGTAATTAGCATAGCGTTCCAGTATACTCTGGAAAGAACCAAAACTACCCCTTTGTATGTGCTATTTTTTGTACACCACTCGTAAACGTCTACTTCTTTTTTTTGCAGGGATCGTTCAGACTGCCACACACAAGTATGGACGAAAGCTGTCAAAAAATATATATAAACAAAGATTATATCATATAAATAGTTTGAATCTTGAATTTATTCTTATAGATTTAATTTATATTTTAAAATAGTAAAAACAAAAAAAATATATATATAAACGACAGATATTTTTTAAGATCAAAAAAATCGACTATATATATACAATTTTAATTTTTTTTTAAAGTATATTTTGCATAAAAGTAGGATTTTTAAATAAACGGACATAAAAAAGAACGTTTCGGAAAATGGTTGCATATTTATTTTATTTAATGGAATAAAACAAACATAGGATGTCCCCCAAAGACAATCCCGTATATTTATATGTGTGGGGTATTTTTTTTTCGAGTTTTTGTACAGTCTTCCTGATAGTTAAATAATTATATTATTTTTGTACATACTTTTTTTTTATACATATATAAAATACATTTGTACAGGCTTTTTTAAATTATTTAGATTTATTATATTATATATAATTGGGTCTAGTGCTGTAAACATTTCTTTTTAAAGAAAAACTTTATAAAAAAATGATTTATTTTAATCCATTTGTGCTCTTAATAGTTCGATTAATAATAATAATTAGTGCGTGTTTTTACTTAAACCACGCCTCCTTACAAACTTATATAGCTGTAAGTTCATTTTTTTTACGAAAAGATACGGTTTTATTTTATAAATCACCCTGTATTTATTTCTAAGATTATCTGCAAATATTTACCCTTACTTGTTACTATTATCATCCAAACCTTGCCCATTTAAAATGTTTATTATGTAAGTGTCCTTACAATCTATTGGACATCAATTTTTTAAACCACGCCTTTCTGATATATTTTCTCATGGTTATTTGTTGTAAGTCCCGCCCACATCTAAGAGAACAGTTTCCTCTCTGTCTTTAGGTGAAGATTGTTTATTAACCACGCCTTTTTTACTAGTTTTCATAGTAACAAAAAGACAATCTTATAAATATGTAATACACTGTATTACTATATCATATATATTGCCAGATAACTTTTTCAAAAATATTACTATCTTTAATTTGTACAATGAATACAATCTTGGAAATAAAATATTAAAGAATATCTATAATCTCTATTTTCTAAGTGTACTACAAATATTGTCAGTGGATCACAAATTACGTCATCAATAATATAGTGTATATCAAACCCTCTCAGTTTTATGACGTGGGTTTAATTTGAAAATTTTGAGTTTTTCTTTAAAAAAGAAATAGTGCAACCATTTAAATCTTGAAAAAAAAATATATAAAAAATTTTAATGTGATTTTTTTTTGACTTTGTTTAAACATGCTTTTTTTTTTAAATAGTTTTTATATATTTATATAATTTATACACGATATTTTGTACATTTTATTTTAAATTTCGCGCGTTGTTTTTTGATTAAATATTTTCGAAAAAAATAAAAAAAATTAAAAATGTTTTTTTTTTACCAAAGAATTTCATGATTAATCTCGTTTTTTATCTTTTGGGTGTACCAAAAAAAGCTGTTGTAACTCGTGCTAATTTTTTTAATATAAAATTTGTATAAACAAAAAAATGCTTTTTATAATAGACCCTTTCTGAAAAATAAAAACATGTATACTATATGTAATATAAATTGGGAAATAAATGATTTTTTAATAGAATTTTTCGTTTTTTTTCTAGTTTACATTGTTATTAAGCAATAAAATAAAAAAAGAACCTGAGATTTATTTTTATTTATACTTTTAATGTCTTAAATTATGTATTTTTCATTAATAAAAAATTTGTTATTCTACTTTTTTTTATTACTTAAATTGAAAATTATTTTAATTCGAAGACAAAAAATCCCTACCAAGAAGCAAATCGAAATGGTTGTTTCGTGGATAAAAATCTGACAAGTTTCTTTAGTGTTTTAGTGGAATTATAACGTCAAATATCCACGATTCAAGCTAAGCGATACGCCCTCTGTTGGAAATTTGTAAAAGGTGTATGTAAGTAGGCCTTGGATTTTTACACCTTGTATTAGTGGAAATAAGTAGCAAAATTTGTGTCTGATGTGACGTAGTCGCTAAATTTTCCTTTAATTGAATTATAAAAATGTTAATTTCTGCCCGTTAGTGTTCTTAAGGAACCCTGTAATTTTTATTTCCTAAAAATTATTGTTTCTAAACAATTGCGAAAACCCCCGTAATTTAAAATATATCATTCTTTACCAAAATTTGAATCCATCTTTAAACGATCAAATTTAGTTAAATTATCTGGTCATTTTCGCAAATATCAAAAGGACATTTCGATTTGTAAACAGTCTACTCCCACTCCAAACCACTCGTAAACTGAACTAATCCGAGCGTAAAGTATAAAGCTGAGATCGCTGCGAATTTCCTCTCTTTCCAGTGCCGAACTTCCGAATCTTTTTAGGTAAGCCGTTACAGTAATACAGTTAAATATTAGTAAAGAAATAATTTGCTATAATCGACTTAATTTCTCAACATCTAAGATGTCCCGAGTCAATAGACCCTTCATTACTCCCTCAATCAGTTTTTTTTGTTAGAGTATTATTACACTAGTCATTATTGACAAACCTATAATTTTTTATCTAAAAATCTTTGTGTACTAATTGATCTTAATTGTTTCTATAGGAAAGCATCACAAGTTGGCTTGACGATTTATTACACTGTTTTTACATTATCATTATCAAAAAACATGTCCTTATTTATTTACGATTCACTCTGTATTATAGACAAATATTTTTGGACTCCTGTGTGTATTCGTGGAGTGTCAAAGGATGTTACAATAATATTAGACACACAAAATTGTAATTGATTAGTTTTTTCCTGTAGTAACTGGTAATAAAAAGAGGGTAATTTTTTAAGTTTAACATCATGTATCTCAAAAAAAATCTGATGTGTCCAACACATGACTTTCCTATCTAGTTATTACAGGCTTTTTTCGGTTATTTTGTACAACCTATTGCAGCACCTCTATAAATGTTTAGAGGATAAACTAAGTATATGCATTTTCCACATACATCTACCTCGAAACATTTTTCTATAGATATTCATTGAAAACGAAAATACGGTCTATTTTAGAGAAATTATGTATAGGGAGAAAATTATAGAGAATTATATTACAAACAACTTTTGTTTGAACAATTTTTATAAAAAAATATTTTTTTACATTTTGTCAAATTTCTCGAATACGGACCATTTTAGGAAAATTTTGTATAGGACAAAAATTATAGAAAATAATATAAGAAGTAACTTTTATTTGAAGAATTTTCTTCCCCAAACGTAAATAACATATATTCCATAAAATATAAAAATGACCACCTGTAAAGTACCCCACCAGATGTTCCGACTATGCCCAAAATGTAATCAGCTCATTGGACGCTGGAACAAAGCTTAAGTTTAAAATTTGGTGTTTTTCTGTGTATCGGTTCATGAGTTATGCGACACACACACAGACATCATCGCGAAAATAGTCAAAACGGATTCAGGGGACCTCAAAACGTAAAAATCCATCGAAAACTCGAAGTCGAAAAAATCATGATTCCTATACTTTCCTTATATCTGTATACAGATAGGAAAGTAAAAATATTTTGGAAAATATCTTCTATAGGATGGATGATAGGCCAGTGAACGAATATGTGTACTTTTACAGGACTGATCAAAAAGTATAGGGTGCTTAGAAAAATTGTTTTTCCTACGACCACTTAGGAAAGTGACACATCACACTATATAGTCCTATGGAAAGTGCCCTATATCTAGAGATGGGCAATAAATCGCGAACTGCTAAATATTCACTGCGAATGAAAAATCGCAATCTGCTATCTATTATAAAATAAACTGCGAATATCGCGATCGCGACTACAAACCGTCATTGAGCGAACAACAGAACAGTTCTTTAAACGCATGAACTGAAAAGCGAAAAGTAAAATGTAAACGACCGCGTTCACGTCTCCAATTACGTTTGCTGACTGCTCATTGCTGAGCTATGTCTACTGTGATCGCAACTTCGCGTTTTTCATCGCGTCGAGTCTATTCATTGGTCGATTGGTAGCGATTTTGACTGTAGTATTTGCTATATACACTTATGTTTTAAATTTTAATTTTCTTATAGAATAATATAACTTATTAAAATATTATACCCAGACTCGACACTCAGCAGACCGCTGCAATAATTTTTAATTTGCGATAACGCTATATGTAATGTGCAAGGCCGCGAAATCTTGACGTCATTCGCAGTTCATATTCACAGTGAATTATAAATCGCATTTACAGTAACAACTGCGAATGAATATTCGCGACTAAGCTCATCTCTACCTATATCACACGCGTATGAATAAGAATTTACTTTCCACCCGAGTGAGAATATGTTACTTTCCGCAGTAGTTGTCACAAAATGTCAAACACCTAATTTCTATTTTGATCTATGTAATGTCCATATTAATACTAAAATCGATATGATTGTTAAATTATTGAAATTGTTGTAAATTAGATCCTAGATATTTATCTTTAACAATTATTATTAAAATAATTTTAAAATAATGTTTGCTCTTTATTCTGGTTAAATACATAACCGAATTAGATCATTCAATTGACACCAGGGCTATTAGCTCAGGTGGTTAGGACGTCGAACTTATCAACTTTGCCATTTTTCGACCGCGTTCAAATCCTGGCAGGGCAGAATTTTAGTTTTTTTTGTTTAGAAAATATGAAAACTGAATAAATACGATTATTGTTGATTATTTTTTTTTAAATACATTTGAATTATTATAGTAATAATAACCTTGGTTTTACATTTTTTTGATGACATTATTTTGTGGTCGTAGGAAAAATATTGTATATCACTTGTGTGAAAAGTGATTTTCCACACTCGTGTGATAGTCGCACTCGGCTTGCGCCTCGTGCGACAATATTTCCCACTCGTGTGAAAAATGTCACTTTCCACACTCGTAATGTAATATACTATTTTTTTATACATCCGATAAATTAACTATCAATATATTTATTATATCACCCTGTAGTCAATGAATTGGATAATTATACATATGGTAAATACACAAAAGTCCCCTAAAAACACTGCGTTTCACATTAATAATTATAAAAAATATATTGGTCTGTATCGATATTTACAAATCACCCTGTATAAATGGCACCTAACATCTTTTGTATTATCATTAGACATGATAAATATAACATCTTTTGTATTATCATTAGACATGATAAATATAGCAATAATTTATTTTTTAGTAAATATTTTCACCTTCTAAAACAATAAAAGTAATTATCAAAAACATGTACTTATTTGTAGCTCACCCTGTGAAGGAAAATAATTTTTGACCATTTTTTATATTCGTAGAATGCCAAAGGATGTTGGCACAAACAATTTTAATCGATTAATTTTCTCCTGAAATAACCGTTATCAAATAAATATCAACAGTATTTTACGTAAACCACGTGTCACCAAAATTTCTTTTAAATTACTTGAGAAATATAGATAAGCGTTGATTTAAAAATTTGAGCTGTGCATGTATTCCTTTTAGTATTTTTTTTATTCAGGAAATAAAAAAAGATTAACGAAATGTTTATTTATAAAAAATACATAATTTAAAACATAATAAAAGCATAAATATATAATAAATGACATTTAAACTGTATAACATTTAATAAATATACACAATAAAAAATATAAATATAGAAATAAAAAATATGATCAGTGTTTTACCGGTCATAGGCGTATTTCTCAATCTCTTCTATAATAACGCACCTAATACATCCACATGAACCAAACACAAATAACAATGGTAGTGTTTGTTCCCTATGATCGGAGAAATATTGATCATATTTGTATATAATTGGAAAAATACATTTTTTTTATAAAGAAATTTTTTTTTTCTATTACTGGAAAGTCATGTTTTTCTACTCACTAATATTAACAATGAATAAATAAATCTGTACCTAAGTACTGAGGCAATAATTGTACTGCTGGATGTTCTTCTGAAATCAATAATATTTAACGTTAATGAAAGACATATGACGAGAGAAAAATATAATTTTCACTTTAAAAATAAATCAAACGCCATCTAAAACTATTTATATAATTTGAACATACAGTGAGCACCATAAGTCTTACCCCCCTATCTAACTCGTTACTGGAGTCTTGTTAGGAAAATCGCCGAGACACGTCGATTTTTGATTTCTACAATGTACATTTTTGTATAAATAGTTTACTCTTAATTTCATCCCTTACTGGAGGGGAGCAAGCCTTTCGAAAAATTTAAATGGCATGGGGTGGTGAGTGATAGCTCATTTGAAAGAGGGTTTTATTCTCTATTCAACCGTGTAAAAAAATTTGAAATTTGCGCACTCATCCTTAGAATTAAAATTCGGCCTTGCATGATTTCGGTTTTGGTTCAGACGTAAAGTAAGACTTTTTGCCATTAGAAGGTCACTGTTAGTCTAGTTGCTTTCCTATTTTGTAAGATTTTATTATTTTTAAACATTAATAAATCAACACGTAATGAAGCAAATTTCAAAAATTTTCAAAACCCCCTTTCAAATGAGCTATCACTCACCACCCCATGCCATTTAAATTTTTCGAAAGGATTGCTACCCTCCAGTAAGGGATGAAATTAAGGGTAAACTATTCATGCAAAAATGTACATTGTAGAAATCAAAAATCGACCTGTCTCTGTGATTTTCCTAACAAGACCCCACTAACGAGTTAGTTAGGGGGGGTAAGACTTATGATGCTCACTGTATATACAAGCAGTCCTCGAAGATAATGCAAATCCTAAAGCGTTTCTAAAGGAATACTACAATCTACAAGAACTATGGCTTCTAAAATAAAGGTAAATAAAAATATATTTTACTGTTTTTAAATTTAATTATTTTTATTTGCGGGAGACATTCTTTACTTTTAATTTAATTAACTTCTTCAGCGCTTTTATTAGATCATCTCACCCTGTGTAGTAGTTCAGGAATGAATCATATTTATTATTTGTCTGGAAAGTGAAACACGCTGGTTTAAAAAACAAATTTTATTCACCCAGTTAACACACCAAATCCCAGAAATATCCACAGAATATCTTTTGTGGATATCCAATATATCCACAGGATATCAGAAATATTCCGTGGATCTAATATGGATATCCAAATGATAACCAATGATTATTGAATAAAGTCGAAAGAAAATAGCAGAGATAAAAAATATTTTCAACACTCAAAATATTTTCAGCACCCTTCCTTTGATTTTGCCCACTAAGGAGAAAGTTATCCTTATTAGGACTCTTCAGCAATAAATGGAAATTCTCGACTCCAGTCTCTAATGGAGTCTGATTGTGAAACAAATTTCGATCGAACTCAATTACGGCGGGTTGAGCATGAGTAGATGCGAAAGTAGTATCGCCATCTATACTTAGTAAGCAAAATCAAAAATTACATCTAGTGTATATCCACGATGGTTTGCGTTCGCGCCTAGACTTTGATATATTTAGTGGATGTCCATGGGATATTGAATACACCTTAAAAAAATTAATTTTAAATATCTGAACGGTACTATTAGCCACAATGGCGTAATTTTTTAATAATTTGCTATATAATTACTATTATTTAAGGACATTTGCATGTCTATAAATTACAGCTCATGGATATAAAATAGATATCCACCATGGACTGGACATTCAGTGGATATTGGTATGTTCAGTAGATATCCAAAGGATTTGGTGTGCTGTCTGGGCACTGATTTATAACATTGTATTGCTAATATAAAACTTTAATTTATCCAAGGGGGATTTGCATCTGTTGTGTTATATGGTATGATAACACTATTTAGATAAATATTAAACTGTTTTATTAAACATTAAAAAAGTACAGAATGTATCAAGTACAAAATACCGTCTCATCTATCACGAGCCGGTGCCAAGAGTTGGGCTAGAACACAAGTGATATAACAGCATCAACGGGTTTTTAACTTAATTCAAGGTTAAACTTGATTCTAGATGAAAAATTGCATTGGATTTTTCATCTATAAACAATGGAAAATATTCTAAAAAACTTAAAACAAAGCTCTCACACTTACGTTATTTTTATTACTAATTAAATATAGTTGCTATCACCATTCGAGTTCTCCAGGGATATATTTTTCGATTAGTCTTTCATAGTAGGGCCACAAGGATTTGATATCGGGAACTTCAGTACACTTGGTGTAAAGATCATATTGACTAAAAAACAAAAATAAATAATAATAACCATTCTATTTAAAACATTTTTTAAGTAAATAGACCTACTTGAATTTAAGAACCCATTGCCTGGTCTCTTCATCTTCAGGCGCGATCAAATGTTCATAGTCCCCTGCTGTGTGCCATGGATAGAAGCTGTGGAATCTGATCATGGCTAATGCTTGTGGCGGTAACTTGGTCTTGTTGTGTACCAACATCCTGTATAAGTATTCGTCATGTCCCCAAGACATTAATAAGTTCTTAATGCCGCAATTTGGTTTGTAGATGCCGTATTTTGTGCTGTAAAAATCAAAAAATAAGGCATTGGAAAAAATCCAATAGCAACAGAATTTTTTTAAATTAAAATTTAATATACTCACTTGTAGCTGGGATTTTTGCCGTCTTTATTGTTTTTAAAGGAGGTATTTCTATATACAATATTGTCACTCCATTCACAACCTACCACGAACGTATCTCCTACAACACACCATTGGGGTTCGTTGAAGAAAGCCAAAACCTAGAGAAAAAAAAAAATAAAGAAAACATTTCGAATAAATAGAGACGACTTACTTTTCCAGCGTCATGGATTAATCCGGTCAATTGGAACCAGTCATCGTCGGGGTAGTCTTTCCTAATTCTTTCGGCCGTTTGAAAAGCATGAACAATATTCGGTATGTCAACGTCTGGATCGCTTTCGTCTACCAGGTCGTTTAATTTAATCAAAGTTTCTTTCATAGTTGCTCTTAGGTGATCGAATTTCAACCATTTGTCCATTTTTTCTATATAAAAAAAAATAAAATAAAGTTCTTAATTTTGTTGTATTTGCTAACAGTTTAAACAAAATGTTCCTGCTTTATTAGGTCACAATTAATCAAAGCTATATAACCAAGACAGGATTATTTACAAAATTTCTGAAGCCAACACTAAGCGTCTTTGGCAGAAACACAAACATCTGATTGAACACTGTAGCCAAGTTTACGGTGTTCTTAATAGTACTAATGCAATCGTTCTCATAAAATATGTGAAATTTAACAACGGTGCAATAAGAAAATCGATATTTGTAAATCGGTTTTTTTCATTGGTTCTCTCACTCCGATTTAGAGATGGAATGATTTAGGTTTTAGATTCACAACAAATGCAATTTTATCAATGAGTAGTTGGGGATGTGCAATTAATAGTTAGGTACAATTCATAGAAGAAGAAAAAAATAGGTATTGTATAATAACTGTACTAATATTCAGGAGATCAAGTAAGGTGAGGGCCCTTATGAATACTTTAATTTTAGAGGTATAACTTAAAGAATCTTGTGGACGACATACTTGAAATTTGTTGTATGATAAATGGTCAAATAAGAAAGTACCAAAAGGAAGGATTGGGATTTTGATTTTCATTCAGTTATCTTTTTCATATTGTTTTCAATTTTTAAGAAAATTATATAAGTTAATTTAGTAAAAAAGTCTACATTTTAGATTTTTAAAATAAGATTAATATAGCACATGTTACAATCAAAGGATAAAATCTAAGCCCTCTTTCACACGAAGATACTGTATGCCAGATACGCGTATCCGAGATACTCAATCGCAGTCGAAAACTTGGGCTGCTGTATGTATCGAATTCACGCATCTCTTCAATCAGTACTAAAATAGTCACAGTGGCGTGCATAGGTTTGAATTATGGATCTAGAAGAGTGCATTTATACTGAGGTATATAATACGGTGACTCACATAAAATGCACATCGTATAGGCTTTATTGTAAATGCTGTAGATGAATTTTGACTTTGATATCTTCTATTGCCTTAAAAATGATAACGAATGACATGCAAATGTACAAACACGTGACCTTTTTGAATGTCAAAATGACAATTTTTCCTAAAAATTGCAAAAATGGTAATTTCGAAAAATTGCTACCAATTCAGTTTTGGGTTACTGGAATTTAGGCAAATTGTATAAAATATTTTTTAACAAAAGAAGCGCATCGCGTAAACAGATTAATTTATGCAGGTTAGCGTAAATTCTAGTAACCTTAAAATGAATTGGTAGAAAAAATAAAAAAGTTAAAAATTAGTATATGGGTAAAAACTAAGTTACTTTTAGGAATAGGTTTTTGCATTTTTTTTACAAAAAAAAGTCAATTTTGACATTTACAAAAGTCACGTGATTTTTCATTTGCATGTTATTGGTTATCATTTTTGAAGCAACAAAAAATGGCAAAGTCAAAATGTATCTCCATCATTTAGAAAGAAAAATCCCATACGATACGCACTTTATGTGTAACACTACATTACTTTAATATTAAAAGACTGGGCATACAACATGCGTAGAAAAGACGGTAAAGAATATAAAAATTCTGTAGTTTAGGCTAATTTTTTATTCGTGAAATAATTTAAAAAACTCTTCGTGCATCTAATTTAATCCTTTCTCAAATAAATTAAACTATCAAACTAAATGCACTCAGGATGCCTGTGTACCCCAGATAGCACACGGCGTCTGAAAGACGTCTTAAAGACGTCTTGCCAAATCCATATATTAATGTGAAAGCTCAAAGACGTCTTACAAACGTCTTTTAGTCGGACGGAAACTTGCACGGTTTACATAATTCAAATTTAACAAGAAGAATCAAATGAAGTGAAGTTTGACGTTTGATTTAACATTATATTCAAGCCGGACTTCCGATTCGGACACCATCGTGGCAATATTGAAAGGCGTTCTCCGAATCGGGAGCCAAGCAATCCCATAAAAATCACAAAATATCTAGTATTAAAGTGACCATCCGAATTTAAAAAGTATACAAAATTAAACAAAATATTCAGTGTAATATTTGGAGAAGATAATTGAAATCAAATATCAAGTGCAGTGGAAAAGTGAAAAGATTAAGCCCATATAAAACGAAGAAATACATTCAAGCCCAAGCCAAAAATTTGTATGGCCCAAGCTCATTGTGGATTATTGATTATTTTATTGCGTACACGATTATAGCCACCAAAAGCGACTTTGGGCTATTTTGAGCATTTGTGTCTCTTTTTACTTAAATAATATGAAACAAAAACCAGAGAGGGAAGAATAGTTTGTGTTACCGATGTAGCACGCACGTTCCTGGAATACAGGTAATAAATGAATATTTGTTTATATACATAGAACATTAATATCCTGTTTCTTCTAAGAATAATTAAATTAATTTAAAAGTAAACATCTTAATATAAGATTTAATTCAGATATTCGTCAAGTATCATTTTTGTTTGTTTTTATGGAGATTTTAAGAACTAATAATATCAAATACTCCCTATTAAATAGCCATTTTGAGTGAAGTTAAAGTAAAATTGTTAAAGTAGGCGATTAAGCATAATAGCTCATATTGCATTAAATGATTATAAAAATTCTTTGATTTAAAGTTCTAAGAAATTAATTTTTTGTTTTGCTTTATAGATAACTGTTCTGTCGGTTTTTACTAACTTTTGCAAAGTATAATTTTCTGTGACTAGATGCTCTTAACTAAATTTCTTTTTAGGAGCTATACATAGACAACTACAAATCAAAGAGAAAAATGAATCCAGTTATGGCTAAAGAGGAGTAATCGAATGCCCTACAAAGAAAATAACTCTTAGTGACCTGTGATTAATAGATGTTTTATCAATAAATATTTTAATTCTATTTTTTGCATTATTTTATAATCTGCAAGGTTGTTCTACTTTTTAATAACCAAGATATCCGACGTCCTACGTTCATAAGACATCTTAAAGACGTCTTATTTATGGCTTCACAAGACCATTATAAGCTATTTATAAGTCGTCTTATTTATGGCTTATTTAAAGCTTCACAAGACCATTATAAGCCATTAATAAGACGTCTTAAAGACGTCTTATTTAAGGCTTCACAAGACCATTATAAGCTATTAATAAGTCGTCTTATTTATGGCTTATTTAAAGCTTCACAAGACCATTATAAGCCATTAATAAGACGTCTTAAAGACATCTTATTTAAGGCTTTACAAGACCATTATAAGCTATTAATAAGTCGTCTTAAAGCCGTCTTATTTATGGCTTATTTTAAGCTCTACAGACCAATATAAGCCATTAATAAGACGTCTTAAAGACGTCGCTTTTTGTAACATCAGACGTCTTCTAAGACGTCTTAAAGACGTCTTTCAGGAAATACCAGACGTCTTAAAGACGTCTCGAATGTCTTATGCTAGACGTCTTAAAGACGTCGCTTTTTGTAACATCAGACGTCTTCTAAGACGTCTTAAAGACGTCTTTCAGGAAATACCAGACGTCTTAAAGACGTCTCGAATGTCTTATGCTAGACGTCTTAAAGACGTCTTAAAGACGTCTTTAAGACGACTTTGTGCTATCTGGGACCATTGAAAAATCCTGCGCCTATGATATAATCTCCGTTGCAAAAGTATCCATGTCTGAGAAGGTCCATATATCGTAATAGTAATTCTGTATGCGGCATACGCATTCAGCGTCCGCGGCTGAAGGTGCTGGGATACAGAAATTGCGTATCGCGATACTGTATGCGTCGCCCGTACCGTGTAAATAGGCCCATTTGAATGTATGGTCAGCCTGAATCTCGGATACGCGTATCTCGCATACAGTATCCTCGTCTGAAAGAGCCCTAAGTGAAGTCGACTCCAATATTTTGCCGAGCCCGCGTATCCATAAATTTGCCTGAACCGTCAGCGGTTATAGAAAAATCACATTGTTGATAACATTGTTTTATTTTAGAGCTTCCCAGGTTTAAGCCCTGTGAAAAATGACCGTATCGTCTTCAAAACATAGATTTTCTCCAGATGATGTTAAACTGTTTACATACAGTGGAAACAGTAAAGGCCCTAGAATCGTTCCATGTGGCACACTGTTTTTAATGTAGAATATAGCACTGTATTGATCGTTAATTTTTACTTTTTTTTAATCCACTTGTCATTAATATGTATGATGTGCTTCTAATATAATAAAATACAAAAACTGAATGACGTTTATTTTTGTGAAACTTAAATGTGATTGAATCTCATTTTCGTTTTATTTTCATTAATATAATTATTATTAGGTAATAATTAAATAATCAATCTTTTGTCAAAGAGGTCAATTATCTCTTACAGAAAAATTCAATGTTATTGCTTTTGATACTGATAACCTTTCAAGCAAGTTTCTTGATAATTATGCGTAAAAAATGCAGTAATTGAGGTAATTAATACTGATATAGATGTAATAATTAATAGTCATTCATAAATATAACAATATCACAATAATTATAAAAAAAAATAATGTAAATACTCTACCAGCTAAGAAACAGAAATAGGTAGGTATATACCCTATGAAAATATAATTTAGACCCCCATGAGAATTGAGGATTAAAAGGATTCTCCAAAAATGAAAATATTGTGTCCTTGTTTATCGATATGGAAAAGAAGAAAGTGAGAATACACTCAAAATGCAATGACATTCCAATGGAAAACGCCATTACACTTACCTACCTACCGTTTTCGAATAATTAAATATCGAGTAGGTATATTTTAGTCATAAATGCGGAAAAGTAAACATTATTAAAGTTATAAAAATAGCAAGAAGTGTTTGATAAGATTAAATTGTTTACCTAGAATAAGAAAGGAAAAGGGCAATTACTTCTAAATTAAGATAGCGTTTAATTGCTTGAAAACAGTTTAAGACACCGGTAACACACAAACAAGGTCGGCTCCAACCAAATAGGTTTATTATTATTGGTTTCCCTTTTGCAATGAATTTTTCGTAACCAATTTCATAATGTTCAACATTATGCAACTGGTTGCATAAAGTAGATCATTTTGACACTTGCTTCGATAACAAAAAAAATATGTCACACTTTGGTAATGTTATAGTTGAAGGGTCTGGAAATGCGCCTGTGCGTAGCATTCCTGTTCCGGCTAATTCTGCCAGAGTTGGAATCGTTACATAGTTGCCAGGTTATATTCAATTACTTGGAACCAGGGAATAAGCAGATTGAAATAACTATTTTACTTTTTGTTACGTATTAGCTGGAAATCTGGCAACCATGTATTTGTTTTAGCGCTTTTGACATTTTCATTTTCATCTCGCTTTAGTCTGTAATTTGTTGCACGGTTGTTCTGTACTTTACAGGAATTAAAGTGTGTTAATCTCGATGATTGTTTTAATTCCAGGTAAAATTAAGGTACAAGACCTTACACTTTTAATCATCTATTTACCAATTTTTACATCGATTAAAAATCCCATAAAGATAAAAAAATGTTCTGAAGATTTTCAAGCAATACGATCGTTTTATATTTAATGTCAATAATACCTTTCAATAGTGATAATTACAAAATTTAAATTTAAAATCTATCAAAACTGTCTTATAAAACAAAACAGAATTGTTTTTCAAAATATACAAATCTTTAGATTTATTTATCATACATTTTAATGTACAGATATTACAATTTGGTTAATAAATACCTAAGCTATAAAATAAAGCAACCTAAAAGGAAAGTGGAGATTTGGCAACGTGGCTTGTGCAAATTCAAATTCTTAACGTTAGTGCAGAGTGGTGTGAACATGCGCATTTCTAGACCCGTCAACTACAACATTACCCTCAATTTTATTAAAAAGGGAATGATTATCCTTCCTCCATGGGAGTGAATAAGAGTGCTGGGTGGGTAAAACAACGTCAGAAAATTATTAGAAATGAATTGTAATTTTGATAATAAATAATTGGATTGTACATTTTTGTGCGACTTGGCAACAGTGTAAGAAATAAAAGTGGCATGAGCTTTTTTGTTTACAATAGTGACCTACGTATGCTTAAGGTACCATTTCGGTAGACGCGACAGACGACCGCCGACGCGACATACGACCGCCGACGCGACCGAGAAGTGTCGCTTCACATCTAACATACATACAATTATATGAAACACATTTCGCACGGCGAGACACTTCCTGGAGACATTTCTGAATCTGACTCGTGGCAAAGGTTTGCTGCCTGTCGCACTCGAGGTCACTGTCCTCGAGCATCGCTTCATCGCTTGGACGTGAATAGGTTGAAAATTTCTTTCGATCTAGGCAGTGTTGCCAGATTTTGGAACAGTATGGGTGAAAAAAAAGCGTAGATCTGAACAGTAGATTTTAATACAGGGGGAAATAATTGAAATTTGCAGTGTAGTAAATAAAAAAACAGTATATAAGAAACGAAAAATAAACTTTTTTCGACCCAAATTAGAAGGTAAACAAAGAATAAACACAAATAATAACATTTTTAATATATACTTAACGTACGGACAAAAAAAAAACGAAAATTAATAGATACCTACTTCTTTTAGATCAGTCTGAATCAGATAATTCAAAATCGTAGTGTGCATGTTCTTTTTATGATGCCCTATTAATTCTTTGTTTCATTTTAAATAAAAACAATGATTATCTTGATTTTTTTTTTATGGAGCCAACCTAGAGTGGTGAATGCCTATTACGCTGCTTTTACTGCAGAAAATTTACTAGAGAAAATATTCTTTAACCATTTGCTGAAGAGGCAAACTTAATAAATTAAGAACAAAATTTGCTAGAGACAAAAACAGTAGATCTACGTGAAAACAGTAGGTCTGGCAACGCTGATTGTACCCTCGAATGGTTATATGTAAATGTCGCGCGACATTTCTCAAGCTTGCCAAATGTACGAAGCGTAACATTTATGCATCTGTCTTCCTACTCGACCTTGGGGTCGCTTCACTGGATAGCTATTCACTAAGTCATGGGAGCGCTCTCATGGGAGTGTTCCCATATATTTTGCTCTCTTACTCTTAGGTGGGTATATCGTGCTTACTCACTTTTAGCCCAGGTACATGCGTAGTTAGGTCGGAATAAGCACGATATACCCACCTAAGAGTAAGAGAGCAAAATATATGGGAACACTCCCATGACTTAGTGAATAGCTACCCAGGTCACTTGTCTCCTGACGCGCCTACCCAAATGGTACCTTTTTAGTGTTTTAATAAGCGAAAGGAACTCAAACTAGAAAATTATCTTTATTTTTAATTAATTTCAGATACTTTATTTTACGATTGATTTACAATACTTAATACCGTTCTGTAATATTATTAAAATAATATTTAGCCAATTTTAAATAATGGTTGTTTAAATATCAAACTTCGGAACATTTTTTCAATGCGGCTCAATGGTCTAGGGGTATGATTCTCGCTTTGGGTGCGAGAGGTCCCGGGTTCAAATCCCGGTTGAGCCCAACTTTTTTTTTTTTTTTTTCATGAAACCATTTTATTTTTATGGAAATAGCATAAAAAATAGTTTTTATTTAAATGTGTTGAAAAATATCGTTTTTTGGACAGAAAAGTAGAACTTTATATATACTTCATAAAGTTCTTTATCGGCCATGGCCTATAAAGTTAAGTGTATAAAGTGTTGCATACCGATTAGAATTCTCAAATCTGAGGTAGGTTCTTTCATATACCTTTTTTGATTTATTTGGAATCAAATTAAAAGACGTCAAATTTGCCGCGTCTCTAATTTCTGGGAGCATGCCCGTAATGATTTCTTCGTCACTCCTTATTTTTGTATTTTTTTTGACATCAAATTTTAATTAACCAATTAATTAAATTAATTTGACATGAGCACAGTGACATGTCGAAAATTGTTTAATTGTTCTCATAGCCAACTCAGTTAAGAAAAAATGATTGGAAATAATATCGTTTTAGATTTAATTTTCTATATATTTTTTAATATCTAAGCACTTTCGAATAAAAACAATGTATGAAACACGGACGAAAAGTGTTTTTTTCGGACTCCTACTTAACTTTTCGTCCTTATATAAACTACTATTATTAAATGTTCTTTATCTTACCTTTTACGAAATCAACAGTTTGATTGGTGTGCATGAGGTCGTACGTTTTCCTGACACGTTCTTTAATAGGATCATTTTCATCGACTGTGTAATCCCTGAATTGCCCAATTGGTTTTTTCGCAAATTTCGGTTCAGGTCTCAGCAGTTCGGAGGGGTCGATGATGCCGACAGGATGTGGATCAAATTCGCTCTAAACGAAAAATAAATATTTACTTAATTATTTGGAATTTTTTTTTTAATATTAACACATGAGAAAAAGTTTTTTCAAAAAAAACTTCTAGAATATTCAATAAGTGTTGGAGAGTTTTCTTTCTTTTTTTAGAAGTTATCGAAAACTTAAAATTAAGACTAAATTAATAAAGGAATAAAGTAGTAAAGAATAATTATTTTTTTGAAAAAACAAAACATTTCTCATTTGTATAATTTTTTTTGGGACACACCGTATAATAGATTGTGACGTGCAAAACTTTTTCTCAGGTGTATAAAACTTTTTAAAACATACTGCATATTGAATTGCGACAATTACTCATCATGTGTATACTTTTTTGAAACACACTGTATAATAGATTGCGACGCGCAAAACTTTTTCTCATGTGTATAAAACTTCTTAAAACACACTGTGTAATCGATTGAGACGTGCTCAAAGAGCACGTCGTTAACAACAAAGTACTGTTAAAAGAGCAAGTAGTAATCTATTACACAGTGTGTCCCAAAAAAATTGTACACATGAGTTAAAATTTGTTTAAAAAAAAAAAATATTTTTTATGAAATGTTCTACATCACTTGAAAATCCATAATTAAATATTAAATTTTGTAAAATATAGGTAGTATACAGTATGTGTCAAAAAAATTTACACATGAGAAAGTTTTGTTTTTACTTTCCTATCTGTATACAGATATAAGGAAAGTATAGAAATCATGATTTTTTTCGACCTCGAGTTTTCGACGGATTTTTACGGTTTGAGGTCCCCTGAAACCGTTTTGACTATTTTCGCGATGATGTCTGTGTGTCTGTATGTCGCATAACTCATGAACCGATACACAGAAAAACACCAAATTTTAAACTTAAGCTTTATTCTAGCGTCTAATGAACTGATTAGATTTTGGGCAGAGTCGGAACATCTGGGGGGTACTTTATGGGTGGTCATTTTTATATTTTATGGAATATATCTGTTATTTACGTTTGGAGAAGAAAATTCTTTAAATAACAGTTACTTCTAATATAATTATCTATAATTTTTGTTATATACAAAATTTTCCTAAAATGGTCCGTATTCGAGAAATTTGACAAAATGTAAAAAAATATTTTTTTATAAAAATTGTTCAAATATTGTTGTAATATAATTCTCTATAATTTTTATTTTATACATAATTTCTCTAAAATGAACCGTATTTGAGATATTTGAGAAAATGTGTAAATTTCGAATTTTGAAGAAAACTCAAAAACGGATAAAGAAAAAAACATTAAATTTTAAACTTAAGGTTTATTTCGGCCTGACGTGAAATGATTAGATTTTGGACAAAGTCGAAACATCTAGGGGGGTACTTTATTGGAGGCCGTTTTTATATTTTATGAAATATATCTGTTATTTATGTTTGGAGAAGAAAATTGTTCAAATAAAAGTTACTTCTAATATTATTATCTATAATTTTTGTTTTATGTCAAAATTTCCTGAAATGGTCCGTATTCGAGAAATTTGACAAAATGTGCAAAATTCTGATTTTTATGAAAATTGTTGAACTAAAAGTTGTTTGTGATATCGATCTCTATAATTTTTGTTAATATATGATTTTTCTAAAATGGACCGTAATGGAAAAGTGCTAAATTTAAATTTTTCAGTATTTTCGTTTTCAATGAATATCTATAGAAAAATGTTTCGAGGTATGTGGACAATGTATATATTTAGTTTATCCTCTAAACATTTATAGAGATACTGCAATATATTGTACAAAATAACCGGAAAAAGCCTATAATAACTAGATAGGAAAGTCATGTGTTGGACACATCAGATTTTTTTCTAAAAATAAAACAATTATTCTTAACAAAATGTTCTGCATCACTTGAGAATCCAAATCAAAACAACAAAGTGTATCCAGATATTGCACCCTTCAGAGGGTTGCACCGGCCGAACTGCGTGCTATTGTTTTACAAAAAACTCTGGTTTATTTTTGCGGGGATTGTCGTCAGGCATTTAAAAGTGTACCCGCACTACTGAGATAAATTAATAGCCTTAGATCTGAAGTAAATTCATTGGAAGATAAAGTCAGAAAGCTCAAAGATAGAAAGAACGACATCACGATGCTAATCTTTAACCTACCTGAGCTTAATCAAGTCAAAACTCTAATAACAAAGGCTGTTGGTGCTAATATCACTGACATTAACGATACCAAAGTTTTCCGCTTTGGAAAGACTAATAACAATGGACATCTACCCCTTAAAGTTGTGTTGAAATCAATTCGTGACGTACGCGCCATTATCAAAAACAAACAGTTGCGATAGAAAGATTTTTATACATCTGAACCAAAGGAAAACTCTGGACACTGTCAGAAGCGAGTTATTGAGACGTCAGCAAGCTGGTGAGCTAAACTTAACAATTAAGTTTGTCAACAATACTCCTGCAATTATTACAAAAAAACTAAATTTGGGCAAGCTGGCTGTTTATTACCAGAACGTAAGAGGCATTTGAACAAAACTATCCCAGCTATTATTTATTGTTTCGGCCTTTACTTGATGAAAATCCATTTAATTTTGAAAGAGTAAAACCAAATTTGGTAGATTTTCACACTTTTATTTTAAAAATAAAAATTTTTTTTTTAAACAAACACTAACATGACATATGTTTCGAAGTACAACTTCTTTTTCAAATGTGACTATTTACAATTCGGTATCCAATATATATACAAAATAATTTAACAAAACAAAGTACTTAAGAAAACATCAATAACATTACAAAATAAACTAACTATTTAAAGTAAATAAGGGTACTTAGGTAATTATAATATCCATCAAATAACAATAAGATAGCCCATTACCGGGATTATCTCACAGAAAACTGGGAAAGAGGTTTAATAAGGGTGAATTATTAATATCTAATTGATCATTTAGTAAGTTATCTGAATTTTTAAATCTATTTATTTCAAGTGTTTCTAAATGGTTTAATTTAAGGCTCTTATTTTCTACATGTAAAATTTCAAAGTTGTCTGTAAAAGAATGATTTTCAGCTAAAATATGATTTGAGTAAGTAGAATTATTTTTGTTTTTTGTATAGCTATTATAATGTTCGGAATAGCGTTTTTTGAAAGTACGGCCTGTTTGACCAATATACAATTTTGGACAACTACCACAATTTAATTTATATACCCCCGATTTATTATTAGGATTAATTTTACCCTTATTGTTTTTAATATACTTCCCAAGCGTATTATTGGTTTTAAAAGCTACGTTAATATTTTGGTTTTTTAAATATGATGATACCTTTTCACTAGGAGCTCCTATATATGTAAGACTCTTATATCTGCAATTTGGATCTTTAATTATGGGATAAACTTGTTGAATAGCCTGTTTAAAAAGTTTTTTCTCTAAAATGTTGTCTACTAACTTTGAATTAAAGTTATTATTTACTGCGATTTGTTTAATGATATTTAATTCTTTTGTGAAGTTCTCTTTGGTAAGGGGAATATTAACTAATCTATGGATCATACTGTTGTATGCTGCCAGCTTTTGTTTGTATGGATGAGATGAACTATTATTTATTGTAATATCCGTATGTGATGGCTTATGAAATATCCCAAAACTATGGCCTTTATTATTTTTAATAATATTTAAGTCTAAAAAATTAATTGAATTATCCTTCTCTGTTTCCATAGTAAATTTAATATTAGGGTGTATAGTATTGATAAAAACTAATAAAGAATTTAACTGTCTACTAGTACCAGTAAAAGCAGTCAATATATCATCAACATATCTATGCCAATACAGACAATGTTTACTTAAATTATTGCTATGAATTTTATTTTCTATATTATCCATAAATATTTCTGCAAGCAACGGGCTTAATGGGTTCCCCATAATAAGACCTTCATTTGCTGAGTAGATGTTATTTTGAAATTGAAAATAATTTTGTTTTAGGCAAATGTTTAACAAATTTAGGATTTCTTCTTTGATTATAATATTGACTTGATTACGATCTAATAAGTTTTCTACTAGCTTAACTGTTTCTTTAGGAGGTATACTAGGAAATAAGTTTGTTACATCGAACGATACTAATTTTGTGTTACTAGGTAATTTAATGTTTTTTAATTTTTCTGTTAATTCATAAGAATTTTTTATACTATACTTTGAATTGAATTTGCAGTTTTCTTGTATAAGTTTGATTAATGTGTGTGAAAGTTTAACTGATGGAGCCGTGACAAATGACACAACTGGTCTAATAGGATAGTTCTCTTTGTGTAATTTTATTAAAGAATAAAGTTGTGGTGGTTGAGGGTTCATTTGTATTAGTTTGAATTTTTCTCTAGAATCAAAAATTGCTGTTGAAATCTGAATATTACGTTTTAGTTCTTTTTGATATTTATCTGTTGGATCAAATTTGAGTATGCTATAATTATTACTTGCTTGTAAAAATGAAAGAGTTTTGTCAATATAATCTATATTATTAATAGCAATTACTGTATTTCCCTTATCGGCACGAGTGAAAATCAGAACAGAACACAAATAAAATATCGGATCATACATTTTTTAAAAGATTTGTTAACTTAACCACAACAAATTTCTCTGATCCAGAACAATCTCTAATAGAAAAAGGGTTTAAACACAACATCGAACCTAAGATAAATACTTCGAACTTAGAAATTTTGGGAATAGAAACAGAAATTGCTTTAAAAGATTCATATAATACTTTGTCTCACAAATATCATACTGCAAATATAATTAAAACACAATTTTTACGTAATAACAATTCAAATGAAGACAGTAAGTTAATTAAAACTATAAAGGATAAAACAAAACAGGATGATATCATTTTCACTCGTGCCGATAAGGGAAATACAGTAATTGCTATTAATAATATAGATTATATTGACAAAACTCTTTCATTTTTACAAGCAAGTAATAATTATAGCATACTCAAATTTGATCCAACAGATAAATATCAAAAAGAACTAAAACGTAATATTCAGATTTCAACAGCA